AAGCGACAACTGGGCAATTTTCGCGACCGCGTTGACCTTGGACTTCGATAGTCTTTGAGATAAGGACGTCGCGTAGACGCTCAGCTCGACAAGGAGCTGAGGTCCAGAATGACGCCAGAACTCTTTTTTCTTTCCAATCGGATAACTCGTCCCTTTTGACAGCAATACAGTGTGCCGCGCAACGCGCCATTATACAAAACTACCCGCAGTCATTATTTAAAACCCCGTTGCTTTTTTATTCTACTCTTCCAGGTCCGGACTTTTACCCTCTCCGGCCCATATATAAAAATTAAACAGAGATAACGTCGCCGCACTTGGTCTCGGTGGGTGGGGATGTGGGGCATTGGAGCGACCTATCTCTTGCCCCTAAATCCTCTGCCTCCCTGCCCGCCTCTCTCTCTCTCTCTCTCTCTCTCTCTCTCTCTCTCTCTCTCTCTCTCTCTCTCGCAGGCAGCGGGCCTCTCTTCCTCACCTTGTTACCGAAGTCGGTGAAAAGCCCCTTCTTTCGCCCCGCCCGCCCCGCTCCCCTAAGTCCACACGTCTGACTCGGTGGACTTTGCCGCCAGCAAAGCAAATCGGACAGCTTCTTTTGGCCCGTGCGGGGACCGGGGGGACACGGACACGGACGCGGACGCGGCGGCGCCGGCAGCAAGGAGACGCGCCGCACCTTCATCTTCCCTTCTCTCTCTCCCTCTCCCTCCCTCTCTCCCCCTCTTTTTTATTTGCCTCACGGCTCGTTAGTGACGCTCGTCTGCGAGACGCGACTCGCCGTCCTGGTAATTTTCGGCCAAATTCGTCATTCCGAAACAAATACAAAAGCGGCGTGGCGTGGCGTGGCCCGCCCAGCGCGCGGTAGCGATAGCGAGCCTAGCGTCATCGAGGACTCTAGCGGGGAAGGTTCGTCCGCGGGAGGCCCAGCGTCGTCGGCCCTGCCGCACGCGCCGCCACTCGCGCCACTGACGCAGTCTTTTGTTTTGGACGCCTTGATGATGATGCCCCGCGAGGCGGCCGGCGAGCAGCCCGTCCTCGATCAAATATCACACATGTCGGCCATCAATCACACACACGTCACGCGGCGGGGCGCGGCGCGGCGGGCGGGCGGGGCGGGGCGGGGCGGGGCGGGGCGGGGCGGGGCGGGGCGGGGCGGGGCGGGGCGGGGCGGGGCGGGGCGGGGCGGGGCGGGGCGGGGCGGGGCGCGGCGGAGCGCGGCGGGGCGGGGCGCTCGAGGAGGCGCTTCACCTCCACAAGGACATGATTAAGGCAGGCCGTCGGCGAGGCCCGCAGGCTGGCGATGCAGCGCGTCTCGGCGGTGGAACGGCCCGGCCGGCCGGCCTGCCGGCCCGGTCGACGCGCAGGGTCAGCGGCAGCCCGCGGCCTCTCTGCCTTTTTGTCTTTTCCACGCTTTTATTGGCGGGGCTCAGGAGCGTCGCTCCCGGGGCGCTTTTATGCCGTGTCGGTTTGCAGACCAGAAAGCTGTTACTGGCGATGCCTCCTCCCTGCCCTGCCCTGCTCGCCCTGCTACACTGGGGAGGCAAAAAAACAAAAACAAATAACAGTTAAATCCTCGCGTCCTGCGCGCCGCGCCGGATTTATAGTGTCATGCACCGGCAGGGCGAGTCTACAAAAGTTTACTACACTCGCAGTAATCGATCATAATCTACCAGACCACCCAGCTAAACATAGAAAGTACCGAGTAAAAATGACGGGAAAAGAGGGGCACAGCACAACCGCTGCCCAAAATAAAATTCTCAACTCGATCTACCGTTCGAATAATACGAATGAATTTTTAATAGTGTTTTGTTCACATGAGGGCTTTATAAAGTTGCACTAAAATTTGATTATTTCACCCACTGCAGGGTTGTTGTTGTTGTTTTTGTAATACAGTGCATTAGTGGTGATGGTTAGCAGGTCCACTGTTAGAGTTTCGATTTCCGACCCTAAATCCGAGTACAGCTGTATCCAAGGTCTATGTTATCCCAGCGCCTGAGTGCCCCTTTCCATTTGCCTGGCCAGATAAAAGCGAGCCGCACTAGGCGCACCAGGCATGCGCCACTCGCTGAATGGGGTATCGCCGCCGAAGCCGAAACCGCATCCACGGGAAGGGTTCCACCCCACGGGCCCGCGGGGCCGCCCCCACCGCCCCACGCCGCCGCCACCGCCCCCGCGACGCCCCCGCGACCCTCTCGCCCCGCGCGCTGCTGGCCCACATAGCGCACGCATAGCAGAAAGTAGTGTAAACACAATTTTATCAGCAGTGCACCGCCCCGCCCCCGCGCGGCTGAGGGCTGCTTGGGGTTGTCAGGTGCGGTGCGCCGCGTAGCGGGCCGCGGGGGAGGGGGCAGCAACAACAACAAGGACTGCAGGAGGGTGCGCCGGACGAGAGACCCGCAGCAGCAACAACAACAAGGCTGCAGTGCCGGCCCAGCACGCACCCTGGCCGCGTCACGGCGTCACGCAGACTCCCGGCCACCGCGAGTGCTGCCTGCCCCGCTCCGCGCTCCGCAACAGGCTCTTCCTCTCCTCCTTCCTCCACGCTGTCGCGGTAATGTTCGTCGGTAAGTTTTTCTTTTCCGGGCGCCCCGCTAACGTACGGCCTCGCGAATGGGGCGCGACACCTCTTCCCTGCATGGCGCGGCGCGGCGCGGCGCGCTCACTATCGCCGTCTCTCTCTTTCGGGGGCGCCGTCGCCGTCGTACTACTTCGCCTGGGCCGCACTTCGGCGCTGCCTGTCCCTGCATCCAGCTCGCCGTGCCCTGGCTCCTTGCCTGGCTCCTTGCCTGGCTCCTTGCCTGGCTCCTTGCCTGGCTCCTTGCCTGGCTCCTTGCCTGGCTCCTTGCCTGGCTCCTTGCCTGGCTCCTTGCTTGGCTCCTTGCCTGGCTCCTTGCCTGGCTCCTTGCCTGGCTCCTTGCCTGGCTCCTTGCCTGGCTCCTTGCCTGGCTCCTTGCCTGGCTCGGAGCGCTGTCTGAGGGGGCCTCTGGTGACTGGATAACCCGTGCCGCCAGACGGTGCCGCCGACGCCACGCCATGCCACGCGACGTGGCACCGCGCTGTCGCTGTCAACCCGCCGCGCACCGCCGCGCACCGCCGCCGTTGTTGTTTTCGTGGTTTTCGTCTGGACGTGTACAACTGTCTCGCCGCCCCTCTAAACGCGAGTCCACTTTGCCGCGAAAAGACTCGTGAGACCCCTTTCCCCCGACGGAGGAGCCCATTTTGTCACCGCGTGGTGGGGCGGGACGGACGGGGCGGGGCGGGGCGTATCTCGGTGTTGTTTCGGAACTTGGGCGAAAGTGTTTCAAACTTGATCGTCGCCTCGCTATCGGGAGCACGGACGAGTGGAGGAGGGGCATTGGTGTGCGTCAGTGAATGGAAAGCAAGCATCTAGGATCTAGGAGAAGGGGTGGGGAGGAGGATCCCTCTGGTCAGAGGCTCCCCGCCGCGCTCCCCGCCCCGCATCCATTCTTGATGAGTGCCTCACTGCAACCTACACTCTCCCCTGGCCTGCGTGGCCTGCCTGCCAGCCCGGCCTGGCCGCCCTGCCCGGCCCGGCCCGGCCTCCCTGCCTGGCTTTGTGTCCGGGGGATTCCACGAGCAAAGAAATTCCGTCCGACCGCCAGATCCGGTCTCGCTGCCCTGCCCCGCGGTGCTGTGCGGCCCGTTCGCACGCTGAGGTTTCATCATCGGATTCCAGCCACATCCCGCAGCGCAGTTGGCTGCGACGTCGGGCCGCCTTTCGCTCTGTCGCGGGTTCAATCCCCGTCGCATTCTCGTAAGCGGAACTGACACCAAAACGGTTTCCTTTCCTTTTCATTGCAATTTCTTTTGCCCGTGTTTACTTAGGACTGGGTGCTCGCTGCTGTTTGTTTGCACTTCGCCACGGCGGAGCGTAGTGCGGCGCGGTGGCGCGGCTCCCCCGAGACGCGGTCTAGTCGTCGGAGGCCGAGCCGAGGCCGAGCCGAGGACAGCGCCGCCGCGGACAGCCGTCGAGTCTTTGAGAGACGCCGCGGTGCCGTCCGGGGGGATGACGAGGGTCGGCAACGACAACAAGTGCCCCGTGCAGCTGGACGGGGTGGCTACGGCTCCAGCAACGCTGCAGCAGCTACAAGTGTGCTGCCCCAATCATTTGCTACTAGCGGCCTGGCTGTGCCTGGCTGTGCCTCGCTGTGCCCGGCCTCGGCTTAGTGTAGTATTTTGTAGCCGCCCGGGCAGGGAGATGGGGAAGGGGGAGTGACTAATACATGGAGCCGGTGCAAGAGAAGAAGATTGTTTGAAGTTGATGAAACAGTAATGTGCCGTGGGAGCGAGTGTGGGCCGAGAACCATTGCCAACTGCTGGGGCTGCTAGCCCGGCCGCTGCGGCTTGGCCGGCTTGACATCGTGCGGGGCGTCAGGGCCGTCGTCAGGCCTGCCAACGGGACGCGCGAGCGAGTGGGCCTGTCTGGCAGTGTCTGCGGGGGAATGCCGGCGAAGATTAGCAGTTGTGAAAACTTTGGTCGGCAAGTGTACTTAAGGTGGGCTTACTTCCTGTGCGCTGTGCGTGTTGGAGACCGCCCTTTTGGGCCTCGTCGCGGAGCGCCCGCCGCCATTCAAAGCCCGTTACTGCCTCCCGGTGCCCCGCGGCACCGCGGCGCCACGGCACGGCGTCCACGGCACGGCGTCCACGGCGACGCACCCAGGCCCGCGTCACTCTTATTTAGGGCGCTTTAGGACACTTCAGGACCCGGCGCCCCTTTTTGGGCCTTCAAGAGGCCTCCCGTTTCGGGGCTCCTCGCTCCTCCGCTTCACGCCGTCCACGCCGTCCACGCCGTCCCGAGGGCGTTGCTCCTGGCGATGCGACACCGGAACTCCTCGATTCCGGACCCAGGAGTTTAAAAAAAAGCTGGAAGCGACTGCACGCAGAAAGGGCCAAGCCAGGCTCGACGGCATGGCGCTCCGCCCACGTGGCCGGCTTCCGGAGGGACGTGGGTTCGATCCCAGCCTCCCGCCGGTTCTTGAGTCCTTTACCTCGTCATAGATGAAGTTGTCGATCTCCTCGAGCGGCCGTCCGTACAGCTCGGAGGGGAAGGGCTCGAACTTGCCCGGCAGCACCGAGCCGTCCTCGACGGACAGCTTGCGGCGCGGCTGGAATCCGTAGTCGCGCACAAGCTGCACCGTCTTGCTCTCGAGCCGGTCCAGCGACTCCTTGGTGAAGGGCTTGACCTGCACCTTGACGGAGCCGCGGCCGCCGTGGCGCGAGCTCAGCGTGCTGTTGGTGGCGCCGCCGCCGCCGTCGTGGTTGTTGTTGTTGTTGGCGGCAGCGGCGGCGGCTGCCGCCCGGGCCGAGGCCCCGTGGCCCTGGAGGGCGACCCTGGCGGGGTACATGTCTCAGGCGAGCGCGGTGGACGCGGTGGACGCGGCGGTGGGCGCGAGGGCGAGGGAGGGGCGCGGGGCAGCCGGTCCCCATGTCAGCGGCAAGCTCATGGCGCAGCGAGCGCAGCGACTCGCCCGGCAGGCCCGGCCACGTCGCGGACACTGTGGACACACGGCGATGGTGCGAGGACACGCTTCACGTTCGCCATGCTGGCGCCGCTGGCGCTCGCGCGGGACTGGCTTGCCGAAGCTTGCCGGAGTAGACTGGACTGGGGCGCGACGCCGTGCCCTGCCGCGCCGCGCCGCGCCGCGCCATGGGGTAGGGCGCGGTGGGGGTGGAGGGCCTCCACCGGGGGCGGCGCAGCGCGGCGTAGCGCGGCCTAACCGCCCCTTCCAGCCGCCCCGCCCCCGCCCCACCGCGACGCCCCCACCACGGCCCCCTCGGGCTGTGACTACAGAGAGCCCTGCACACCCTGAGGCGAGTGGAGGTGAGCGTGGCACGGCCTGGGCGCGGCGCGGTGGTGTACCTTCGCGGACCTGCTGAGGCCGCCGCCGAGGCCGTGATCGTCCTCACGACACTGTTTACCAGCACCGGCCCGCGCCGGCCTGTGGTGGCCTGTGGACTGTGCGGTTGGTTGGGGGATTCTGGGCCGTGCCGCCGTGCCGGCCCCCGGACTTGTGGACCGTGCGGTGCAGTGCGGTCAGGGGGATGCTGGCGTCCTCCAGGGCGTCCTCCAGGGCGTCCTCCAGGGCGTCCTCCGGGCGCTGTCTGGCCAGACGTCTCCAACAGGTCGCCGCGGGCGACGTGGGCTGCTACCGCCCTGGGCCTCTCTAGCACCTCTTCCGGCCCACGGGGCACGGACCGCGCTGCTTGGCTGCTTGGCGGCTTGCCTGCGTGCATCGAAGCACCCAGTCGGCAGGGCTAGGCCGGCCGAGAGGAAGGACGTCGCCGTGCCTGGCCTGCCTGGCGGTACGGGGCGGTACGGGGCTTTGCCGGGGCTTTGGCGCCGAGCCTGCTGGAGCCCACCGGAGCCACACGGTTCTTAGCGGCGGGGACGTCGCCAAGATGGCGCCACTGGAAAGGGTTTAGGGCCGACAAAAAATCTGCCAAACGCATGACTCGCAGAAATGTTGAGGCGACGACTCACACGTCTTGAAAGATTTCCCAAGCCACAATTTTGTTTCGTCGTTTTCAAAGGTGCTTGACAGTGGGGCGGAAAATGACCCTCGTTGCACCAGAGCGTGGCAGCGCTGTACGCTGTTCGCTCCGGGAACATGCGGTACTTTTCTTGAGGGAAAGCAAGCGACTTTTTTTCGCCGCCCTGATGGGTTTTCCCTCCCCAGAAGCCGGGGAGACGGTGCCCTGGTGGTGCTGCCGAGGGCGGCCGAGGGCCGGGACGCCGTCAGCCCGTCAGAGCCACGGCCGGACCCTGCTCCATTATGGCGGAAGATTGGTAAATTGAAACCTATTCGCAGTCTCGCAAGTTGCCTCGGAGGGCGTCGCGCCCCGCCCCGCCCCGCCCCGCCCCGCCCCGCCCCGCCCCGCCCCGCCCCGCCCGACTCGGAAATTGGCCGGGCTCTCCCACTTGGGCCCGCGTCGTCCTGGACGCCGTCGAGGTGGACGAGGCCGTCCGCACTTGGGCCTCGGTGCCGCTGCCGCGTTGCCGCGCAGTGGCGGCCGGTGGCGGCGGCCGAGTAGTGTTAGTGTTCTCCCCTTTGCTATTTTTATTTAGAAAAATCGATGCTCGCCTTTCTGCGTGCTTGTGCAGCTCATTGTTTCGTTCACGGAGCCCGTGTCACAGGCATTAGGAAACTGTAGAGCACCCCTTGCCCCCACCACCGGCCCCGCCCGCCCCGCCCGCCCCGCCGCGCCGACTCGGTCGCTTTCCTCAGTCGCTTTTAAGGCCCACCCGGTCGAGGATCCAGAGCTTTGCGGCCCGCGCGCCGCACCGGGGGCCGCCCCGCCCCGCCCCCTCCGCCCCCTCGGTCTGATAACAAAACCTACCAAGGCAGTACCGCTTGCGACACCCCCTTCCCCTTCCCCACCCCCTGCCGTGTCCCCCTCACCGCAGCGTGCCCCGCGGGGTGCCCACTTGCACGCAACCATGGCCACCAACTTCACGAGAATAATTAGGAAAAAAAAGAGTGGGTGTCTTGTGAGTATCGATTTAAAATCATTTCGGCGGGGCGTTGGCAGCGTGCGCTGGGTCCACGTGTGGAGCACGTGCTGTGTGGGACGGTGGACTGCGGCGGGCTGCGGAGGAAGGGGGAATCGGGGAAATTTCCCTCCGTGTACACAGGCGTGCACCGCGCCGCAGCGGGGCGGGGCGGGGCGGGGCGGGGCGGAGCACCCTCGCGGCGGGCCTGGGGCGGGCCCAAGGCGTTTGCCCTCTAAACGTGTTTGGACAACAAGCAAACTAAGAACTGCGGCACGAAGGCACGAAGGCGCCGGCCGCCCAGCGTCAACAACACTGCTAGTTTCTGGGCGCTCTAAACACACGGCTGGGGTGCGGGGCCGAACAAGTGCACTCCGACAACACCCCGGAGCCAAGCCAACCCCCAACCCCGCCGACGGTCGACGGTCTGGCTTGACGTGTCTGACGGCCTGGCTGGTGGCCCGCACTCACTGCGTCCGTTTGCCTACACCCAATTCGCAGTGACGTCACACCGTCATCATCGTTACGTGGAATGTGTACGGCACTGATGGGGGCTGGACGAGGACCTGGCCGAGGGCCTAGGTGGCGAACGGAACGGAGGGACCGTGGGGGCCCATCAACAGGCGCACGGCTGCCTAACTTCGGGGGGGCGGGCCGCCTAGGGCCACCCGAACGCAACCTCCACTGCGGTCAACCCCCTCCCCCTCCTCTTCCTCCTCGTCCTCGCCCCCCGGGGCCTGGCCGCCTGGCCGCCTGGCGCCTGGCCGTGCCGCCGTTGCATATCTCAATGGTCGCGCTGGCGGCGCGGCCGGCGCGGTGCGGCGCGGCCCGCACTGGCTCGCTCGAAAGGCTCGAAAGGCTGGGCCCTGTCAAGGGCCCGCCTCGCCTCGCCTGGCTCGCGGAGACAAATGGTGCAGCTGCTTGGGGAAAAAAAAGATCAATATAAGCCGCTTTGCGATTGCGACGCCACTACCGCCTAAGCGCTGCGGCGTCATGGCGCACCTCGTAGGCCCTGACCGCCCTGCTGGCCTCCGCCTCCCACTCCCCGCGTGGGGCAGATGATTCATGAGGTACGGGAATGAGTTGCTTCCATTCAACTCGTGAACGCCCGGCCCGAGCAAAGTGGTCGCCTCTCCGAGTCACCGCCGCACACCGCCGCACAGCGCGGCCGAGATTTTTCTATAAAAAGTCGACTCGTTTTCACTCGGCGCGCTAATTAGTTTCAGCGTTTCGCAGTGTGGCCGTGCTTCGCCGTGCTTTCGCTTCATCAAGGCGGACGACGAGGGGGCTTTTATTTCGTGGGCATCGAACTAAAGGATCGGTCGCGCAAACAGATCGAGCGGCAATCAGTGCTAGAGTGGGTCGCGACGGACCGCCGCCGATGAAGAAGCGATTATCGAGCCGCCGAGAAGAGGGGCTATCTATCGCCAGCCTGCTGTTGGACACCTCGATGACGGCCACCTCGAAGGACGCCGTCCAGCGCGCCACGCGCCACGCCCAGCCGGCAACGGGGCCACCGTGTGATTATTCGTCCGTTCATGAACAGAAAAATAAAGCGCAGCTTTCATTTTGGAGTGTCATTTAACGGCGTGCACACCGGCACGTATGAAGATGGCGCCGAGAGTTGATAGTCACTCCTTGAAGTGTTTCCTGGATGGCCGCACTCGACGCAATCTCAGTGCAAGGTAAGCACTGATAGCGACGCCTGTCTCGGCGATCGGCTGCGGCGGATTTGGCTGTCCCTCCAGTTGCAGCCCGGCTCCCTCCACTGCAACCATGGCGTCCTCGGCAGCTCTGCTCCTGGCCGTCGGCCTGGCCATCGCCACCGGTAAGGCGGCGCGGAACACCCCTCGGGGGCATCGGAAGGGGAGACAGCAGAAAGACTCCGAGAGCCGTTTTCGTCGCTGTCTCTCTCACGCACATAGGGCGTGCCGCATGGGTGCGAGAGAGACAGAGCGACGAAAACGACTCTCGGAATCAGTCTTAGGGGCAGGATTTCCCTTCGAGGGCTCGCGGGCCTGTTTATAGCCGGCACAAATGACCCGGAAACGTGTCTTGCAATCGCGAGAGGAATCGTCTCTCTCTGCTTCCTGGATCGCCTGCTGGGCACTATTTGCTGTGTCGGTCCATGACTGCCTGACAAAGAAAGTGTAGGAGGAGCTCTGAGGCTTTTGGGGGTTGAATTTCAAAGACTCACCAAAGCTTAGCCAAAATTCATATATAATTTATTTTTGAAGTGTGGTAGCACATAACAAGAGTCAATATAAGATGTGTAACAAATGAATATTATTATTAAACAAGTTTATGAGGACGCGAGTCAAAAACTGATAACTAGTATTTAAAAACTTAAACAAAAAAAAATAACAAAAATAAACTATACTCCTGTAACAAATCACGCTACCTGCGTTAACAAAAAACGCGTAAAATTATGTCTAACTCTTCAAATTATTCAATCAGCTCTTTGTAAACTTAGCACTGTAATAACAGAAGTTAATGGATACGAATAAAATCAATGTCAAAGACACATATATAAGACATCTTGTCTGATGTACAAAACAAATTCATTAAGAAAATAGTCACTTGGTAAAACAAAAAAAAAACAATCAAAAGTTAGTGAAAATAAATAAAATAACTAACAAAAAAATCATTCATGAGAGCATGGAGGGCGGGCGATTCTCCTTGGCCCCGGATCTTCTGTTCCCCTTCCGCTTGCTTGGTCCGCTGCACTTGCTGGTGCTGGAGACATCGGACTCCTGGAGCGCGGACTCCAAGGGGCGCGAGGCGCGCTCGTCGGGCGACGGGTTGGGCACTGGCTGCTGCGCAGTGGTGCTGCTCACCGCGTCCCCGTCCAGCGCTGCAGCCGCCTGCTGCACGCCCTGCACGCCCACCACGGGGCCGGCAGGGGCGGACTCCAGCGCGGCACCGGCCGGGGCAGGCTGCTCCAGCAGCGCGGCGTGACTGCGCCGTTCGTGTGCGCGTCGGTCGGCGTTCCGGGAGAACGTCGCCACGCAGAAGGAGCAGGCGAACGGCTTCTCCCCGGAGTGAGTTCGCTGGTGCTGGTGAAGATGGGTGATCTGTGTGAACGCCATGTTGCACACGGTGCAGGTGAACGGCTTCTCCCCGGAGTGCGTCCGCTGGTGAACTTGAAGAGTGCTGGATTCTGTGAACGTCATGTTGCACACCGCGCAGCTGAACGGCTTCTCACCGGTGTGAATCCGCTGGTGACGGTGAAGAGCGCTGGACACTGTAAATGCCATGTTGCATACGGTGCAGGTGAACGGCTTCTCCCCGGAGTGCGTCCGCTGGTGCTGGTGAAGATTGCTGGCCTGTGTGAACGCCTTGTTGCACACGGCGCAGCTGAACGGCTTCTCACCGGAGTGCGTCCGCTGGTGATCGTGAAGATGGTTGACCCGTGTGAACGCCTTGTTGCACACGGTGCAACTGAACGGCTTCTCACCGGTGTGCGTCCGCTGGTGACGGTGAAGATGAACGGACTCTGCAAACGCCTTGTTGCACACGGTGCAGGTGAACGGCTTCTCCCCGGTGTGAATCCGCTGGTGACGGTGAAGAGCGCCAGACTCTGAAAACGCCTTGTTGCACACGGGGCAGCTGAAAGGCCTCTCCCCGGTGTGCACCCGCTGGTGCTTGAGCAGGTCGCTGCCCTTGGAGAACGCCGCCCCGCAGGTGCTGCACTTGTGGGCCTTGCCGTGGCGCCCCGCCGCATCCGACACTGCGCCCGCGCCCTCCGGGGAAGTCTCGCCGGCCACCGCGCTGCGCCTGCGCTGGATCTCAGCCCAGCAGTGCCCGCCGCGTTGGTGCTTGCCCAGCAGCAGAGGACTCACAAAGCATAATTTGCACTTGTCACACGGGAAGGTGCCGTCTGAAACAGGGACGTAGACATGAAGCCTCTGCCGAGGGCGAGGTGGAGCGGGGCGATCCCAGCAAGCGTGCACGCTACTCACTGAGGACGTGGGCGTTGGCGGCCGGAGCCCTAAAGGCTTTGGGGTCTATCCCCAGCTCCTTCCCGTAGGAGTCTCCGTACCACACGAGGAGCTCCGTGTTGGCGGGCACGTCCCGCACCGTGCGGTAGTAGAGGTGCCCTTGGAATTGGAAGGGATGGAGGTTGGCCTCCGCCACGTTCCGAGGGCAGTTGACGTAGCGCATCCAATTGGAGGTCGACTCTCGCAACGCGTCGACGCAATGCACTGGCTTGCCGTCGCGACGGATCTGTCGAAGAAGAACACGCATTCAGACAAGCCGAGACGGACAGAGGAAACGCACATTCAGGTCCGGATGAGGGCCTACCTCCCAGCCGTAGCCACTCTCCCTGTTGGGCTCGGTGATGTCCCCCTCGTAGGGCCCGAAGCGGGCGCGTTTGGGCACTGCCTGCTTGGTCCAGACGCCCTTGCCTGCGCCCTCGATCTTCGAGTCGAGCACAGCGAGCTGGGGCGGCACGGTGTGCAGCGCGCGCTGCGGGTCCTTGGGCTCGACCTGGGCACACCGGAGCAGACGACAGTGACAACCATCAAAGCGGGCCGTGGCAAGGCAACGGTGGCAACATCGCGGACCCCCACTGTACCTTGGCGTCTGGGATCACAAGCAGCGGGCCGTGGACGGGGCACTCGCCCTCCCAGCTCCTCTCGCAGTCGTCGCAGTCTGCCAACAGAAGACGACACTGGTCATTTCACCGCTGAAAACGGACAACTTGTCTTCCTGCAGCACGCCAGCCAGACGCGATGCAGCACTGTGAAGTGAAACCGCCTGGCGCCGCGGGTGGACTTACACAGCTCGTCGTCGTCGTTGAAGGCCTCCGCCCCCGCGTAGCACTTCCTGCTGCCTGTGCGTTTGGGGTAGCGGGCTGTCGCTGAGTCGACGGTTGGCGTGGGGGTCTTGTCCTGGGGCGCGGCGTCGGCGGGGACCTCCTTCACTGGAGCCTTCTTGGACCGCTGCGACTGCTTGGACGGCTTGGGCTTGGGCCTGCAACGCGGACACCACGCATGAGCGAGGGGGCGATCACCCCCAGTGGGGCGTGGGCCACGGGGGAGGCACCTTACCTGGTCGGCTTGGGAGGCACGAACTTGGCACGTCGCGAGGACCCCTGCTGGAAAAGCGAAGGCACGAAAATGTTAAGAACAGCGACCGGGTGAGCTCTGCCAGCTCTGCCGATACCCCCTGCTCCCTTCACGCACGCCCCGCGCGTGGGGTATTTCCACGTCCGCGCCCCCTCTCACCTGTTCCTCTTGCGCGGGAGTCCAGTCGGCGTCCTGATCTTCGCTCCGTCTGCGCTTCGGCGGCGGCGCCTTGAAGGCGGCGGGCTGCTTCCGCTGTGCGGGCACCGGCTTGGGAATCATGAACTGGGGCGGTCTTGGAGCGAGTCCTGAAAGGCAGTCACGGCAATCAATGCATTAGAGAGACTTAGAGGCAACTTGCATATGTCCGCCAGAGAGTGGATGCCGACAAACGTGACAGTAAAGTGGCGTGATATTCAGCCCGAATTAAGCGAGGCACGCGCGGGGACACGTCCGGATCAACGTGTTTTCGCGTGTTTTTCTCGTCGCGGCGTCGCGGCGTCTGGCCGGCAGCTGCCTCCGCCTCTGACGGCACGGACGGGACCGGCGCGGCAGCGAGATGTGATCGGCGCTAGACACGGTTCACACGGTTTGGCGAGGCTCGGCGAAGCGAACGCGTCGCGTCTCTCTCACTCTCAAGCCCGTGGCCGTTAAAGGAAGGCCCTGTGCTGATCACTGACAGATCACTTGGCAGGCTCAAATTGAACCTTACACTTTCCTAGACTCGTCCATCACTAACCTGCTGCTTGCATGGCATGGTAATTTTCCTTGGCACTGCGGTAGCTCGATTTTTCGTAACTAGACAGCTCGTCCCACTGGGCGGAGGAGAAGTGAGGACGGACATCCTCGTAGTCTGAGTTATCACTTTCGCTATCGCAATTCATGTCTGAAGAACACTGGAGCACAAATGTTTCGAAGCAAAACGGCAAAACTAACGGAATGGCGGTTGGTGGTTGAGCTTTCGCGCGCCGCAGTCAGGGTGTGTTCACAAACTCGCTCTGCGACCGTCAGTGACCATCTCTCTCATAGCAGATGATCTCTTCAATTTTGTATGGAAATGGCTGTTAAAATAATGAGACTCAATTTTTAAAACACAAAATAATCAGTACATGACTTAAAAACCGGTAGAATTCTTAATCCTTTGCAAATTTTCCTAGCCCTTCCCGCCTCCGTACTTCCGACACCCCTGATCCGAAATTCAAATTTTCAAATCCTCAAAGAGTATAAATTTCTTAATCGTTTTGCCACAGCTCTGCCCCAGGGCGCTGTCCCACCAAAGAGGCTCTTCGGGTCGGACTGGATCGAGCCTGAGATCGTCAATGGCACCAAAGCCGACATCAAGGAGGTGCCCTACCAGGTAGGAGTCGCAAACCCGTACGAAACTAACTGAGACTACCACGCGAAAAACAAAAGGATGACTATAATAAAACTTTACTGCCCTCAGCTGTCCATGGAGTTGATGTTCATGCACACCTGCGGAGCCTCCATCGTGAGCGAGAGCTTCGCCGTCACCGCGGCCCACTGCGTCGCCGGGTACGTGTTTTCGTGTCTGGGGGCGGCCGGGTGTCGAACCCGCGCCGCCAGGGAAGGGCCGAGGACCGTCCTGCAGGCTGCTTCCGGTGCGAGAGAGACAGAGCGACCGTGTTAATTGCTTCCAGGGCGCGGAGGCGCGCCACGGTGCGCGGCGAGCCCCTGCAGCGGGTTGGGTAGGCAGACCGCCACGCCGCCGTGAAGGCCGTGCAGGCCGTGCGGGGGCCGAGCCCGGCGCAGAGCACGGCGGCGTGCCTCGGCTCGGCTCCAGCATGGTGAGGGTTACGACCAGCCAGCCAGCCAGAACCGTGTGCTCACCTTTCGCGACTTGTTGCGCCGTCGTTGCCCTCTGATGTCACGGGTCCCCGCCGGTCTCCGCCCAGCAACTTGGAAGCAAATCGTCGTCCCCCCCCCTCCGCTCCAGAGCAGTGCTGCAACTGCAGTGCGTGATGTCTCGATCGTCTCTGTGCCGCAGCACCCCCGCCTGGATGCTGCGCGTCAGGGCCGGCTCCTCCTGGACCTTCTTCGGCAACTGGATGGGCTCCACCTCGGGCGTGAAGACCGCCGTGGCGCACTCCGAGTTCTCCATGGAGACCATGAACCACGACGTGGCCGTCCTGGGGCTGAAGCGCACCCTCAAGCTCGGCCCCGCCATCCAGCCCATCGCCCTGCCCGCCTCCGGGGAGGCCCTCCCCCAGGGCGCCACCGGTCTGGTGTCCGGCTGGGGCACCCTCTACGTACGTCTTAAGTTTATCATAATTATTTTACCTCTACTATCTATTTCAAAGAACTTGTATATATGCCCCTGTTTATTTTTTTACCAGGAGGGCGGACTGCTGACAGCCTTCCATCTGAGGAAGCTGGAGATCCCCCTGTGGACCAAGGACGAGTGCGCCGCCATGTACCCCAAGCCCACGACCGAAATCACCGGCAACATGCTGTGCGGCGGTGACTACACTGGCGACTCTTGCCAGGTATGTTATGTGCAAGCCGCCTCCTTAAACAATTTTATCATTTTCTAGATTGGCGCCTGCTTTTAAATAGTGCCCGTTTCATCCAAACAAGTGTTAAAGAATGAGTTGAATTTGTTCCAGGGCGACTCTGGCGGCCCCCTCGTGTCTGACGGCAAGCTGGTCGGCATCGTGTCCTGGGGCGAGGGCTGCAACGAGCAGGGCAAACCCGGCATCTACACCAGGGTATCTGCCGTCGACATCCGCGCCTTCATCAAGGAGCACGCCGGTCTCTGAGTCCTCATAGCAGTGTGTTTTGGGAAAGGAATTAAAGATTACAAACATTTACCTTCTTAGCTAATTTATTCAAGCATTGTGGCTGCATGTTGTGTTGCGTTTCCAAATCAAGGCAACAAAGAAACTCATCACAGGAAAGAAGACTTCTAGTTCATAAAATAAATTATAGTAAATTGTTATATTTGTAAAATTGGATAGTGATAACATTTATTATTTTTATAGGTCATGAGCACACATGATTCGCACATGGTTAAAATACTAGTCAAGTTTATTAACAAGAACATTATAAATAAGAATACTAAAAATCTTACAATTTCATCACAGGCAATATTAAAGCACACACAAATTTACTCATGCACTCCCTCTCCCTGAAGCAAGTAGCTTCTGGCATGTTTTCCATTGACAATAACATTTAAAGTACTGTGATGCACACCAGATTTCACTGGTCTAAAAATTACACTCATCGTGAAATAGGAAGCGGGTGGAACATAAAATGTAGGAGTTGACACACTGAAAGGAGATGACAGATCAGATATTGACACCTGTAACACACAATTTAAATTAACCTTTAAATTATTAGCACAGACATTGTAGATACTAATATATAACTTTAAAAAAAAACTCTTACATGTGCCTTTCTTGCAGATGGATTCTGAAATGTAATTTTCACTGTACTCTTGTGCCGTTGTCTTGTTTTAGGGAACTCGAGCGAAAAGACTTCAGGGTCTTTGTACACAGCATCAGTGTTGACAACTAAATCATTTGGGATGTCTCTACCTGCTTCCTTCTTCAAACTTATCTTCGAAACTGATGTTATTGAAGAAAGTGGTGAACCCCCAAAGTCTCCTTTGAAAACATCATCATTTTGAGCATCAGGAAATGCATTGGGCATGCCAGATAGTATAGGGCTCTCTAAATACTCAGAGGTATCCGAAGTTCTGAAAACAGAGTTTTCACATTAAATCATTGAAACTTATGTCATAGCTGGAACCATTAAAACTAGGATCCACTCACCTTTCATTAAGAAGTGGTGAGTTGAACATTGCAGTTCTGAAACACAAGATGAAACCATTGAACCCAGAAATAGAGGAAAATAAGTGTTGTTCAAAAACTGAACACAGAAGAGCTCTTACTCATTGGCAACAAGTTGATCAAACACTAGTGTCGCATCCATGTCAAAAAGATTGAGCCTTTCACGCTCGATAAGGACTGCTACTTTAAGACGGCGTACTGCTTGGGCCAATACAGATTCTGAAGACTGAAAAAATTGATGAAAGATATAACTGAGAAATGGTATGTGTAAAACTCAAGGAATACGAGGATTATTATTTCTCACAGCTTTACCTTGTTGTCCTTCAGTTCTTTTCCCACTCCTAAATCTCCAATGTATAAGGTGCCCCAGGGACACAGAGGACCAGATTTGTCAACTTTGTAGTATTTCATGAAAACTCTGTAAAGTAATGACATAACAAATTCATACAATTTGAAAATTGCACTGAAGGCCTCCTCCAATAGCTATATAGACAAACCTTCGAATACGCTGCCAAGTTGCAAGTTCAGACCATGACAGCCAAATATTGGCAAGAAGCTGCATGTCATCCGCATTTTTACTTAGCCATTGCAATATATCAAGACTGGGGTCAAAACGCACATTGAAACGTCCCATTTCTCCGGGCATGAGGGGGATTTCCTTTGGAGTCACATAGACTCCACAATCTTCAAACGGTAATTCTGCACAAAATAGAGTTTTTGAAATAAGTTATAGTACAAGATTCATTCCTCTAAACATAAAAACAGATTGAAACAGAAAGAAATTCTTACCTCCAGCAATCTGAACACTTATGTAAGCAGGAACTCGTCCTGTATTTTTAACAGAAAATGAGGCAACTATTTGAAGAGCATCATGGCTGGCATTGATATCTGATATTTCACTGCGTGCATCATTGTCAGCAAACATGGACATATTCAGGAAGAGTTGCGCCCATCTGTCTTTTGAAGCACCATCAACTGCCAGTTCAGCATTACCACCATAACCATAGAGTGCAATCTGGGCAAATATAGGGAAAATATAAACCATTACAAAATAGCGGGTTCTTTCATTCAACACCACAAAAAACATAGCAAAAAATTATGAAACAGGATGTACCAGTCTTCTATCCTCTGATGTGGCTGAAGAACTTTCTGAAGTTGCAACTCGACTAATAACAAGTTTTCCAACGATAGATCCAATGGATATGGGAGAGAAAACGACATTGATCCGCCGGGTTTCTTCTGAGTGCAAGGTTAGCATTAGCTCTGCCAATAATTCACCTCGTTCACCAATCAACTTTAAAACAGAAACATAAGTAAATAAATGTAAATAGAGATAGGACACTCCCACTCAACTTGTGAACAGCTCCTACCTTAAAGGCAGCATTTGGTGAGGTGACAAGTAGGCGCACACGTGTAGATGCTTTGTTGCGGAGGGCAAATGTTTGAGTCACACTTGACCCAGGAGGGACAGACGCCCACGACAACTGAGAGTGAGTACTATCAATTTGGAGAGGGCCAGAGGCGATAGATGCCAAATCTAGTCAAAAAAATTGTAATAAAAGTACTGTATTGTGTCCACAATAACTATTGCAAATCTGATTATGAAAATGACCAATTAATGTACTAATCATGCATGTTTACCTGTATGTTTTGATGAGCTTTTTGAGGAGGAAACTATGGAGCGAGCAGAACTACAGTTACTAGGGGGTCGAGGCTCTACTGAAAAGGAAACAAAAAATGAAGGGAAAAAACAATTAAGAGGAAAATCTGACTTTAGCTGCACACAAAATAAAAGTAACATTATCACACCTGATGAGTTCTTTGAAGCAGTTCCTTGGGATCTGCAGCTTGGTTCCGAACGACGAGATAAAGATCCTTTACCCAGAGACTTGTGTGTTGGCAAACTGTTCTGACTTGAATGTTTGGAATCCGACAAGTGTTCACGTGAGCCTTGGAATTTTACGCTTAATTGATCTGATCCCTGGGAACTCCTGCTTGCTCCGCCAGAGTCATCATTCTCATTTCCTATCAGTCTTCTTGAAGAGAGATTACTTTTGATTGAGGGGTTGTTGCTTGTTGCTCTGTTAAGGCTATGGGCTCTGGTGACAGGCTGCTTTGATTGAACCTTGGGTGTTGAGAAATTCCTGAACTGACTTGAAGTTGGATTACCGTTGGTTGTTGGAGGTGGCATGAAAGATGACATAGATTCATAATCATAATGTTCACTCCTAATGTCAGCACAGTCATTTAGTTTAGCTTCTGACTTGATTTTTCTGATATTAGAAGAGCTTGAAGCTTTAGAAATTTGAGATACACTTGACACCCGCTTGAATTCCTTATCCTCTTTTTCTGATGCCTTATCATAGCTGAGAGAACGGTCCACATCACTACCAAACACAGAATCATCGCAACTACGATTCATTAGTCCATTCTGTGAAATCCACTCTTTAACACGTTGATTGCGTGAAGGAGAATTTTCAGAAGAGTTCATCAACGTAGACTTTCCCATTTGAGAAGCTGGATTGCTACTGCTTTTTGATGCCTTGCTTGCCTCATGATTTGTACTTTGAACTTTGATAGAATCAAGATCAGGCTTAGATGATGAAATTACAACCCTGCAAAATGAAAAAATGAAATATTTTGAAAGATAGTTGACTCATCCATTAAGAAATTTGAGTTGATAAAATAAGATGATGATGACAGCTCACCTTTCCATTAACTCATCCACAAGTTGACGAGCAGACTTTGGACCAGAAGGTTTCTCATTCAATATGAGAAGCACTTGAGAGAGGCTCAGAAGTTTCTCCCCAGAGTCAAGACTGAGAGAAGATGAGTTCAGTTCCTTAGCCACACCATCTTCACTTTCTCTTGGAAGTGACAAAGACATTGACAGACGAGAAGATACAGAGTCTCGTATTTCAGAGGGACGAGACCTTGCCCCACTGGGCTTAGTGCGTGGTGGTGGTGGAGGCATTAAGTCCATGCTCCTTGAAGCTGGATTTTGAACCTGAAGATCAACATGGATGAAACCTACACAAACTGAGTTAAATTGTTGGCAAATTTTGTAAGGAGGTGAAACCTTACCACGTCCAGGCCAGACTGATGATGTACAGCTTCAGAAAGCATAGATTCAGATAAGTTCAGTGTGTCAGCAGAAGATGAATTCAAAGTTCTACTTAAGCCAGCATCTCTTGTGGGAACCTCATCTACAGAACCTGAAACAAACATGAAAATTAAATTATCACAAAACTTATGGGTAACAAACAGCACAGAAATATTGTTAAGACTGACCTTGGGAATTGTTCATATTAATAAGAGGAGGATGCGGTCGTCTCTTTGGAGGGCTTGTTATGGAGTGACCAAAGTTTGGGCGTTGGTCATGTGCATCTCCAAGCTGCTCAGTGTGCAATTTGAAATATTCTCCAGCTGACATTCGCCGTTTTCCAACATCTTCCATAATACTAGAACTATAGCATTTACATAATATAAGAAAATGCCAATAAATAAATTAGTTTACACTAGTGACAATGTATACTTGCCTTATTGTAACTTCACCAGCAATAATTCCAGACATAGATGAGAGATTCAGATTTTGAGTAAGATGTTCTATTTCAGTTGTATCAGACTTTGGTATGGGAGCTATAGGAAGGTCTTCAAAATGTTGCCTCCAAGAATTCTCATCCTGCTCCATACGGTCCATAGCCATGTCTAAGAAAACATTAAATTTCATAAAGGTACAAAGTTTATTATTTCTTGAGTCAGTACCCAAAGTTACACTTAGGAAGAGAGGGGTAGGGAAGGGGAGGGGAGAAACTTACCAGCAGATTGAAAATTTTCTGAGGACATGGAATCAATAACAGCTGGTGAACCAGAGAAACTCATAAAATTTGCAGCACCAAATGTTGCCTGTGGTAGGGGCAGAAAAATATTAAAGAACACAATAAGAAGCGAATAACTGAAAATAAACCAAGAAGAGACTGACGTTGGAGATAGGAGATGGAGTCTGTGCAGGGTCCGCAAAATAAGCTCCTACAGCATCTTTGGTCGCTTTTTCAATGGCAGCAGCTTCATTGGTAGAATCATCAACATTATACGACTCTCCAACTATAGAAAGAAATGAGAATGAAAACCAAATCTGAATATATAGAATACAAGAAAAAAGTAATAAGTGCTTACATTGTGACAGCCTGATGGAATCTGTGCTTCTGTCCATGGTACGCTGAGCTAATGCCTTTTGAAGTCTGAGACGAAGGTCTGCTTGCTGCATGCTTCGAGAGGAAGATGTGGATTCGTTCAGCATCCTAGAGCTTCTGTCAGTGCCTGATTTTCGCCTCTTGTTCTCGGCTTCCAGGTCATTCATGGAAAAACGACTAGAGCTGGTCTTGCGGGGGAACTGGCTTGGACAGAACATGTTAGGAACTTAACTTACCTTTGAATCAAAACACACAAACTTAATAGGGCAGGATAATACATACAGGATCAGGCTGCACATTTTCTTTTTCCAGCAAAGAATGAAATGAATACTCTCTGCGGAAGTTTGCTAACAATTCAGCTACATTGGTGCCATCTTCAGCCTCTGATAAACCTAAAACGAACATTAAGCATCACCTCCGACCAAAATAACATAAGAAAACATGTCACTCCACTCCATTGACAGGAAAACAACAAACCTTGCAGGTCATCCAATTTTAAAATTCCAAGAGAAGAATTTGCTTCACTGTTTGTGACAGCACTTTCCCTGCGATCGTCATGTAGCTCAGTAACACTTGATGCTTTACGGAGTGGCTGAACACTAGGAGGAGGCTGCAAACACAACAAAATATTATTTCAACTTCATTCAATCACAAGCAGGAAGAAAATAAAGGATTGGGTGATAAAAGCACGGGTACCATTTTAAAGCTCCCTGGAGATCTATCACTCAATGAACCAAGCTGGTCTGCCAGTAATTTCATACCATCGATGGCATTCAAAAGATAAGAAGGCGACTGAATGGTTGGAGGGCTTTCCTTCACTTTCTGCAATGCTGGTGGGAGCCTGAGGTAAATCAAGAGCATAAAAGGGAAAGAGGGCAATCAGATCAAAAGTTAGTTTTTGAATGTCATTTTCTTCCAGTTGAGCATGGTCAATGTTTCACGATCCTGAAAAAAATTACAGTACTGCAGTGAAGGGGTTGCTTACGGATCGAAAGGCTTGCGGTTGACAGTTGAGCAGGCTTGAGGTTTCGGCGTGTTCAAGATGCTCTGGTCCAACGAGAGATCATCCCGAACCTGCTTCTTGCTCGGCTGCACGGGGGTGTATGAGACCTCCATTGAACAACGACGAAACTGCTAAACTTGACTCGGGAAACTTGACAGAACTTCAGTCACAACACCAGAAAACTCCATTCATTTGACCGTAAATGGGTTTGCTGTCAAAAGGAAAACCGGAGATTCAAAATAGACAGAGAGAAGAACAAAAATAATCACAACAGCCGAGTGCGCCACTCTGATGACGAAAAAAAGCATCGGTTAAGATGAATATTACTTCATCAATGCGGTATCGAAGTACGAAATTTCTAAAAAAAATAACTCACTGGATGAACTTAAGAGTTGGAGGTAAATTAAAGCATGCTGCTGCGGTCCTCACGTGCACGTCAGCAGTCCGGTCGTTGGCACAACCGTTTCCTTATTTGCAGGACACAACAGCAGCCAGGCCCACACCCGTCCCGCGCTCGTTTCGTTGCAACAGTTGTCAAGCCGATTGTTTTATATTTACTTGTCTCAATTGAAAAATCCGGTGGTGTAGTGACTCAGCATCTGGCCCATTCCTTGTTTCCATCATGAGCTCAGACACTTTGTCCGCAGTGAAGGGCCTCTCCGACCAGGAACTGCGCGAGAAGCTGACAGGATTGGGAATGGATGTAGGGCCTATCACAGGCACAACAAGAACTCTCTATGAGAGGAAATTGGTCCAGCTGCTGACAGGAAGTTTGCCTGAATTCGGCGGAGACGCATCTCCAACTCCGCCTAAGTCACCCCCAAAATCACCACGGAAGCCTTCTCCACGCAAACCAGTTGACGAAGGGCACTATGGTAAAATGTTTACCCATGTGTCGGCTACAACTTACGCAATTATTTTACCTCACGAAGTGTTGTCTGCTTACAGGTGCTGCCCCAGACCATGACACTGCTGATGGCTACACCATGGGAGAGGTAAATGCATCTGTGCGACAGCCCCTCGAGAGTTCTACTATCAACCTAATACGAGCCCGAAAGCCTGTATCCCGAGCTGTAATCGAAGAACCCTTTTCACGGCAATCAATTCCACGACAGTCTTCACCATTCCCAGCTGCCAATGCGCAGTTCAGGAAAGCAGAGCCAGGAAGTGGTGGGTCTACTATGGATCATGTATTGAAATTTGCTCTGTTTGGCATTGTCATGCTAGTGATCATTTATTTCATAACTAATCAGGAACCTGGAAAGTCCTTAGAACACAGGACTTAAACATCCTGATATGTTTATTTGCCTACCTTGTTACTCTCATTTCTTACCCACTATGTTTTTTTAATCCTAATATAATTTGATATCTCAACTCCTATTTAGATCATGTTATGCAATCCACTTTTATTGATTTCTTTGCCATATTATGTATTGATCTTCTTATCCTTTTAGAGCTAAGTAAATTATTATTAAATTTCTAAGTTTCATTTCGTACCCAGCATTTCCCAAAGCTATTCAAGTGAACATCAAGCAGAGGAAACCATAAGGAAAAATACCAAACAATTAAAATGTAAGCAGCAAAAATTTATTAACATATAATGTACAGATTTCTTCTACATCTCTATCCATACCACAGGGAACTTGCAGTGGGACACATTTAGATAGGTGACTTCCCAACACCTTGGATATTGTCATAGTAGTCAGCAGGTTTCATCTTCACCACCTTTCCGTAACCTTCTGATCCAATAGTATAGTATGGCTTGGAACGAATGGATTCCCACCCTGACACATTCTGCCAATCCTGTAGAGAAGAAAGAAACTTAGATCCTGCAGGCAAATATAATTTGAAGCAATACTACTTCTACTTACATTTGAGTGATATTTGAATATATAATATCCTACGTAGCCACCAGCAATTGCAAGACAAATCTTGCCTGTCCAAAACCGGTAGGCATGGGTCATGAACTTCTGTAAGGCAGAAACAGATGTGAGGAATAAGCTGTGCAGGAAATCCAGTGTGCGCAGGCTACTGCAGCTCTACCACCAACTTACTGTGTTCGGGTTTTGGGTCTGGAAAAGTGTCTCCAGGGGCCAGCGATACAACCTACGGATAGGATTGTAGCGCTCCTTGTAGTACCACTCTGGGGTCACTGGCTCGTGGTGGAGGACTTGGTCCTTGAGGAACTGAGCACGCCAGGTGCGGTCTGCATCCGTGAAGCCTCCAGCCAGACGCTCTCGCTGGTTGCCAAAGCGGCCTTCGATGGCAATCGCTTTGACTCCTCCGGTCGGGGAGTCGGGTCCGTCCTTTCCCTCGTACTGCATCGCAGCTGGCCTTGCTCTGCAAACCAAAAGCATAAGAATTCTGTGAAAGAGGCGCGAGAAGGCCTGGGAGCCACTGGACCGCCGGCATCTTAAAATGTTCGACGCACAGATCAGCCCACAAACAGCTGACATAGGCACAGGTTAGGATCTAGCACTGCGACCTTCCCAACAAGCGCAGTCAGAGGCCGGAGGCAAGTCAGGTCAGGTGACCAAAGTTCAAGACAATTTTGAACTTTTACTTGGTTCGAAAGATAAGCAAGTGACCTTATCTGCAAGAATTACAGTGAAACATTAGATAATTGGGGCTGACAAACCTTCGTCGATCCGAGGTAAAACTTGTGTCTACTGCTTGGGAACAAGCATCCCAACACTCCCGTTGAAAAACATTTATACGCAATGCTGTTCTCAAAATCTGTATCATAAATACTTATTAAAGCTTCTATTTTGTTTTCAAAAAATTTACTTGAGAATTTTTTTCAAATTCTCGGTGCGCTTTGGACTTTATTATTTACCAGCGTTACTCTTCAGGCACTTTAAGGTAACCAAGTTGCCTACCCTGGAACCCAGTTCAACATGTCGCTGCCACCACCTACTGTTGGAAGTAATTCTTTGCCTAATTTACCTGACAAAGAGACTCTTTGGCAACAAACTTATCTCGAGGTATTCATCTCTCCTGTACTAATAACACTCAGTAGTTCTTCTTTTTATGTGTTATCTTTGGTGTCTTATATTAGGTTTGTGCGTGTAGTGTAACCTAACTTTGCCAATCAAAACAATCCTCTCCCGAACATGTTTTGGTGAAATAAAATGGGATGGAGGCGATGTCACGTCTCGTCGTGGAACTCATGTAATTGGTGCTTTTAAATTTTTTTTATTTCTTGCCAGGCATTCCATCAAAATTATGATTCAGTTCAACGTTGGACAAAATGGAAGGAGGACCATGAGCAAGTCAAAACTACTTTGTCTGCTTTGCCAGACAAGCTATCACATGAAGTGGTTGTTCCCTTTGGCTCCAAGGCCCTCATGAAAGCAAAACTAGTGCACACAAATGAGGTCTTGACATGTATAGGAAGTAGCTGGTTTGTGAAACAGTCTGCTAAACAGGGAATCGCAATGTGTGAAAGAAGGATAGTTCGTATGTATTTTAAAGTCTTACCATTTGATTGAATATCAGTGGAGCTTTTAGTAACTGTTTGAACCTTGCAGAATCTGAGGATATGCTGAAGAAACTGGAAAATGAAAGAACTCTGTTGACAAATCGTCAAACAGTTCCAAAGGTGGAAGAAGCTTTTCCTAGCGACGGCACCGAGGAAATAGTTGAGGAGTACAATGAGGAAATGGAGGCAGAGTGGAGACGTAAGTAGTATCCTGTTTGGAGATTAGAATATAATGACTTTAAATTTATTTTATCTTATGAATATTGCTTTACAGGGCGCCATAGAGAAAGAGAAGCTGAATATCACCGTAAGCTTGCAGAGCTGAGGAAGAGGCAAACAGAACAGCCTCCAGTGCAAACTGAGGAAGACTTATTCAGGCGACTTGATGAGCTGGAACTTGAAGAGGAACTGAATGACGAATTGGAAAGGTAAGCTGATCAAATTTATTTTTACTTTTATTTAATTTAAATGTGTAATGGCACATCTTACCACAACTCTCTTTTGTAGGCTTCATGCTGAATATGAAGCAGATTATGAAAATAATGATGAAGAAGGGGAAGGTGAAAGCGAAGGAGATGAGGATGAGGACAGTGAAGGTGGAAGCGGTGATGAAATGGATGAAAACTACAGTGTTGACCCCAGGAAAGTTACCTTGCTAAATAAACCTAAAAGTACAAACCATAATGATGGGACAAGAATTGTAGACATTGAAGAAGTTGAATCTCTAGGAAATGACAGGAGAAAAAATAATGATGTATCATGCAGTCTGCAGACCTCCTTTGCTTCAGAGAACTGTCCTGAGCTTATGAAAAAGAACAGGAGGATATCTTTTGCTGATGAGACTCAAATTCAACAACAAACAACAAAAAATGAGTATGAAGATGAAAGTATCTACATCAGATTTAATCATTCGTCAGAACTTTCAGATCAGATGTCCAGAAAAACTCTTGAAGCTCCTTTAGAAACAGTGAGTATTTTTAAAACTATGGATTGAAAGTTTTGTAAAAAAAAAATTAGATTGCTAATTAATTTTTTTATCTAGGTTGGAACACCTATGTACAACACTCCAGCTGACATTTTTACTGTTCATAAAGCTCAATTTGTAAGCCCTCAGCCTAAGTCCATATTAAAGAAAAGCTCATCATATCCCGACAAATTTTCAGACAAAAGTCAGAGAAAACCAGTCCAATCTTCAGCATCATTTGGGGCAAGATTTGGTATGAGCTTGTCTGACTCTGATGAAGATTTGGCCAGTGATGAACCAAGAAGAGACCTCAGTCACTTGCCTCCAGTAAGATATTCTTACTGACTTGTATAGAAAAGTATCAGTAACAAAGACATATACTAAGCTGTGTCTGTTCCTTAGGTTTTGTGCAACGTGCAAGAGTCCTCTGGTCAAGCACCTCCTGCCAGTTCGCAGGAAACTTCCAGCAGACCTGTGAGCCGCTTCAAACTGGCAAGGCAAGGAGCCAAGAGACAATAAATCAGACTGAACCAACAAATCGCTTGTGTCATATCAATGAAATCCTGTTACAAATAAACGCTCTATTTTTTTAATTTTTTTTTTTTTTCATAAAAATCAAGTGCTTGTTTCTTTTGACTGCCCAAACGAACGAAAAGAACACAGTCGTCTGACACCCGAGGGACGAAGGACCGCTGCTGCCGTTGACCCAAGGGGCGGGTCTGCGGGCCTCAGCAGCCACGGCGTGGGGCGGTGGGCTTTGGAGGCAGCCATTGGGGGAATGACCCGGGCGGGCCGGGCGGGCTGCTGTTAGCGCAATGCCGGCAACCGGCCTTCGGACTAGATGCAGGTTGTGCAGCCCTGGCCGCGGCCCCGGCATTAAAATGCAGCGGGCCGAACACTGGTGCCCCACAGACTCACAGCGCGCCGCTAAGTAGGCACTGCAACACGAAAAGAGGTCCTTCTGCACCCCGCGCCGAGGCCGAGGTGGGCGGGGGCGCCCGGTCGGGTGGGTTGCCTACGCTCCGAACGGTAACGACCTGGCGGCCGTTGGCGCTTCGCACTGCTTCGCGCGGGGGCCACGTCCGGAGGCCGCACCAAGGCGACTCGATGCAGCAGACGGCTCCTGCACTGTGACTTCGTCGCCCTGTCTCCCTCACACCCTGACGGCACACCCCTTGCGTGCGAGAGAGAAGGAGATAGACGAAAGCTATGTTCGGAATCGCTCTGCAGGTCCTCGCCTCCGCGTAGTTCGCACCCACCCGTGAGTCCGTGCGTCGCGGCACGGCAGCGGTGCGGCCTGCGGCACCGCGACTCGCCCCAGTCATAAGCACGGAAGCCACGTGCGAAGAGGCACCAGGACACCGCCAGCCACAGCACGCCGAGGACGCCGTCAGCGGCAGCACCCGACACTCCGACCATGCGACTGCCCCTGCTGTACCTGCTGCTCATCATGGCGGCGTCGGCCGCCGTCGTGAACGCCGTACCCGTGAACGCCGTACCCACCCAGGTCGTCCGAACCGCCTCGCGGTGGCGCCGGGACCTGGTGTTCAGCCCGCTGTTCACGACGCAGGTCCGCGAAGAGCGGAGGCGCGGCCTGGGCCACGGGCGCCGGGGCATTCCCCGACGCGGCATCGGCCTCAGGCAGTGACCAGTGCAGTGGTGAAAGCGGGACATGAAAATGCAAACGTGCGTGGGGATTCGAACCCGCACACGTCAGCGGCGTCAGCAGCGCTCGGCCTATTGTGCGTACTACCCGTGAGGCCGTCCAGCAGATCTAGATATCTAAACGCGGCCGCGCTCTCGACCTTCCCCACCAATGCCACTTCTTGGCCAGACTTTATTTGTACTTATTTTTATCTGCTTTGCTTCAATAAAGGGCGCTGTGGAGCGTGAGACTCGGATCGTGGCAAATTTTCATTTCCTGCTGGCCCATTCATCCACCGCGGCGACGGCGTGGAGGGCCGCGACGGCCCGCCGCCACAATAGTAGCGGCAATAGCGTCTCCACCACGCCACCCTATCCGTCAGGGCGCGTCCCTAAGCCATGCCCAGGCCCAGGGCCTCCCGAAGGCCTCGGCGTCCCACTGCACTTCTGCGAGTACTGTACCGAGCGCGTAGTACAACGCACAGACAAGCGCCCAGCACGCGGGCAACCCGGCAGACTGATGCCGAGGGGTCGTTTCGTCGCTCTGTCTCTCTCGCACTCATGCGGCGAGGCGCGACAGAGCGAAGAAACGACCCTTCGGAATCCCTTGGCCGGGCCGGGCCCCCTTCTAGCCCATCGCTTAACCAATTAGTCCGATCAAGTAGTCTGGGCTAGGGCGGCGTGGCGGCCCAAGCCGGGCCACAACTGGATAAGAGTGTCTCTGAGTGTGGCGGCCGCAGCGCCCTCGGTATCATCGCCGTAAGAAGGGGCAGCGAACCGAGAGTCTTCACCCGCGCCCACCACCTCATGTCGAAGGGTCGTTTCCTCGCTCTTTGTCGCACTCATGAGGCGTGGCCCGTCTGCGAGAGGGTATGTTTTGGGGCGGCTGGACCGGGCGGCCAGACCCGGGCAACCTCGTCTGGAGGGCTGGATGGGATCCCACACGCTTGCGCTGCCCGCGCTGCCCTGTGCGGGAGGCCCTGCAGTGCAACAACCTCAGCCAGCCAGGGCAAGGCACACCCGCCAAGGCACGCGAGCCGGAGTGGTCCTGAATGGTCCGCGAACTGCGAGGCGGCGGCAGTGGGGCTCTAGTTGCCCAGAGTTATTGTGAGGACGAGGCTGGCCCGTAGGTTGGAGGGGGAAGGACCCGACGCACCGGAAGCTAATTTCGCAGTGCAGGAGCGAAGTGGGCCTGGAGGAGGAGGGGACCCCCTCTCTCTTTTCCAGAAGCGACGGCCTCTCCAATGGAGATGCTGTGTCGGCGAGTACGCGACGTGCGGGGCAGGCCCCCCTAGGGATCGCGAGCAGCGCGGAGCAGCGCCGCGGGGTGAGGGGCCGGAGGGGCCTCTCCGCGCCCCACCTCACGCCCCGCGCCCCGCGGGGCCCATCATAGGTTAGCCCGGCCGGCACGCCGACAGCGGGGCATTCGACTGTTTGGCCGCCGAATCGAGTGGAGGCGACGCGACGCGCAGTGCTCAGCAGTGACTCGTCAGGACAGCAAGCAAAGCACCACCAGCAACATGGCCACCCTGAAGGCGATCGCCGGCAAGAAGTACAAGCTCGACTCGAGCGAGAACTTCGACGACTTCATGAAGGCTCTGGGTAAGTTCGCGGCCAGGTGAGAAATTTCGGCAAATGGAAGGAAAACGCGTTGCTGGGCAACACGAGGAAGCCGCTCGGCCAGCCGTCAGCCGGCCCAGGATGGCCCCGGACCTCGACGAGGTCCTCGACGAGGTCCTCCAGCAGGGACTTGAGGGGCCCGGCTGCTCTGAAAATAGACAAGGCACGCGACAATTAGCAGTAGCGCCGCCGTCATTTTCCGCGCGTGTCATCGCGGCCCGCGCCGTGCCCGTCGTGCCGCATGACGGCCTCGTAATTGCCTCCGGGTGCGAAGGTCCTCGACGTCCTCGTCGTCCTCGACGTCCTCCGCGACGTGGTCCTGGGCCTTTGCGGGGTGCGCGGGCCACTGCTTTGCCCAGCAAGATGGTCCGCCGTGGACCGAAGGACGCGGCAACGCTACGCGGCGGCGTGGCCCGCGTCAAGGCCACGGCCGTCGGAGTCCTCAGCTGCTCAGCTCCAGTTCGAACTTCGAACCTGCTCCCGCCACTTCGCGGAGCTAAGCTAAGCGCGCCCGTGCGTCTATTCAGAATTCGGAATCTCAGCGCACCCGTTCGTCCATTCGGTCGCGGCGGTTCATTGAGTCGGAGCAGTCGGAGCGGGGCAGTACGGAACTACACCGCCTGCCACTCGGCCTTGGGGACCACAGCGCCGACACGGCGCGCGTCACGAGGGTCAAAGGTTGCCCCGGGTAAGTGTCGTCGTGACTAAAACACCTGTAGAGCGGTCCGTTTCTTCGCCATGCCAAACGGCGCAAAAATAAGTCAAGGGTCGGTGGCGCGACCGGCCTCAGCTCTTATCGAACGCACCTGAAGGGGTCCCCATATTGCCCCGCAACTCCTGAAGTGCTTGCGCTTGGTGCAGCGCTGCTCCACTGCTCCACCGCACAGTGGGCCAGAAGACCGGCGCAGGCGGCCACAACTCTAGACGCGTTTTGAGCTCCAGAGTCGCTAACTGGGACTCGAACCGAACGTGTGACCCCACCAATGGATTCCTCGTTCGGAGAGCAATCCATTGGTGGGGTCACACGTTCGGTTCGAGTCCCATTTAGCGACTGTGGAGCTCAAAACGCGTCTAGAGTTTTGGCCGCCTGCGCCGGTCTTCTGGCCCACTGTGCGCCGCTCCGCCCTCGGGCTCTGCCGCTCCACCGTTTTCAATCATTCCACCTCGCCCCCACGCTGGCCGCCGCTCACCCCCTCTCCCCCAAGACGGCCGCGACGGCGGACGAGGCAGTCGGGCGAGGGGATCATTGAATTAGCAGTCCATTTTATGACCGATAATTGGCCAATGTGTCCGTCGGTGTCCCTCGTGGGAGGCCGGCGACGACGACGACGACGTGACGCGTCCTGCCCGCCGGCTTCCTTGAATTGCACCGGGAGGGACGTGGCGTGACGTGACTGCGCTGCGCGTCCGCGCCATGCAAGTGGATCGTCGTATAACGTGTCGAGACCAATGAAAAAGAATATAAAGAGAAGAGGATGTCATCGGTTTCTTCCCATTTTGGCATTTTGCCTGTCTCTGTGCGCTGCGCTGGCTGCGCGCGTAGTCTCTCGGCGAGGTCGACCTTTAGCACCACCGGTTCGAGGTGTTGGTTGGCTTGCCTGACCGGCAAGGCGGCCGTGCGCGGTACGGTACAGACGTCGGCGGGCAGCCTAGCGCTACCGTACGCACCCCCGGTGGCGCGGGCTGTGAACTTGGTATATCGGTTCCACTGATCGAATTAAATCACACCTCGGGGTGTCAGTGTCACTGTAAAACACGACAAGCAAAGGTCGTAAATCTAGCCTGCATGAGTCCGCCCCACCGCCCCCAACCACCAGCCGCCCGCAGGCCCCGCAGGCCCCGCCATGGCCCCGCCGCGCCGCGTCATGTCCAGGACGTCCAGGACACTCCCAGGACCGCCGCCCCCATAATTGAGTGGCCTAGTGGCCGTGGGGGAGGGGAGGGAGGGGGCAGGAGGGAGGGGCCGCCCCGACCCGACCCGTCTCCAGGTCTTTCCAGTTCGTTTACTACACTTGACTCAAAATAGCTTGACCCCTCCGCCGCCCCGCCGAACAGATTGAATTATTTTGGAGGGCGCTGGACGGCGGGCCGGTGGCGTGCTCAGCGTGCTCGTCCGTCCGTCCTACGTCAACTTCCCTGCCGCGGCCTGGCGACAGCCGCGACAGCCGCCGTCCCCGAAAAGGGCGAGCAAGGCATGAGTCACGATGGCGATTTGTTGCGCGCGTTGAGCGGTGCAGTGCAGGGGCCGACAGGGGCGTGGCCGGGCGTGGCCGCGTGGACCCGTTCCCTCCCGGGTCCAAGTCCGATGTCCGCTCACGTAGACAGAGACACGCCCGCCCGCCGCCGGCCCCGACGATAAGCGTTGCCGAAAGGCCACCTTGCCGCCCCCGACGCCCCCGCGTCGCGCCCCGTCACCCTGCAGGCCTGCGGGCACCCCGCCCCGCCGCTCTCCGCCACGCCCTCGCCTCGCGGGGTCAAAGGCTGGCGGGGCGAAAGGGTTCAAAGCGCGGCGCCCTTTTGACTACGGACCGGAGACGGGTCTCTGCCGCGCCGCGTCGCGACGGTGGCGCGCTCCGCGCTCGCCCACTGCGGGCGCGGGCCACCTTCAGCACCTTCGGCCGCCTTCGGCTTCCTTCGGCTTCGTTCGGGTGGCGCCCGATCCGCTTCCCCTCTCCTCCCTGCCGCTCCCCTCGACTCGAAGCAACCCGTGCCGGCGAAGCGGCGGGCGACCGGCAGCCGGCGGATTCATTCCAGTCATTCGTCGGCGTCGAAGTCTTGCGCGCTCACCTCCCGGCACCTCGAGGCCCTCTCCTTCGCCCACCGGCCCGCTCGTTACCCGAACCACTTCTCCTCCATCATGGGTCTCTCCGACTTCGCCGACAAGAAGTACAAGCTGTCCAGCAGCGAGAAGTTCGACGACTACATGAAGGCTCTCGGTGAGTGGGCGGTCCGGTTGCCCATTTGACGCGTTGCGCGCCGACAGCGGCGACTCGTGCTCGGCGGTGGCGTTGTTTGCCGTCCGCGTGCCGGCTCGCCCCACAGGTGTGCCTGTGTGCACTTTTCCGTTTGTCGCGGCTGGGAGTGGCGTTGTGAGCAAAGCGGAGGCGATGCTGGTGGCCGTCTGGTTGTGACAGACGCATGGAGCTTGTATCGATCGCCGGCTCGGCGCCGTGCCGCGTCGCGCCGCGGTGGCGTGAGGTTAGCCCTCCCCCTTCCCTCCACGCGGCCCCGCGGACCCGCGGTCAGCTGGGCCTGCTGGAGCTGTCAGTTTGCAGTGTCGACGGACACGTGCACGCGCGTCGCGCACCGGCGGGCACCGCCGCGTTGCTTATGGTACCGACACTGTTCCTATTTAACGACGGTGACCTTGTACTGCTCGGCGTGCCGCCCCGCGCCGTTCGGCTGTGCTTGGCGGGAAGCGCGTCGTCTGCTGCTCAGGTGATGCTGCGGCATGGAGGGGAGGGGGAAGGGTTACTGCCGGCCGGCCGGTCTGCGAACGGCATGGCCATGGCATGGCACTGCACGGCGGTGCGGCGCGGTTGTTTTGTTGTGTGCGACGTAGTAGCTTCGTCGGCGCGGCGTCTGGTTTCGTTGCCGTCCGCGACTTCCAGCTGCTGCCGCTGCGATTTATTTTGATGCCTCCATCCCCTCCCTCCCCTCCATGTCCATGCCTGAGTGGCTGCTAGCGCTGAATCCATCGGGTTGCAGCCCGCGTGTTCTCGTGTTCGTCGCCGTAACATGGCTGTAGTCTGACGCCCAAGACGGAAGCCGTGCAAGCCAGGCGCAGCCAGGCGCGGCCGTTCAACTCCTTGGTATTTGTTGGCCTGTACCGGGCGCCGAGCGGCACCGCGGCCACGGTGTGCTCGGACTTCGCACCTCGGCGCGGTGGTCCTGTGGCCGTGTGTGGTGGGCTGGGCTGGGCTTGGCGGGGGGCGCGACTTGAGCCACGTCGGACGGTGGCGCGGAGTGGTTTCCATGGGGATCGGTATCTGGAGCGCGACGAGTGCCAGCCCCCCAGTGCCGTGGCGGAACCGCCTTGATAAAGTGGGGCTCCCCTGACCCTGGCCGTGACCTTGGTCGCGTCCTTGGTCGCCTCGGCGTGCGCTATCGTCCCGCAGCCCGATCGGTACGACGGTACGCCCCGCCGCGGTAGTGTACCCATGTTTGTCCACTCCGTTTTATAGCCGGCCCCTATCGGCATGGCGGGGCCCTCGGCCGCCCTCGGCCCTATCGCCAAGCCCCTGTAGACCGTGACTTCCAGGCAGATGCCCCTTTTCCACGCTACCGGCCTCGAAGAAATGGCTGTCGTGGACGCTGTGCTGTGAAACTGGTGCTAACAATTTTGTCATTTGTGTGCGACAGGTGTGAGCTTCGTGACTCGCCAGGTGGGCAACGCAGTGAGCCCCGTGGTGCATCTGACCGTGGACGGTGACCAGTACTCCCTGACCAGCGCGTCGTCCTTCAAGACCTCCGTCATCTCGTTCAAGCTGAACGAGCCCTTCGACCAGGACACCCCCGACGGCCGCAAGGTGAAGGCCACCATCGTCCTGGAGGGCGACAACACCCTGGTGGAGACTCAGGAACCCCAAGGCAGCGGCAAGGCCACCAAGATCGTCCGGGAGTTCTCCCCCAATGAGATCAAGATGGTACGTTTCAATGTTTTTACAAAATTTAACGTAATTCTTTATACTGTTTTTGCGCTCAGTATTAACACTTCTCTCTCGTTACAGACTTTGACTGTCGACAGCATTGTGTGCACCCGTATCTACAAGCTGCAGGAGTAAGGCGGCAGCCCCAACTGTCAATGCCGTCATCTAAAATTTGAGACTGGATGTTCTATTTTAATCATATTTATCGGAATTTTTTTTACTTGAAGTGTAATGTGGAGTTTTATGTGGAAGCCTGTAATACTATTTTGAAACCCTTTAATTCTTGTATATTTGTAATTTGTGTTATTGGTCTATTGACCTTCATTTATTTCAGCACAATTTTACGTTGTGCATGTCCAACATCCTAAAATAAAACCTATTCCATGTACTGAGAACTTGAGTTTTCCTCAATCCTAACATGCATCTTCAGTAAATCGAAACTGACTGGCCGTCTTTCTTGACTGGGTGAGCATGCCCCTAGTCGCAAAGAACTGGTTCTCAGCCTGCACTCTGGTGCCGGTGCCGCCGCCTTGTCAGGGCGAGGATCCTCTCCGCCTCGCGCAGGCCGCTGAGGCGCGCGCCGTGCACCGTGGCGAAGTGCCCGGGGCACGTGGCCTCCCCCGCGAACAGCAGTGTGGGCTCGGGGGTCTCCGCGCACGGCGACGGCAGCGGCGCGCTCAGGTCGCACTGCTGGCCGACGTTGGACTCCAGGCCCAGGTAGCTGACGGAGCCCTGGTGAAGGCGGTCGTCATGTTGGTTGGGTTGCACTTGCGTGGGCGGGGCTGCGGGGCTGCGGGGTCGCGCTAACGCCCTACCTGGAAGAACGGGTCGCTCGTCCACCGCGAACGGAGGATGGTCTCTGGGTACGGCAGGGAGGGGTCGCCGGTGAAGCGCCGCAGTACCCGCGTCACGGCCTCGGCCACCGCGTCGTCGGACTCGTTCTCCATGCAGCGCGCCTCGTCGCCCGCGACCTGGGTTCAAATACCGATCTCGCCCCAATTTATTTGGCTGCCATTGGACTGCATGCGGCCGGGCCGGCGACGGCGCAGAGAGACTAACCCAGGCGCACAGCACGGCCCGGCTGCCGGGCACCTCCTCGAGCGCAGCGATGCCCGTGGTCCAGGAGGCCCGCGCCAGCAGCTCGTCGGGCGTCCAGGCGAGCTTCAGCGCCCCGGACCCGCGACCTGCAACCGCCACCGTCACGCTCGTAGAGTCCTCCGGGCCATGGCGGCACGCTGCAGCGGGGGGCGGGGACGGCGAGGACCACGACGTACCGGGCAGCCAGAAGGGGTGCGCGTACTCGAGGAAGATCTTGTTGACGACACCGTTGCCCAGGTCGCGGATGGCGTCCAGCCTCTCGGTGGGCAGGGAGGGGCTGAAGAGCGACTCGGCGGTGCTCTTGAGCACGCCCAGCGGCACCGTCACCACCACGTAGTCCGCCTCCAGCTCCGCGCCGTCCCGCGTCCGCACGCGCGCACGGCCGCCAGCCTTCCCCACGCCCGACCCCCACTGGATCTTCTCCACCACTTTGCAGTAGTGCACCTGCCCGGCCGCACCGGAACCGGGCGAGCGAGTGAAATATTGGCATTGGGAGGGAATTACCGTGGACGGGATCGAACGCGCGACTCACTGTCTCCTCCGGGAGGTCCCTGAGGAGGGGGGCGAGCACGCCGACGAAGCCCATGGGCAGTCTGGCGCTGCCGCCGGCCAGCTTGACGGCGCTGCCGAAGTGGTCGGCACTGACGCTGGCCAGGTCGGCGCCGACGCGGCACCTCAGGTCGTTGGCCAGCCCGTGCATGACGGCGGACACGTCGTAGCGTAACTCCTCCGGGTACCGTAGCACCTCCTGCTGCATGCGCCTGTGTGAAGAGGTGCGCGGAGCGTGCGCTGGAGTGGAAGTCACTTCAGACGCGGGTTCGAGTCCCCGCCGGCCGGTGGCTCCGTTTTTATTTTTTTTACGTACCTGTGCAGGAACGTGAGCAGCGCTCCGGTGGGCTTGGTGAGCTTGAGGGTGAAGAGCGACCGCGCCTGCGACTCGATGAGCGCAAAGGTGTGGTGCGCGGCCCTGGCCAGGCACGGCTCCACGGCACGGCCGTCGCTCGTGCAGAACAAGGGCGGCTTATCTTGGTCCTGGTGCGAGTCGGCCGTCAGCAGGCCCTCCCTCGCCGCCAGCGAGTACACCGAGTTGTTGGGGCAGCCGCCGTACAGCCACTGGGCCCCGAGCTCCACCACCGAGTCCCCCAGCCAGCACGAGTGCACGCGTCCACCTGGCCTGCGAGGCAGGCAGTAGGGCGTCGGTACCCGAAGCCACGCGCGTTGGTCCCTCCCTCGCCGTCGAGCTAGCTGCCTACCTGTCCGTGGCCTCGAGCACGGTCACGTTGCAGAGGCCGCACTGGGCCAGGCGTTGCGCGGCGGACAGCCCTGCGACGCCCGCCCCCACGACGACCACCCTGGGCTGCGGGCTGTCTGGGTCCAGGGCGCACGGGTCCAGCAGGCACATGTCCTTGTCGGGGTCCTGCCGAGGGCAGCAGTCGCCGCCGCCCGCGGGTACCATGCTGCTGCCGCCTGAGGCCCTCCTCGTGCACGTCCTGGACCGGGGGCGAGGCGTTTCAAATAGGCCCGATTAGTGAGGTTATGCCAGAAACTTTCGTTGACGATCATACTAGCAATGTTAGCAATGCTACATTCCGTCATTATTATACATCGCAGCATGATGGAGGGGGAATTCCTCCGAATGGTCTGGGAGCATACCGCAGAAGTCGACAGCGTGACACGACCGTGGAGGCTGCCGCCCTCGCCAACATGCCGACCATGCCGACGCCAACGGTCCTTTCTACTTTCTAAGTGACACTCGCAAATATCTGAAGGATATGAACATCATGTTTTCCGACATTTTCTCGCCCACGTTCCATAACAAGAGACAAGAGACTTGACGTAGGCGGCGAGGGAAGGCACTCTTCGCCGTCATTTGGACTGCCGCTGCCGCGATCGATTATTTCACCCTCGCGAGGCTAGTTGGTGCTAGAGATGCGAATCTCGCCGAAACGCAACGCCACACTACGGCAATGGCGCGCTCCCAAGATGGCACTAAACCGTATCAAACTTTGAAATGGTGCGAAATGGATCCGTGTCTCCACATGGTTGCTGGCCAGAGCTGCTGGCCATCGTTTGCACCATGTCGACGTTCGGGCAAGCGAAGCTACGCAACGTTCCTGTGGTGTTCTCATCTTGGGCACCAGCTAGCCTCGCTCAGGAGGAGTCGGATCGAATAAAGGTAAAAGTAGCTGCGGTGCGCTCCGCCCGCAGCAGGAAGACAACAAGCGTAAGCTCCTAGGGTTTTTTCGCTCTTGAGATAAGATCTTTTCGCGTCATGCGATAGCGATAGACAATAAACAAAGCGGCACACTCCCTGGTGCTCTACAACTAGTGCATTGTCTGCCACTGGCAGTCGAAGTCGACATGGTATCGATCCCGGGTGGAATGTTGACAGCTCAGCAGGTATTTTCGAATTTCGCGGTTTATGAATTTACATCTTATCAATTAAAACTTGTCAAATTCTTTTACATTTCCTTGTTTTTCTCAGCTCGTCAAAGTAAGCCTAGTCCTAGTATCTTTAAGTACAGTATGCCCTCTAGCCACATCCTCTACAATTGAGTATTATCAACCAGAGCAGGTGCATTTATCATATGGAGGTAGTGTCAGATATTTTTAAAGAGTGTGGCATCGGAAGTTTATAGCTAGATATTTAATATTTAACACAAATATAATGTAATTTTGTTCTAGAAAACGTCTATGAAATGGTTGTTACTTGGACCACATACAGTGATTGTGATTCCGTCGTAGAGTATGGTATTGGAGGATTTGCACTCAAGGCTCAGGGTGAAACTAAGAAGTTCACTGATGGAGGTTCAGAGAGCAGATCTATGTTCATTCACAGAGTTAAGCTCAGTGATCTCTCTCCTGATGCAAAGTATAGTAAGTCCATCTCCATGCAAATTGAGAACTGAGGGAGCAGTTAAATTTGTGACGCATACTTTAAATTATTTAAATTCTTTCAGCATATCATTGTGGAAGCAGTCTGGGATGGTCTGGTGTGTTTTGGTTCTCAACAGCACCAGAAGATTTATCAAAGTGGAGTCCTCATTTAGCCATTTATGGGGACATGGGAAATGAGAATGCTCAATCATTAGCAAGGCTGCAAGAGGAAGTTCAAAGGAATGTTTATGATGCAATTATACATGTGGGAGATTTTGCATATGATATGGATTCTGTGAGTGATATATTTTACTTCTTCATTTTATTTCCATTTTCAAATTTAAGTTGCAGCTTGCTAACAGTTTAAAATGACATGTTTTATCAAATTTTTGTAAAATGATCTACTTTAATTTTTAGGACAATGCTCGGGTCGGGGATGAGTTTATGCGACAAATACAGTCTGTAGCAGCCTACCTGCCCTATATGACTTGTCCAGGCAATCATGAACAGACATAGTAAGTTTGGGCCCCTGCAAATGTTTTGCAACACTTTTAACACTAATAATGTCATGATTTCTTTTCAGTAATTTCAGCAACTACCGGGCAAGATTCAGTATGCCTGGGGACACTGAAGGACTATGGTACAGTTTTAACATGGGCCCTATTCACTTCATTGCATTGACAACTGAAGTGTATTATAATTTTAACTATGGAATGAAACAACTAGTGAAACAGTTTTATTGGCTTGAAGAGGATTTGAAAGTTAGTGGACCTACACATGATGCAACATAAATTGAAATTCTGTATATGACCAAGGAATTGAAATTGCATATTACAGGAGGCTACAAAACTGGAAAACAGAAAGCAACGTCCTTGGATAATCACATACGGACACCGTCCAATGTACTGCAGCAATGATGACTATGATGACTGCAGGCAGCATTCAACATTTGTTCGGAAAGGGATACCTTTTCTGAAATGGTATTGTCATTTTTATGAGACAAGGTACTGAAATATTTAGAACCTGATCTAAATATGTCTTCTAAATCCAGGTTTGGGCTCGAAGACATGTTTTATAAGTATGGTGTTGATCTCAGTATTTGGGCCCATGAACATTCATATGAACGTTTGTGGCCAGTATATGATTACAAAGTCTATAATGGAAGCCTGAATGCACCATATCAAAACCCAGGAGCTACTGTTCATATCACCACAGGATCTGCTGTAAGTAACTGCTTAAAAATACAGATTCTGACAAAAAATCATTTACTCAGAATTTATTCACAAAAAGCTTCCCAAAAAATATCATAAATCTACAGAGCTTAAAAAATAAATTCTATCTTCACAAAGATATAAGGACGGGTCATACACTAGGCGTTTCCAAGTACATAATAATAATAATGTTTTCCTCATGGTGTCCTAAATCTAATCTAGCCCCAAGCTGGAATGTCTAAAACAAATTCTAGATGACTTAATTTCAAGACCAGATTTTCCAGAAGCTTTGTTGGCATCTGCAAAACTAGTTAACAATATCACATCAGTTAGCGTCAAACTTCAAATTGATCAAAATAAAATATTTTAAAAAACAGCTTTTAAGAAATACTGGCTTAGTAAACCATTACACAAACAAACCTTTCAATAATAAAACATATCAGTCCTAAAATTTCAGACTTTTAAAAGAAAAAGATGATTTTCTGCATGTTAAAACTATGTTGCAGTACAACATAAGTTCAATATTTGAGATCTATGCCAGAAACTTGGCCAGATATACAATACCACTTTGTTAAGCAAAGGAACATTTGCTTGTGCAGGGATGCAGTGAGCGCACCGATCCATTTATTCCAATCAAACCCGAGTGGTCGGCTTTCCGGAACAGTGATTATGGATATACCAAAGTAAAAGCATGGAATGAAACACATCTTTACCTGGAACAAATATCAGATGATAAGGTAAGCACACAGTACTACATGAAGATGCTAACTGAAAAACTGAAATAAAAACTTTTTTCATTCTTTTCCTTTTTTTTTCTAGGATGGAGAAGTTATTGACTTCATCTGGATAATTAAGGACAAGCATGAAGCATTCAATTCAAATCAACAGTTCAATGGAGATAAAGAATTCAGAGAGGTCTCTTTAGAGTAGGTGAATGCTCAAAGTCCACATCAAGTAGAGCGCTGCCACTATATCACTAGTCACTACTTATCAACAGTATTTTTCACACTATCTATTTTTTCACACAACGAATTTAAATAAATATATTTCTACTTGTTTTTGCTTACCAATGATTTCAGTTATCAAAAACGTTCACTGCCAGATGGAAAGGGAGCTGTAAAGAAAGACCTCAGGTTTAGACTAGAGTTAGATTTGGATCATGCAGTATTGAAAGAATCAGCATTTAAGATCATCTAAATACCTGATGAGTCACTACACACAGATGAGCATGATTCATCTGGAACAAATCTTCTTAACACAGATGTAAGGATAAGAAGAGAACTCTGCAGTCCAGCAGGGAGGTGCCGTTGGAGCCAAGTCCCTTTGTATTGTTCAATATGAGCAAGCAGCCTAGAAAAGAAATTATTCAAAAAATTAATTCTTATTCAAATAAACAAGAAGATAAGATATGACAAACTACTTTAGTCCAGACTCACTTGTTTGCAATATCGGTTCGGAATGTTGGAGGGAGATTTGATATTCCTAAGTTGATCACAGAAAGGCCCATATTTGAGTTTGGATTCGTCCCAACAGAGACAAGGGATCGTCCGATTCGACATGACGTCAATAATAAATCTGCAGCCAGCTGCAACTCTTGGACAATCATCTCGGCAAATCGACACTGGGGTTTTGCAGCAAACAAACTCGTTTGACATCTTTTTATGTGCTTTGAAACTCTCTAGATAAACAAAAGCACAGCAAAGGTTACTTCCAAACCATAAGAAATTAAAAACACATTTGAAAAGAAACCAAATATATCTTACAGCAAACAAATCAGCAGGTGTTCTTTCCAGATTAACACTGTCAGGATCAGTCAACAGCTTGTACAGTGCAGACCCATCTTGAGGTGGGAGATCGCGCGGATCACCACGGTCTTGGCCTCGACTAACTCTCAGCACCAAGGTCTCTGCATAACCTAATTCTAAGACAACTCCACCTAGGATGCCAGCGCTGTCCAGAAACACATGAGTGTCTAGCAAGGAAGGTAAGGCAGTATGCAAGTAATCCTGCAATAAACATATAAATTGTGAATAACTAAGTTCAATTATAAAATTAGTAGCACGTTAAAATGTTACTTTTGGATTTTTTTGAAAAAAATAATTTGAGATGGATATTTAAAGCTATAAATAATGACGAACCCAATGAGTAGAAGCATTCCAAGCAAGGCCTGCACCAACGACAAAACCAGGTAAACTGAAGGGATGCGGTGTGAGATGAAAGGAACCAGACCAATGTGCAATGATTACTCCAAGAGATCCTTGCTTCTGAGCTGCCTGAACAGCTCGGTAAATATTACAGATAGAGGCTTCAGGACAGCCTGCTAAACTGGAAGCACAAATATTCCCATGTTATTTGATGCAATCCACCATCTGTATCTTAGGCACCATGATGACATATTCAGTTGCCTCACCTGTTCCAACTGGCAGTTCCAGGACACAGGCAGGTCATATTGCCTTGTTGGCGGAAATCTTGCGTCCATTGGACAAAATCATAATCAGCCTAAAATAAAAACAAATCCGTAAACTAAACGAGGAACAGCCATAAGTTCATCCCATGAGGAACTAGGAAAACTTGTTGACAAACCTGAAATCCATATTCTACGAGGACGACATTTGGGGGGATGTTGTAAAATCGACTGTGGAGTCCATTAGCACACAACATGAGAGTAATGTTTGGCGGAAGGTCCAGTCGGTGCCAAAGCTCCCTCATAAAGCTAGGAACTCCAAACAGACCACCTTCAGGTTCCAAAGCAAGACTCAATCGGTCACTCTCTCCTCCCCGAGACCTGTCAAGGTCATCATTGTCTGCGGATATTGAAGCACTCTGGTGAGCAGCGTCCGTGCTATCATTAGGGCAGCGATGAGCAGCAGGATCATCATCACGTGTCAAGAGTAGACTGCTCAGTCTTGGTCCCACGTGAACATATCTGCAAATGTTTCCAGTAATAATGCTTCCTTCTCATTTAGAAAACGATTCATTAAAGAACTGAAACCATACCTTATGTTGGGGAAACTTGCAATAATTTCTTGAAAAGCCGGCCACATTTTGGCTAGAAGCTTGCAGTTAACATGAGGCTCAACATCTAAAACAGGCACCAGGCTTATGAACCTGTCCTGGCAGTATCGATCTATTGTCACCATTTCACTGAAGAAGATGAAGAATCAAAAAATTAGATGGAGTCAGAAACACAGAAACAACATAAGGGAATTTTGTAAATAAATTACAAACTACCTTTTAGAATAACATAATTGCCACTCATGACTAGGCAAAAGCCTTGTGTAAAGATGAAGATGGGATATTTTGAGTGAAGACCAAATATCAATAAGGTGAAACAAATAATCCTGTAACAATGCAAAACAACAATTACAACAAATGCCCATTTTTTGTCACGTCCTTGTTTGAGATGAATAATGAATTCTACAATAAGCTAATGCCTAACCAAAATTGGTACTCGGCCGTTTGGAGAAACGTCTAAAAGAACAGCACGATGTCTTTGTGTAGGATAATCTTGGATAAGGACAGGAGGTAGATTTGGCTTTCTGCCTTCTTGTTCCGCTGCTGCAACACTCAGTCGTAAGAGTTGGGTAAAAGTGCAAAGGGCATAATGCAAGCCTGCCAGACTGGCCGCAGATATTTTGACCTGTAAAAAGAAAGAGTACATTCTCATTAAATACAACAACGTTTTAGAAAAGTGCATGAAGAAAGTAAAGATATTTATAGCTTTGGCACATACTTTGATGGAACTGATGTGTATTTGATATGCATCTCTTTGACTGAAAAGATCTTCATTAACTGTGCACTCAACTTGACTCTCTGTCTCCATGCCTGCCACAGGCTGAATATCACCAATTTTAACATTGTACCCCAAAGCTAATAAAGCTGTTCTACTCAAGTCCCAGACATCCAGAATCCTGTAGATTAAATGAGTCAGAGACATAATGTAATTTAAGAAACATGAAAATTTACAAATCGAATGATTATAGAAAGTGTTTTGCATATTACCTATGAACAGAAATGTTCCCTTGCACAACAGAAATGTGAAGCTCCTTTTGCGGTAAGAATGGTTCCTCTGGGTCTCCATCTAGTGTATCACCCCCTAACTCAACAATTTGCTGAGGTTGGGGCCATAGCAAATGCAGAGGACCTTGCGTTACAATAGGAGCAACAGGTGTGTTAATGTGGGTACGAACCAAGCTTTCAACCATCTGAAATCATAGGCCAAAATTTAAAATCATAATAATAATACAAAAAAAAAATTATTAATTTTTTTTTTAGTAGAAAAAGCTGAATTATTTCCATGGAGAAAACCGCAATGACCTGGTCAATACGAGGAGCTAAATCCAATGATGCCTGTGATGAGTACAAACTTCGTCTAGAGCTTTTGGGTGATACAGCATCATGAGCATAGTTTGCACTCTGACTATGATTAAGGGGCTGATGAGTGTTTTGGGTGTTTCCATCCCCACCATTGGAAACATATCCGTTACCTCGGTTGACAACATCATAAGATTCCAATGATACACTCCTCAATCTGTCCTTTTTAGGGCTAGTCATACTGCTAAAGATAGAACCAAATAAGTTAGAAAAATAGACGTTTCCAAAGAGTATTTATAAAAATTAGAGGATTGTAAAGACCTGGTAGAAGATTTCCGATTTGAGTGGCAAGTGGGTAAGTTGTGCTTCAGATGAGGAACTTGATCCGAGTTGTGTGAAAAATGATTTCCATCGCCAGAAACAGTGGTACTAGTGGCATTCGCATTGAACTTGGGAACAGTCTCATATGCTGCCAGCTTTGTAAGAATGAGTTCTAGGGAAGGCTTCTGGCTTGCAAGTTCAAAAGCTGATTTTCCTCCAAACTTCCTAGAAATTAGAGAATAATTATTAAAATTTTAGCTCACAGGTTTTGTAAGACATCAAATGAGGGGTCACTTGAGTAAAATCTCCTATCAATACCCTTTAATTGCTCGAATGCAAGGGTTAGCTCCAGATCGGAGCAGCTCCTCTATTACATCAATATCCGCTCGGGCCACAGCATCATGCAAAGGTGTGACTCCAAGGGTATTCACACTGTTCACATCTGCTCCTCTATCTGGAATCAAGGGAACAAATGTCAGAAGTAGGAAGTGCTTTTTTCATACTAATAACAAGAGGCAGTAACTCAGAAAAAAATAAAAGTGTAAAACAAACCAATTAAACAAGAAATAACTTCACGGTTTCCATAGCATGCAGCCCAATGCAAAGGTGTGTTCCCACTTTCTTCACTGTCCCATGAGTTCACTGATATTCCAGCAGTCAAAAGTTGACAAACTCTTTCACAGCTAAAAAAAATTATTGAAACAGCAAAGTAAGAAAAGAGAGCTTACATTTTTTGGACATTGCATTCTAACAAAATAAATTAACAACAAGAATTTAGACCCACTCTGAGCTAGCAGTGGCACGCAGTAATTCTTCAACATATATTTCACGTAAATGATGAGATGTTGCTGCATCTACTGCATTCAAACCTAGTTTGTTCTGGACACGAGGGTCAGAGCCACAAGCAAGTAATGTGCGAACTACATCTCCATGGTTAAGCTAGAAGTAAAGAGTAAATAAATAATAATTGGAACAGAGTTTTGTAGATATTAACAATTAAAATAGCAAAAAGAAGAGCTAAAATCATCAAAAATATTTAGTATCAGCCCAATAAGTGGGTACTACCTTTGTCGCCAAATGCAGGAAAGTTCCTTCTTCTAAACATGGAGAGTTCAGAATTTTTTCTTTGGTTACCGACCCAGGTTCGTCAGGCACAATTTGGGAGTCACCTGAAATAAAAAGAATACAAATTAAGTCTTGCAATGTTGCCAGAAAATAAACAAGTTACTATGATAGCTAGACTGTCAGGAGATCGTCGCAATGACATGTCGCATACATTGGCAAAAAGGGAGAAAAGGCAGAAGAGCCTTATAGACAACACAACTACCAGATATTAAAACGTAATTGAGAAGCTTTCAAAATGAAGTTTTAACACGGCTAGCTAATAAGTTGCAACAGCATTTGGTTTGTTTACATCAGAAAACAGCTCAATCTATAAATGACCACAGGAGATCTAACCTTTCCCACCAAAAAATTGACGAAATGGCAAGTTAGAGGATACGCTAAAGCACATGATGTTCCAACATAAACGCGAAATGTATTACTAAAGCGGCATGACACGACTTGGTAGAAAACATTGTGAGAAGATGCAGAAAGCCATAACCTCAACCCAGGCGACAGGACCGAACCAACAGGGCACTAGGCCCACCTGCCGGCAAACCTTACATGCTTCGAGCACGCTGCGGATGATGTCCGTGCGCCCCTGTTCCACGGCAATGCGCAAGTTATCCTGGATTTCCTGCAGCATGTTTGTTGCCCATACCACAAACGGTAAACAAACCGCCCCACTGACAATACACACGTCACTGCCAGAATGATTGGGGTGGGTAGGGAAGGGGAAGGGGCAAGGGGGAGGGAAGGAGGAGAAAGAGGGAAGGGAGGGGGGGTGAGGCTTCTACTTGAGGGCTACGGTTTTCTCATCTGCGGATCGCTCTACTGGGCAGGGTTATTAGAGCATCAATGAAAATGTCTACCAGTCTGAACAGGAATGAAAGAGTCACACCGAGCCAAGCAACTCGACTTACTGTTTCCTCGAGGATCCGGACTGTTGGCAACCTCGGCCGGCGAGGTCCTGCGCAAAGTTTCAAACGTTTCCGACGACCGTTTGATTCTCCACGCGAGAAGGATGTTGCAAGGATCCTCTACCATCGGTTCAGCTTTTTGAACACATCGATCCTCTGAAGTCGGAGGAACTGAAACACTGAGTTGGGAGCCGAGAAATGCCTTTTTGTCCGTCTGTTCGAAAGAGCGCAGACACCTTCTGCGCAACATTCGCGCGAGAAAATTTTTTTCCTGCTAGATAGTGTAGCTACTGCGAGTCCTACCGCATCCTCACGGATCCGTATCTCATTTGCTCAAGGATAAGGCGTACGGCGTTGCGTCTATGCAAATGACCTAAATCAGCCCTGCGTTGGCGCGTGTGCGGAGGGCGAAGTAGGGCCGGGCCTTGAAAGGGAGAGGGAAGAGGGGGGGGGAATTCACGTTTTATTTATGGTGTGGATACCCAGTCGCCAAGTACCGAATGGGCCGCAAGTGGGCTGTGAGGCTAAACAGAGTTCGGCGCCTCTGCCTCTGTCGCCCCTCTGCTGGACGCCCCATGAGTGAGAGCGAGAGAGTCCGAGCGACCACACCGTGGAGCGGAATCGGCCGGAGTCCAGGCGAGTAACTGGAGAAGGGTCCTGCATAATTCCCTTTCTCGTGGCGCTGTGTGCCGGCAAGGTGCCGGCCGGTGGCGTTGGGCGCAACCGTTGTGGCAAAGGGGCAAAGCTGTGGCCACTATACTACGCCTCGGCGCCTTGGCGTAGGCCCGGGACGGCGTGGACGGCGGCACGGCACTACGGCGCCGTCGACGGACGGGGACATCAGCTGACACGGATACGCCTGTGGGACGTGATTAGAGCCTCCCTGGCCTGGCTGGGCCTTGGCTGAGCCTGGTCCACGAGCCTCTGGGACCAGTGGGGACGACGCGGCACCGCTTCCGGCCGACCACGTTTCCACCCCGCCCCGCCACGCCACGCTCGACACGCGAGCCGCCACCGCGGTCACCTTACAAGGCCCTGCGAGGCCGGCAGGTTTATTCCGAACGGTGCTTCGCTCCACGGTCGCGGCCTCTCTCTCTCTCTCTCTCTCTCTCTCTCTCTCTCTCTCTCTCTCTCTCTCTCTCTCTCGCTCTCTCTCTCTCTCTCGCCCCCGAGAACGCGAGAGAGAGCCGCAAGGCGCCACCCTGCGCGAGGCTAGCCAGGCTAGGGAGGCTAGCGAGGCCTGACAAGCGCCTAATGAGTTGCCCCGCAAGCGCCGCCTGCGCCGCCAAGCGCCCCGACGCCGAGATCGAAGAGAGATCAATCAGCAGGGCCGGTCCAGGAGCGCGGACCAAGGGGACGGCTCTTTCGTCGCTCTGTCTCTCTCTCTCTCTCAACCCTTCGGGACCCCTACGTGTGCGACAGGGACAGATCGACAGAACGATTCTTCGGAATGAGGCGTCAACAAACTCGCTACTCCCTCATTCTCCCTTCTCCGATTTCTTGCTCGAGTTGCAGGAATGGGGGTTAGAAATGAGTGAATGTAGACACTTTCAATGGCAATTATTGCTCACAACTCTTTAATTAAAATGTCAACAGTCTTGATAGAAACGTACATCACCAGGAGGAGAGGAGTACACAAACATATCGCAGTACCGAAAAGGCTGCGGGCGGTGCCAAAGAGGGGGGAAATTTCCGTGCAGAACCGCGAAGCACACCGTAACAACAACTAGCTAGACACGCTGACAAAGTTAGACGTTTGGCTGCCTCTTTGATCCGGCGCATATCGGGCAACGTCTCTTTTGCTCAACTACTTAGATACATTAAATATTGGAAATAAAGAACGTGCCCGCACAAAAGTCGGCCAAAAATTTCTCCGTTTTTTTTTGTCTTTTGTTTTTTTTTAAAATATTTTTTCCTTTATTTTATTTTTTTGTTATTACGTACGTAGCGCGTTGGCGCTTTGTGGGACAGTCATGTACTGCAGCGTGTAGCAATAACAAGGACAGGCCCTGTCGCCTCAGTTCCAATCAAGGGAGTCGCGGTGCACCCAGCGTGTTCCCTCGCTTCGTGTCCCACTTCCACTTCCCGCCTTCCCTGGGACATGGGCGCAGGGGCACACATCAAGTTTACGACTGCTGCGAGCGGCCAAGATATTGTACGCCGCGGGACTTGACGGAGCAAGACTAGGATAGAGAGCAGCAAGCAAATAGACACCACGACGATATACTCTGGCAAGCAGCTGTGGCCGAGCACACACTCAGAACGGTGCGCCGTGGTTTCAACGTCTAATATTTTTTTTTGCGTGATTTCAGCAAGCCAGAATTTTAAGTTCTGCCTTTTAAATACATAGTTAATTTATACTCAATTTTGAACTTTCTCCACAAAATGCCAAGTCGTACAATAATCGGAATGTATATATTTTTTTTAACAAAATGATTGTGCGAAGCGATTGCTAACATAAATTCACGACTACGCCATTGCTATCAATACACTCGCTCGAATTCGAAAATCGGCCCCGTCATCGGCGTTTCGGCGCCGCGGCTGTGAAGACGAAGAGGCGTCTCCGAGTGAGTAGCAACGAGGAAACAAGGAGAAACGCGAGTTTCGAAGAGGAGGGCCAGAGCCAAGAAGCGGCCAGGCGGGCCAGGCGGGCCAGGCAGGCCCTAGCGGCCGATGCCCGCCCACAGCAGCTGGGGGTCGTGGTTGTTGGAGCGGCGCAGCGCGGCCGGCTCGCTCGTCTCCACGAAGTGCCTCGTCCTGAACGACGGCCTGTGGTTGCGCAGCGAAGTCATGAGGGCTGGAGCTGACATGGGCCTCCCGGGACCTGCAACAGTGCGACACAGCCGGCTGAGCACGGTCACTCTGTCTCTCTCGCACCCTTGCGGGACCCCCCATGAGTGCGAGACAGACAGAGCGACGAAAGCAGAGCTCGGAATCAGTATTACAGGCAGGCGCTCGTCGGGAGCGCGAATGACAAAAGCAGAGCTCGGAATCAGTATTACAGGCAGGCGCTCGTCGGGAGCGCGAATGACAAAAGCAGAGCTCGGAATCAGTATTACAGGCAGGCGCTCGTCGGGAGCGCGAATGACAAAAGCAGAGCTCGGAATCAGTATTACAGGCAGGCGCTCGTCGGGAGCGCGAATGGCGAGCGCCCGCCGAGGACGAGTTCGGCCAGCCGCTATGCAGTGGTGCGAGCAGCTGGCCTATCCCTCGATTCGCAGGGGCTCTGGCTGCTGGCTGCTCTGGCCATCGCTACGTGCACGTGCGACGCGCCGGGGGAGGAGGACGAGGTCTACAGTCATCACGGGCAGCTGCGGTTCACTCCCTCTGTCGTCGTCCGGAGACAGGGACCAGGACCAGGGTCTCAGTGGCCACTTACCCGGCGGACGCAGCGGACGGGCGTGCCGAAACGCCGCGCCCGTGCCGACGGCGCCGACGCCTGCTGCCCCTGGTCATGCAGGCCGTGCCCCAGGTCGTGCCCCAGGTCGTGCCCCAGGTCGTGCCTCAGACCCGCTGCACGGCTACGCGCCACGAGCGGGGGCGCGACGCCGGCGGTGGCGAAGAGGCAGCGCAGCCCCAGCAGATCGGCCAGCTCGGCCCAGAGCGGCGGGCACGACGACGCAGAGGCTGACGCCACGCGCCGAGGGAGCCCCGCCGCGCCGTCGCGGCCGTCGAGGCCGTCGCACGCACCACCCGCGCGCCGGAACGGCCGGAACACACAGATTAGTCCGGAAGTGGAAGGGGAGGCGGAGGGGAGGGGAGGCTGCCCAGAGCGACGTTTATTGGCAAGTCACTGTTTGCGTCCGTTTCCAGTTCCCTTTGCTTCCGGGCAGCGACCGGAAAAAACAGCGCAGCCCTCTTCGGTGCAGCGGGGCGGCTGCATTCAGCCCTTTGGGTCCTTTGAGTGCGCCGGCCTTCCCCGCCATGTCCGCCCTAGGACCCAGGGCCGGCCGTGGGCCATGGCCCAGGAGGGACACAGTCCGGAGGGCACCGGGGTCTGCCACGCCGTACCCAAGGACCGTTTTTTCGCCCTGTCTTTCTCGCAATCACATAGGACGCCTCGTGAGTGCGACAAAGACGGAGCGACGAAAAGATCCTTTGGAAAAGCTCGGCTGGGCCGAGCCGCCGCAGCGCTCACACGCAATCCAGTAATGCGCACCGACGGCGTGCTCCAGTCACGCCCGCGGCCACGTCAAAGGCGTGTGTGTGTGTGGGGGGGGGGGGGGTGGTGCCCTTTCTGGAAGAAGCGCAGTACGAGCACGAGCAAGACAAGGGGCGCAACAGCGCGGTATGCGAGGGGCGAGGGCGTGCGAGGGTGGGCGGGAACAGCGTCCCGTGTCAAAGAAGGCGGGCGTCGTTCCAATAACGGGATTATGCGCTGCACTCCAGCACTATCGCTGCCGTCTGTCTGTCTGTCTGTCTGTCTGTCTGTCTGCCTGTCTGTCCATCCGTCCGCCTGTCCCTCTCTCTAGGAGGATCCCGGATTACGCCAATGGCGTCGCGCCGCGTCGCGCCTTTCCGCGAGTCCTCGTCGAGCCGCTCACCCACGCGCAGGCGGCGCCGCGACGCCTCGCGGGCCAAATTCAATTCGACCCGATCTCAATTTGAGTCCTCTGTCTGCCGGCCGGCCCGGCGGGCCCGGCCCCGGCTGGAATTATTATGTCGTCCAATCGAAGTTGACGCATTCTTTTCGGTAAGGCCGGCACCCCTTCAGATTCATATTCAATGAATTCAAACTCTTAGCGCACCGTGGCCGTCATCAGCAGGGGGAGCACGCCCTGGGGCTTGCCCTGGGGCTGCCTGGCTGCCTGGCTCACGTGTTGCGCCACCGCCCCGCCCCGCCCCGCCGCCCCGCCTGCAGACAGGGGGAGGTGTTCTCAATGAATAGGGCGGCGCAGACCCGGGATTGGCTCCACCCTGATACTCTTCCCGTCGGCGCGTCGGCACGTCCGCGCCGCGTGTCGTTGGTGTCGCCGTGTCGTCAGCCGCGGTGCGTCGGCGTTCGCTATGGCGAGCGCGGGCGACGCGCGCGCCGCCCGAGTGAAGCCAAACTCAAACGCTGGCTTTGATGTGCCTGGCCGCCTGGCCGCCTGGGCTGCATGTTGGCTCATTCCAAGAAGAGTCAGTCTCTATCGCACTGGTGCTGCGTCCCGCTGCGTCCCGCAGAGGTGCGAGAGAGACACCGCTCTGTGGTGCGCATGCCGCCTAATCGCGGGAGTGCGAGTCCGCCTCCCCGATTCGCGCTGATGCAAAGTGTGCGTCGCCGTCCCCCGCAATGCCGGCAATGCCTCGGCAATGCCGCACTGCAAGTTCGGCGAACAGCCTCCGCTAGAGCGTGAGCTAGCGGATGGCTCCCAAAGGCCGCACAGACCGCCAGCGAGTGGAGAGAGAAACCAATGCCGCGCGAAGCGCAATGCGCACACCGCTGAAAGGTTGAAACGAACGAGTCAAACTTGATCCGAGTTTTGGAGTATGTCGGGAGCAGCAGCAACAACTCTGTGCCCTGCCTGCGCCCTGCCTACACACTGGCTCGGTCGCTCTGTCTCTCTCACACCTCCGCGGGAAGCCCCATGAGTCCGACAGAGACAGAGCAACGGAAACGACTCTGTGTGCTGCGCCCTGCGACCGCGACCTCACCGTGGCCATCGGTGCGGAAGGGAAGGGAAGGGCGACTTTTAATGAGAGTGCAGACGGCCCCACGCTCTGGCTTCTGGGCTGCAGAGGACGACGTGCAGGCCACCAGCAACGCAAATTGACTCAGGGCCATGGCCTGGACCCGCGGGGGAGAGGGGTGCGGAGCACCGTGGGGCGTCCCAAAGGACCCAACACCGGGGCGACGGCGAAGGCGGGGCCCTTTACCGGCATGTAATTCTACTTGTAGTTTCTGATGTGGCCCCCGAGCGGCCAGACAAACTCAAAGTCTGCGCACCCCGTCCCCGCCGTCCCCGCCGTCCCCGCAAACACGCATCAGCCACGGCAGACGAGCTAGCGCGCGCGGGCACACACAGAGACACCTACACACACACCTACACACACACACATGCGTGCGCGCGCACACACACACACCAGGACCCAGCCCGGGGCTGCGCGGGCTGCGCTGCTGATGGGCCGACGTCGGAACGGTCGGGACGTCGTCTAACTAGCGCGAGGGGCCGAGCACCGCCCCACGCCAGTTTGGATTAGATTATGCCACAGAGTCGAAAAGGAATCCGCCCACACCCCCGGCATACTTTCTGAGTGGTTCCTTTGGCCTTCCCGCCCCTGACAGTGGCGTGACGGGGGGGGGGGGGGAGCTTCCCCTTCCTCGCCGATCCCACCGACGACGGGCTCGGTAACTCGCAATACAAACTCCTCTCAAAACAGCCCCCGGAAAAATGAGTGGCCCGCCTGCGCTCGCTCGCCGTGCTCACCTGCTTGTGGGAGCAGCTGCGGGGAGTCCCCGCCCAGCACCATGCGCCGCTGGTCCGGCGTCATGTTCTCCATGGACTCGAGGTTCTCCTGCAGGTTGTTGAAGAAGCTGCTGAGGTCGCTGAGCACGCCTGCGGAAACAGCAACGGGGCAGTCAGACAGTTCCTATGGGCCCAGCCCTGCGGTGCAAGCGCGTCAGCACTTGGTGAAATAACGAGACGGAAGGCTGTGTAAAAGGCCCCGCTGAAGCTCCCCTCCCCTCGGCGCAAGCCTGTCCAGCTCCGGGCCCGCTGCGACAATAAATATCAAATGTCTCTCCTTTTGACTGCTCGCCGGGCTGTATGGACGCATGTTCCTAGCTCCCTCCCTCTCTCGCCCCCTTACTGTGGGAGACCGGTGGGCCTGCTGCTATCCATCCCCGTCATGAAGACCATTCCATATTCATGGAACGCCCCACGCCCCCCGCCCCGCCGCCCTCCCGGCCCTCCGACACCGCGACAAAGCCTCAACACCTTGCCGCCTTGTTGCGCCCTCTTACACCTCGAGTCATCGGCGGCCCTCTGTCTCGGCGTCGCTGTCTCACCCTGGCCGCGCTGGCCGCCAGCACGCTGTAGAGGCTAGATGGAGTGGAGGGGCTTCCCGCTTGTCACGGGCCCGGCCCGGCCCCAGGTCAACGAATCGGTGTCAAAGCAGGCGCCAAGTCACGTCCCGGGGCCCCGGGCGGGGCAGAGCGTAGGCAGACATGTGTGCCATGATTGGAGAGACTTCCGCGCGTCAGGCGTCGCGCGTCGCGCTGATGGCGCGCCGAAAAAGGGAACTGGGGGAAGCGAAGGCGCAGGGCGCAGGGCTCGGCCGCGCGCGCTTGTCTTGTCACCCGACGCCTTGGCGCCTTGGCGCCTTGCGCGGCGAGCGGCGTTTAGGGTCTTTGGTCGTCGCCCGACTCCCCCTTCCCCTCCGCGCGTGCATTCGGAAGGGGCGCGCGAGTCACCTTACACAACGCGCCGCCCTGCCAGCCGGCCCTAGTCTGCCCTAGCAGCTCATCTCGAATGTCAGGCGCGGAAACGAAACGGATCGCCGCCGAGCTCTAATCGCTCGCACGCCGTGATGGCGCACGCGTTGTGGGGGGGGGGGCTTTTTTCTGGCGCCTCCGCGTCCATTACATTAATTCGCGCCGTCTAATTGACAGAGCTCCAGCAAGGCGAGGCGAGGCGAGGCGAAGAAGCGAGGCCGGCGAGCCTTGGCCGAAGCCTTGGCCGAAGCTCCGCGCCAAGAGTGAGACAAAGGTGTAAGTCTTAGTCTGCTTGGTACGCACCCACGCTCCCCAGGGCCGTGAAGATGGCGGGGGAGGGCGCGGTGGTGCGCGTCGTCCAGGACGAGTCCGTGGAGGACGAGTCCGTGGACAGGTCCCCGGGCTCGTCATCCGGGGCGTGGCCATGCCGCTTACCCAGGCCGCCGACGGCGTCCAGCAACTGTTGCTCCTGGGCCTGGGTGTGCTGCCACGGCGGCGGCACGGGCAGCCCCGCCCCCGCGCCCGCCCCCACGCCCGCCCCCACCATACTGCTCCAGCCGCCGCGACGGCCACGGCTGGCGTCCGCGTCCACCGCCTCCCAGGCGTCGTCGCCGAGGCCCAGCAGACGGGCGGCGCCACTGCGGCGACCTGCGGACAGAACAAGGTGTCACCAGTAAGACGTAACGCTCAAGCAGACCACCCTCTCGCTTTCGTTTTTCTAGCAGACTCTTTTTCGCTCGCCGCTAACTCTTTTCCCTCCAGCGAATCCCGCCTGTAAACAGCTTTCCCAGCGCATCCGGCTCCGAAAATGAAACGCCGTCTCGTCGACGGCACGACGGCACGGCCTCGGGCACGGCTATGGCGGCGCGCTGGAGAAGCCGGAAGTGTGCCTCGCGCGTCGTGGCTGGCGGCTTGCTGGCGGCCACGGCCGCAGTGGCAGTGGCGCCGCGCTGTAAACCCCCGCGGCGGTCCGATAGACACGCGCGCCGAGCGAGGCGCCGCGACGACGGCGACGTCGGGGCGATGTCGCGGCGGCAGCGTGGCGAATTGCCGTTCCGGGGGAAGGTCCACGAGTGCCTGTGCGACAGTGTCTGTGGCCGCGCCAGCCAGTGACGCCTGGCAGTGGGACTAACCCTAACGGGAACCGACACCCTGACAGGTGGCTCGGACAAACGGCATTTTAGAAGAGCGGCCCGCGGCCCACCATGCATAACTAAACAAGTTATGCACAAAATGTGGCCCGGGAAATAAAGGACGGATTAGGGGGCCAAGTTTTTGGGGGCGCGCCGCAGGCGGCAGCCCGCAGCTCCCCGGCCGGCCGACCCGCCCCGCCCCGCCCCGCCCCCACGCACCAGAACTCACACAAAGGCCCTGCGGATAAAAAGCGGCGCGCAGTGAACCCGGCCATGTGATCAGCGGCATCAGCCGTATCAGCCGCCCAGCCAGGCAGCCAGGCAGCGGCAGCCAGCCACAAGCCAGCACTCTGCCGGCCGATTGTTGCCTTTGTCCGCGAGGGGCGCTCGGGGGCGCTCGTCCCGTCCACCCCTTGGCCCACCCCGCCTTTAGCCCGCACACGCCGCGCCCACAGATTAGAATATTGTTTCCAAACGCGGCTCCGATTGTGCGTCCGGGATTCATTGCTGCTGCCTCGCTGATCCGAGCTTTGATTAGTCGTTTACGACCAGCAGCAGGGAGGGAGGGAGCGGGCGTGAGCCTGCAGTTTAGAATGATTCCGAGTCTCCCTCACACCCTTACGGTAGATGCCGTGAGTGCGGGAAAGACAGTTCGGGATCGCTCTGCCCAGGCTCTGCCCCGGCCTGGCGGCGTGGTGCGGCGTGCTGCGGCGAGCCGTGGCCGAGGCCGTGGCTTCTCATCGCCTTGAGGGCTGGAGGGTTGGAGGGCGTGGAGGGCGTGGAGGGCTACGGGGTGGTTGCGGTGCGCGGTCGCGGCGCCCTCAAGTGCTTTCTTTCCCGCCCGCCTTCCCTTTCCATTCCACGCCGAGCTTCCAAGTCGCTTCGCGCGCTTCGCGGAAACTGAACGCGGGATCAGCCGCGACACGCCAAGTGTTCCCGGAAAGCGACAGTGTCGCAGCGCCCACATCGATGCCGCGAGAACCACCCGATGAGCCTTAAGGGTGGACGAGGAGCGCACCTGTAACTCTCACAGAGACACCTGTCCTAACCCAACCTAACCAACGGATGCCCGCCCACCCCCACCCCACTCTCGACCTGCTCTCCGCGAGGCCAGAATGACGCCCGCCGAGCGCAGGATAGGCAACCCAAAGTACTGCTGTGCTCCTGAAGGAGGAGGACGCCCTGGCCGTGGCCAGCCCCATCGCGTGCTCGCGTGACACGGGAATTCCCTCCAGGCCGCGTCGCCGCGTGGGCGGGGTGATTATTCACGTACCGCCAGTTTCCTTTGACGCCTTCATGAGCCGATCGGATTATCGCCCCACGGGGCCGAAACCAGCTGAAACCTCGAACCACGCATCTCGTCACTCCGCACTCCGCTACAAACGACCAAACACAAGCACGCCGAGGCCGCGGGGCCGGGCGGGGCCCCTCGGCATTCGAATGAGGTCGCTCTAGCCCCGATGCCCCGATGTCGCACTTCGACACCCGCATGACGAAGTCCAACCCGCCCGACTGCCAGAGCACTGCTTTTCGTCGCTCTGTCTCTCTCCCACGGGGCGCCTAACGAGCGCGAGAGAGACAGAGCAACGAGAGCAGTCCTCGGAACCAGGCTGCACGCCTGCACGGCCACCAGGTCGGGGTTAGGCAACCCGCGTCGCCGCGCCATGGGCCCCTGCTGTGCGCCGAGCTGTGCGCCCTGTCGAACGCAGGCAAGGCTCCTACCAGGCACTCCGCGGCCGGACTTCTGAACTCGCGACCCACAGCGAGGGGAAACTTGCACAAGTTGCATAGTGGTCCTCAACACTACTCAGCCGCTCTCACCCCGTCACGCTGTCGTCACATACACGCCGTCTTACGCCCCCTTTTCCGTCACGCTGCCGTCACGCTGCCGTCACGCTGCCGTCACGCTTCCGTCACGCTGCCGTCACGCTTCCGTCACGCTTCCGTCACGCTTCCGTCACGCTGCCGTCACGTGCCGTCACGCTTCCGTCACGCTGCCGTCACGCTGCCGTCACGCTGCCGTCACGCTGCCGTCACGCTGCCGTCTCGCTCAAACCGTCACGCCGTCGTCACGTCGCGGCCGCGCCGTCACCCTTTCTTGTCTTTGTCGCCGCCCCGACGGGCGTCCCGAGCACAATGATTAAACGGGCTAATAATTATTTGCCAGGGCCAACGGAAAGTGCGGACGTGACGGCGTGCGCCACGGCGTGCGCGCGCTCTGTCACGCGCCCGTCAAGCCTCGCGGGCGACGCCATCCCGTCGCGGACACGCCTCGTCACGAGGATTAGAATACGTCCAAGATCAAACGCGTTGGAACTGTCAGGACAGTAAATGTAAGTCGAGCCAATGAGGTGTTTTGCGATAATTGCTCCTGAATCGTCTGTCGGAGAAGAAAAGTTTGGCGTGACGGGAGTAAGAGAAACGGCGGCGCAGCACTTCCGATGTAACAAATTTGCCCTTGTTTGTCAGACGTTGAATGGGCTTCTGGACCGAACTAGCGTACGCGTGCTGCGTGTTGTCCTGCTCCCAGGCGGTCGGGAAATTCACTCCGAGCGATAACGGCTTTCGTTCTGCTGACATCGTCAAGGCATTCAGCGACTCGGTGACGTCACTGACTTTACCTGTGGGGTGCGTCCAGGCGTCGGCGGCCGTCGCGGCCACGCAGAGAGCCAGGGTCCACAGGACGGCGACCGGGAGGCCGTTGTGCACGAAGAGAGCCATGTTGGCGTCCACAGCCCTGCCCGGAGCAGTCCGGAGTCGCCGACGGGGTGAGCGAGTCTGGCGAGCCTGGCGAGTCTGCGGACGGGTCGCGGCGTCGCCGGGAAAGAGAGCTGCGTTTGAGGCTGCCTACCCGCCCGGCGCAGCACGCCGCCCCGCCCCCGTCCCGTCCGCCCCCGCCCCGCCCCCGCCCGCCCCCCCGCGCCATCTTCCAGCGCCATGCTAGTACGTCGTTCGTCAAAGGCATTTTATATTTAAGATGAACACGAAACATTCTTCGCATTGTGCTTGAGACAGGGTGAAAATGTACACGAAGACGGAGGATTATCGTCCTGGACTGCTCGCGTCACATCGCAGTCCTCCTTCTTCGCACTTTGCGACCGACAGCTCATACTTTTCAAAAATCGACATGGTTAGCACATGAAACATGCATTAAATGAGTAATCGAAGCGTATTTTACGATTTCATCACAGGCAGAAGAAAGAGGATTTTAAATTTACCGCCATTTATAACACATGATGGCAACCACGCGGATTAGGTGAAAGGTATGACAGGGCGCTTCTCGTTCCAACCAAACTCCTTTCCGGGAAAACTTCTGGTTTTCACGGGTGAGCTACTATTTCAGTGTTTTGGTTTACCTGACCGGGAATGAACAGAGAGGAATAATTTTCAAGTCCAGAGGCGAACTTTTCGTTATTTTAGTCCTTAAAGCTTGGTACTTCCGAATGCAAGTGCCGGAAGTAAAAGGACACACAGTCACACTTAACAACCGTAAGTTTCCATTTTAGACGACGGAAACGAACATACAACAAAGGCATTTGGAGTAAACCTTCAAGTTTTTGTTGTTCTATAGCAATAAAGATGTGAAATATTCCATAATGCATCGACAAATCTGGTCAGAAACATGTTCCTATTTTTTCATGCGGTTGGCAGCAGGTCTGCAACCGCCTTGTCATGTCGCGTCGGCCGTTTGTCGATGACAACATCCTGTTTCTCGAAGCTGCCCCAGAAAAGTGATGCCAGTGACTCTCCTTGGGATGTTTTTTTTCGACGAAAGCAACGACTTTTAAACGGCAACTTTATGTGTAGTGACGTGAATCCTGCGTGCGACTCCCTGGGTGCTGGTCGGAGGGCTCAATCGACTTTGCGGACTGCTGCCGCTGCTGCGCGACTCGGAAAGAGTGTGTCCTAGCCTGGCCTGCCAGACAACTCAGCGCATCGCCCATCGCCGCCATTGCATGTTCGTGCTCCGTGTGAAAAGTGCTGCGTTAGGCTGAACGCCCTGCCGTGCCTGGCCGCGCCACGCCCCAGAGCCCGGCCCCGTCGCCCCCGCCGCCCCAGCCGCCCCCGCCAGAACCGGTTCAAGATCAAGATCCACTCCGATTGATGATCGGGATCGCCAAGGAGGACAGGCAACGCACAGGCATCACAGTGAAAATTCGCAACAACATGAAGAGGAGCTCCGATCGGGACACGCCGCCGCCCCGCAGTAAGCGGTCGCGGTCCAGCATAGGGCGCTACGACGACAGCTCGGACGAGAGGATGACGCCCGACAGGGACCGCGACAGAGACCGCGACAGGGCGCGAGGGGGGCCAGGTCCTGGGCGGCGAGGAAGCAGAGCCGGGAGCCGAGGCCGGTCCTCCAGTCCGCGGAGGTACCCCTCCGACGGCCCCCACCGCGACCGCGACCGCGACGACTACCGCGGCTCCAGGGATGCAGCCGACAGGACGTACTCGTCGTACAAAGTGTTGTGTGTGAGTGCTTTGCACCCGAAAGCTAGCGATGAAGTGGTCAAGGATAGTCTGTACAGGGAGTACAAGAAGTTTGGTGACATAAGTATCAGGATATCTCGTGACTTGGATGAGCGAGTAGCCTACGTCTGTTTCAGAAGCAGTGAGGATGCTAGAGACGCTAAGCATACCAAACCTAGGATAGTTATTTATGATAAGGTGGCTGTTGTAGAAGCAGTGTATGAGACCAGCCGTTCAGGAGATGTCTATCGTCGTCCTACAAGTCGGCCCAGAAGTAGATCTGTTAGTCCAGAATATGACAGGTACTATCAGCGGTCTCCACCACCAGACAGGCACCGACCTGGAGATCAACGGTATGACAGATATGGTCCTCCCCCTGGTATGCCTCACAGGGAATTTCGCAGGGACGGTCCACCACCTCCTCATGACTTCATGCGCCCTCCCGTTCATCATGGCCCGCCACCTCACATGCCCCCAGGTGGACCACACCATTATGGACCACCTCGCCACATGATGCACGGCTTCAAGCCACCCGGAGGACCTGGGGGCCCTCATTTTGACAAAATGGATCCCAAGAAGGACAAATTTCCCAACTATTTACAGCACCTCCCCCCAGAAGATGATCCCTTGGCAACCAGAACACTTTTTGCTGGAAATCTGGAAATAAATATTTCTGATGATGAGTTACGAAGGATATTTGGCCGGTTTGGAAACGTTGAGGACATTGATATCAAGCGCCCTCCCCCTGGTACAGGAAATGCCTATGCTTTTGTAAGGTTCCAAAACTTGGACATGGCCCACAGATCAAAAGTTGAGTTATCTGGTCAATATATTGGTAAATTCCAATGTAAAATAGGCTATGGGAAAGCCACACCTACAACCAGAATTTGGGTTGGTGGGCTGGGCCCTTGGATATCTGTCTCTCAACTTGAACGTGAGTTTGATAGGTTTGGAGCAATCAAGAAGACTGACTATGTTAAAGGTGAAACTTCAGCCTATATCCTTTATGACTCAATCGATGCTGCCCAGGCTGCTGTGAAGGAAATGAGAGGGTTTCCCTTGGGCGGTCAAGATCGACGACTAAGAATTGACTTTGCAGATGTTGGTCCCAGTTTTGGATTTAAGCAGCGGCCTCCTTTCCAATCTGAAGATGCTCCAGGAGGTGGTGGAGACTTCCGTGCCAGACCACCTGGCAGAGAAGACTTCCCCTATGATGCACCATATGAAAATTGGCAAGAGGGTGAATTTGGAAATTACAGTGGTCCACCACGAGGGTTTAGGGGAAGAGGTGGGTGGCATGACAGAAGAGGTGGTGGTCGTGGTGGATTCAGAGGGGGTCAGCAATCTTTCCCACCTGACGGCTATGTAAGGAATGAGGATCCTGAGTGGAATTCAAGAAGGCCCCCGCCAGATGCAGAATATGATGGTGCAGGTAGACGATCCAGTGTTGGTGATGGAGCAGGTGACCGCTCTCGTTCCAACTCACCTCGCAGGCACTCGGCTGGCAGCGATTCTGGGTCTGAGAGGGGTCGCAATGGTCTTTTGAGCTCTGCCCACACTCTTCCTGAACTTGCACGGAAGTGTTCAACCCTGTGGCAGGGTGCTCTTATTCTTAAGAACTCTTTGTTTCCAGCAAAATTCCACCTCACAGATGGAGATTGTGACATAATTGAAGGCTTGATGAAAGATGAGGATGGCAAACATATGCTCAGAATAACTCAAAGGCTTCGCCTTGATCAACCTAAGCTGGAAGATGTTTCCAAGCGAATCTCATCTTCTCTATCTCACGCCATTTTCTTAGGGCTTGCAGGTTCATCAGCATCCATTTCTAGTGATGATGCAAGTGTTCAAACTAGACCACTACGTAACCTTGTATCCTATCTTAAGCAGAAGGAAGCAGCTGGTGTCATTTCTCTGTTAAACAAAGATACAGAAGCAACAGGAGTCTTGTATGCTTTCCCTCCATGTTCCTTTTCTACAGACTTGCTTAAGAGAACTGCTCCCAATTTGACCGAAGAAAGTCTGAAAGAAGATCATTTGGTTATTGTAGTTGTGCGTGGTGGAAGTGCTTAGCAATAATAATATTACTTTTGACACTAGGACTTGGTTTGTCTATGAACTCTATTGCACTTAGCTTTTGTGCTGTCTATATTATTACACATCATGCCTATTTTTATACTGTACTTCTAGTGATGAAGTGGACCTTTATCTTCTTTAGAAGAGTATGCTGTAATTGTCTTTTATCGTTTTCAATTTATTATTGACCGAATCTGATTGTCATTAGCCCTCATCAGAGATAAAAATGTTAATTGTCTTTTCTTCAGTATATTTTTATGCTTTCATTATTCATTAGGACCATTGATTTATGACTTTTCATTCTGTCCTGCAGTTCATTTGCAACAGATGAAATTCAGCAGATGTGGGTATTTGTTGTAATGGGTGGCTACTATTCCTTTTTATCAAGCAAATAGATATGGTCCAATAAAAATAAATTGAATGTAGATGAAGAATTTTGTAATTATCTTGTTGTTTGATGGTATGCAGTCAAAAGCATGTTGTTACACTAGTTGATAATAGTTGAATAGTGGTTCAAGAAAATGTACGTTTCTTTATATTTTACTTTGTTAATTCCCATTTTTGTATTGAATTTTGCTTTATTTGCTATTTACTAACAACTGTCTTGTTTCAAGATTTTCCACCCTCAAGGTTATTTTTTGTAATAGGAAATTGATAATAATATATTTAAAGATGTATATTCTACTTGTAAAATAAAATTATTACTTTTATAGCTGCAAGGATCATGTCTTCCTTTCTAACATATTAAATGTGATGAATCGAACGATTTCTAAGCACGTGGAAATTTAAGTGTACATGTGTGTTTTGTCTTGGTCTCCTGTTTTCTGTTCTCTTTTTAGAAGTGCATCGTGAGACAGCTGTATTTTGTGCAATAGTGATGGTGATATCAAGCCTAGGACTCAGTGCTTCATAGTGAGATGGCTTTTGTGTTTTGTGAAGTGAAGTGATATGTGCCGTGAGGGACCTCAGATTCCTGTGAGATAGGAAAGCATCAAGAACTACCAAAAATATCCCTTTTTTCTTCGTCTTTGAAATAATAATTGAAAGTGATCAGATGTGAAGAGATGCGTATTTATTTCTCGTGAATCAAGGAGAAGTGAAGTGTTGAGTGTGTTTGTGTGCAGTTTTGTGAAATAGAGAAGTCCTTGCAGATTATTTTGATTTTCATTTTTTAATCTGTTCCCAGTGCCCAACTAACTCATTATGTGGTGAAAGGTGCTTCAAGGAAACAAATAGTGATTTCACTGTGATAAGTGCTTTTTATTATTTAAAAAAAAAATTCTTATTTTTATATTTTTTTAAACGATAACTAGTCAAAAGTTTTTGTGGTGCATCAGTGGCAGTGGAAGTGATGTGATTTTCTTAATGCTCTTTGACGTGGCTTAACTGGTGAAGTGCATTGAAGCTGGAACCAACAAACCGTACTTCTGAAACAGAGTTTTTCTCTCGGATCTAGTGCAGTGATTGGATAACATTGAAGTTTTCTTTTTGTTTTTTCTGAAGTGCCTCTAGTGTCAATACAAAATCATAACACAGTGCAGTGATCTCAGTTACATTGGTGCTTGTGGAGTTTCTGGAGTTGAAAAATGAGCTGATCTCAAATGAGCCGAGTGGGTGCAGTGTAGTGAAGTGCAGTGCAGTGCAGTGCAGTGAAGGTGCGGTGTTCAGTGATGTGCAGTGTGGTGCCGTGTTTCCTGGGAAATTTCTCCCACAGCATCAAAAAACACATTGAGATTCGTGGTTCATCTGGAGAATTTCTTGATCATGGTGTCCCTTCCACAACCACACTTCATCGTCAAATTTCTGTTTCTCAGAAGACCTAAGAAGTACGAGGAGCTTTCATATCATAGTTACCTTCCCTTGCCTCTTTTTCCCAACCAAAGAGCTTAGGAAACACTAGGCGATCTTTCCCCCCAGTTGTCATATGTTTTGGTGGGGCATATATTTTAAATAGAATGCTTAAACCTCATGATCAACTTGGCATGAATGCAGAACTGTCAAGTGGTGCTGTCCTTTTAATAATGACTATACCCAACTTTTAATTTTCTAGCATTTTATTCATCTTATCATAGTTTTTAATTAGTAGCCCCACTGACACATGTGATGGCTCTCCTGCCTAAGTTTCCAATAATACCTCTGAGTTGGTACCGGTATGTGTTCCCTTCTTCAGTATATTCTTTCATCCATTTTCTCACCAATTAAAGCCAGTATTAAAGGAATCAGATCAATTTGGCATTGTAAATTTCTGAGCTAACAATTTGACAGCCCTTGTGTGTGCCTGTGTGTACTGTGATTTCTTTTCCTGTGTCTTATAACTCTTCCCTTGACTTTCACATGACTTTTGACCGTAATTTCATTTCCAAACTTTTCATCATGTTTTTACATCTTTCACCCATTTGTGTCGTTAGCTACATTCTTCACTCGGGAAAAAACTTTTCTTTTTGTTGTTTTCTTTTTCTTTTTTTAGTTTATTTGTTATTACTGACTTTTGACTGATATTTATTTTCAAACACAAGTAGTGTTATCTTATTTAGTCCATGTACCTTCAATGTATTTGTAAAATCTTTGTTAAGCTTCTATTTTTCTAGAAACTTACAGCAATTTAATACTTAAAAATCAATTTTATATTAAGTCATTTATGTTCAGTGATGCCTGGTTTGACACTATTGCAGTTAAATGAGTGGTGCAAGTTGCCAAGATAGGGCACAATGCAGACATTGATTAAATCACTGCTTTTTGGAGATTTTAACCTGAAAGAATTGCTAGAATCTCCAAGGAGTTTGAGTCTGACAAGACAAGACTAAGAATTCTTGAAAATTAAACTTGCCTGAACTTGAAAAAGATCTTTAACCCGCCCTTTCCCTTGTTAGATTCCATTTTACATCTTCAACCCACATTCTTTTAAACACTTTTCAATATATGTCCTCAAATTCTATCTCACAATCCAGCTTCAATCTACATCTCTGGACCCATTCCATGCCAATTTCTTCATCCCCACAAAGTAAATGAAGTTACTCAGCTGCTGTCTTCCAAGAAATAAGAGAAACGTTGCTCCATTTGCCCACTCTTTTCTGGGAATTCACAGTTTATTTGTATAAAACACACAATGGGCATTGCTTGGGTCAGTTTAATTGTGTCGGCCATGAATAGCACCAGACAACTATTCTGGTCTCAAATGTGGAGACACTGGTGAACACGAACTATTACATTCTTCATCCATTAAGGGGGAAGGTCCATTGTGCAGGAATTACCGAAAGAAATACAGGCAGGGGGAGGCCTTGGTCATTTTCGCAGTTACTTTATAATATATTATATGACTATTTCGGGAGTCCCTTTCAAACATTAACCCATAATAAATCATTGACTCATAAGTAAAGTACGATCAAAATGAAACTTTCCGCAAAAAAATATTCAGATTTTAAAGAGAGACTGCTGGAATTTATGAACTCAACTCATTAGATTATGACAAATTCCTTATTATCAATTCTTCAATCAGCTACAATACATCAACCATTTTCTGCAAGCCAGAGAGAGCTGTCCAATTGGTCCCCTAAACGGGAGTTTCTCCTATACACACGAACCAGGAACATGTCTAAAAACAGGTCTTCCTCCAGCCTCTCTCAAGAAGTAGCTGGCATAAACAATCTCTCAGCAGCAAGCTGGTGTCCAGATGGCAACAGTATCAAGGTAAGTTGGTAAAGAATAAGAAATTGGAAATAACAAAATATCAGGCAAGAGCTATAAGTCCTGAAAGGAACCACATTGGCTTCAATAACTGGAGAAATTCCGTGGGATTACATTAAATGAGCATCCAAAAACTGGATCACAAACACATCATTCTAACGAAGGAATGCATACAGTCTGCCATATCCTTATGCATCCTGATATATTTTGTTAGTTCCGTTTCTTCCATATTGATTGAAAAGTTAAGTAGCAGGATTTTAGGTACTTAACTGGCAAAAAGTTACTCAATTGAAATCCATTCCTGCTGATTTTAATATGCTTGATCTTGGGGTAGTTTTATGTAGGGGTAGATCATTCCAACCATCAAAATTGAAAGATAATGCATGAAGCTATTGTAATGCTTACAAAAAAAAGGAAATAGAGGCATGCTTAGCTCTGCAAACTGCTTTGGTGATAGTGTCATGTCTGTTCAAGTGAAATAAATAAAGATTCTACATCAAAAATTAAACTCCTTTTATTTGAACATCTGAATCATCTAACAGACACTTCACAAGATTTACAAGCTCAAACAAATTACAGACTTATTTGGAATATTATTATTTTAACAAAGAAAAATGAAAATCCAGAATCTCACTTAGTTAAAACTTAGGCATTGGGAGAAGCCACCAGAAAGACGCTTCTTCACTTTTTGAATAACATAGGGAACCGCCCCTGGCTCACGTGGTGGTGAGAAGTAGAGTGAGGAAGGCAAGTTGATGGCACCCAACACCAGACAATTGACAGATGCCAGCACATCGCTTGGTACTGGAGTCAAAAGATACATCAGACGAGTATCCATATCAATTCCTCGGACTATTCCTATGTTCGGAAACATCACAGTTTAAATTAAAAAGGTTCATTTGAAAAATGAAAAAAATCTATCATTATCCGACCTACCAAAACCTAAGCAGTCAGCTGTTGTGAGTTTGGAGATTATGGAAGGAAAACCAGATTCAGGCAGTTGTACAACATCCTGCTCCGCAGGATTAACACAGCAAAGTGCTACCAAATTTGCATTAAATGCTGACAAAGCCACTGCGGGAGGAACTGCCTCATGGCAAATATTGAGATACAGCTTATCTAAAGGACAGCTGAAATGAAACACAATATTTAAAAGAAGTGAACAGGGCATTTAAACCAACCAAGCACAGAGAAGTAAGAGAAAAATTACCAATAAGGTGCCACATCCAGAATGGAGAAATTGGGGGCAGATACCATAGCTGAAAGGTATGAAAGTATCACAGCCTCACGTCGTCGTCGAGGATCAAAACCTCTGTCAAAAAAACCTTCGAGGTGAGACAACAGAAAACAGATCATAGTCAGAGTCATCTTCCATAGTACTTACTTGACATTGTGAATACCCTCGCCAAAATCGGTTGCTGAACTGATGACATGTGTTTCAAATTTCAAGGTGCCTCTACTGAATAAACGATGGCGCTGAGAATGCACGGTGCTGTCCAAATTGATGGTGAAGGGAGAGCTCAAGCAACTCTTTTTAACATACTCCACAGACATTACTTCAGGATAGTTAAAATCATCAAATTTGCCCATTATTTGAACAACCCTAGATGGGTGCAAAGCAGACAGAAGCTGCACCATAATTGTATTTCCGATTCCTACAAACAGATAAAATCCATAAAATTATCACAGGTATTAATCTTGAGAGGTGTCCAATATTAAATGAAACAAACCTTTGGTGAAACCCATTGTATTGACAACACATGGCATCTTCTTCAGTTCTTCATCAGATTGCCAATAGCTTATGATATTCAAACAAGCATCCATGTAACGAGAAACAGCATTGGTTACATTTATTTCACCAATATAGATACACCTGGAAATTATGAGTAGTAGAAAGTGAATTAAAGACCTAATCATGATGCTTCAGCAGAGTTTTAAGTTGAATTATACAAAAGCTGTTTACTTGAGCGGATTCTGGAGATGAGTGAAGTTAGGACCAAGGACAGGATTCTTAACAGCAACTAATGAAACACAACCAGGAACAGTAAACTCTGCCTGGCCTGGATCAAAGTCTATGACTAAAACTTTATCACTTCCATTAGATAATAAACGGTTAATTAAGTATCGAAGAAAGGTAGATTTTCCTACACCTTTACCACCACAAAGCACTGTACAACCTGTAAATTAACAAACAAAGAACAAAATAATAAAGGTGTGGCAAGCAGAATTTCAAATGCCGGGTCTCTAAGGATTTAAAAGTTAACCAACCTGGATTTTCTACAATATCTCGACCAATATCATCCCATAATTCCCCTTTTTTAATTATGTTATAATCCTGGGGTGGGTCACACACACACTGAAGCTTTCGACTAGCCAGGCTGAACAATTTATCTTCACATTCCATGTCTTCAATACGAGGGAACAGATTGAAATCTACAAACTGGGAAACAAAGAATGGAAGGATGTTTTCTGACTCTTCCATGAGAAGAAAGGCATCATCTGGTTTTCCTGAAAATAAAAAGAGGCATAAACCTCACTCAAGAAACACTTGCAATCACCATCCATATGAAAACAGCACATTACAGATAAATTAATAAATGAATAATTCTACCTTCTTTAAGAAGCGTGTCAACTGTATGAATAACATCATGATCCATTCTATTATCAGAATGGTCTTCTATTGTTGGGATAGTTTGCAGTGCCAACAAACCACTTCCATGAGGGGAAAAGACTGTCTGATATCCACTTGAGGGAGTAAGCAAGTAACCCAAAACTTCAACAGCGCCTTTAAGAACCTTGACTTGGACCTGTAAACAGAGATTTGTAAAAGAAAACAAATTAATTGAGGAATAGTATTTTGAACCATCACATAACAAAAACTAAATAAAAGAAGTACTTACCTGACCACAAAACGTGAACACTGATGGGTGTTTCAGGTGAAGAATTACTTGGCCATCAATAAAATGAAATTCAGCCGATGAATTATCATTGAGTTGTTGACGTGGTACCCGTTCTTCTACATCTTCAGATTCATCGGGAGAAACCATTTCATCTACTTGTGGCTCGTTATCATCACTACTTTCATTGATCATGGAGAATTCAACCTGTTCTTCTACATCTTCAGATTCATCAGGAGAAACCAGTACTTCTACAACTGGCTCGTTATCATCACTACTTTTGTTGATCACAGGGACTTTATTTTCAGAGACAGTTGTCACACTAAATCCTGACTTTGCTTTTCTATTTTTGCTATTTTTATAAAATTGAGTAGTCTTAAGCTCACTTTTGCTATAAGAATCATCAGCAGTGACAACAAAACTTGGTATTTTGACTCTAGCAGAAGTTTTCCTAATTGACATTGGAGCAGACAATTTCTTGATATTGACTGAACTACTAGAAATTTTTAAAGACTTCTTAGGTTTTTCCTTTCTAGAGGGAAGGGCTGGTTTCTTGGTCTTCTGAAAGATAAAATCTCGGTCTAAGTTGCTAGTCTTAGATGAAGACTTCTTCAGATCCTTTCTGGTCTCATTTGGAACGGGTAGCCTCTCTTCACCTTGGGCAACAAAATCTGTAAGATCTTGGTGCAAGACAGGGGGCTTGGTGGTTGAAAATGGACCAGCGAGATATGGAGAGTTTGAAACCTCGCTTACTGAGCCTGATTTCTTTCGGTTGACATACACTTTTCTTACAGCAGAGGGCTTAATGTATGGGGAATAATCTATGTCAGCATCAGCTATTGACATCCCAACTACATCATGCGGAGATCCTTGTGCAGGGCTTGCATTAAACAAGGTGGGTGATTCAAATACACCAGGTGACTCCTCGTTATTTGGCAAGATAGAGGGCTTGTTTGATTTTTTGGCAGGTCTCGGGTTTTTGAGGGCGAGTCCTTGCCCTTGCGGAGGGCTTGCGGTAAACAAGGAGGCTGTAACATGTACATGAGGCGACTTCTCGGTTTTGGGTGAGATAGAGGACTTCTTAGACTTTTTGACAGGTCGCTGGCCATTGTGAACAAGTCCATTTAGACTTCCATTTACATCACTTGGAAATTCACTTTTTGCCATGACATTCTGCACTGGCTTGGCCCGCCGTTTCTTCGCGCGCCCCGCAGAGGGTTTGGCGACCAAAGTCACCATTGAATCATGAGGAAGCCCGTTCGAATCGGACACCAATGCCTTGACAGTTGGGTTGACTTGGCCACCTTTCTTTCCGTCTCGCCGCCTTTCTTTCATCCTCTTGATGGCATGTTTGGCATGAGCTAGACGTAAGGTTTCCTTCTTCGTGTTGATGGGAGCCATCCTCGAATAACAAACTCAGATACCACGGCTTCATGCGGCCCACGAGTGGATTCTCTTCACCTCCTGTTGCGGCGACGGCAACACCACGTTGTGAGAGGTTACTCGACTCTGTTTCGGCGCTTGGCGGCGCGGCGGCGCTTGGCGCTTGTTGATTCCCTTCGCAAACGCAATGCGAATGTCAATGTAATTGTCACTATTCACACCTTGTTCTCGCTTATCGGCAGGAAAGGGGTCGCCGGTTTCGTTCGAAACTGAAAACGAAAACAAACAAGTTCTCAAATCAAAAACTTTTGGTGCATCCACCTATTTTCGCTTACTGCCTGATGAAATGATCTTGTAATTTTCCTGAATATTTTACGGTTGATATGGCGTCGTGCGACTGGGGTGCTTGGGAATGTCACCCTGATTTAGAACAGGAATGGAAACTGTTTGTTCAGGAGTGTCAAAAATCAGCTAAAAGTGACCTTACTTCTGATCTCTGGATGAACTTTTGGCGCTCAGAGGTATGAAATAACGTTATTGAACTTTCGTAGTCCGTTAGTACGTTGCTGTCTGATATTAATCTATTTCTGTAGCAGTCGCCACCTAGTAATGACTTGCCACATCCAGATTGTCTTGAAATTTTGGACCCGGTTCATAGAGCGGAAGCCAATACATTGCCTAAAGACTCACCGACAGTACACGTAGAGGAAGAAATCAACTCTAAAGGTGCACTTACTTTAAGGTTCATCCAAATTGATACCTTTGTTTGTCATTCCTTGTAACAATTTGCCATGCTTTTACATATTGTATTGCAGCTGCAGATGTGGCATTGACGGATTCTCAACTTCAGCAAATTAACTCTGTTGCTCTTGAGCTAGCAGACATTCTTGATATGCAGTGTGACAGTATTCCCGACGACCTCAAAGACTGTTTATGCTCCTTACCAGCTAATGGAATGACTGCACTCCTTATGGAATTAGAATCTCAATTAACGAACCAAAAGGCTTACAACTTTTGTTCACTGCTTTGTGAAGAAACTGCAGAAGGACCCTGTATTAATGTAGCATTGGTTTTTGAAATTCTTTTCCTTCCAATGGTTTGTGTTTGCAATACGAAGAAAGACACTATTTTGTAATTAACTTATGATGTTTTGAACAATCTTTTAACCGTGTTGCAGCTTACTGGTAATAGCCTCGAGAACCTTTCAGAGGAAGTGAAAGCTGGCTTGATAAAGATGAGTGATCATTTCCCATCAGAATGTGTGTCTCACTTACTAATGCCTCTCCTTGCCCACGAAGTGACTAGTCCTTCCCTTCTGGAATTACTCTCTGCTTTAATTCAACCACTCTCCGAAACAGACTGCTATTCGTTAATGAGGTGTGTAAATCCTTCCTTTTGGTTGTTTCCCTCAACTTTCATGTTTGAAATGTACGTTCTGAATTGGCTTTGTCATGTGTGTGGCAGGTATTTTGTGCAACAGTGTAGTGCCCCTATAGAAGAGTGGAGAATTTCTGTATTAAATTGTATTCTATCCAAAGCACGGCCAAGCTCATTGGAGGGCAAAGCTGAGTCATCTCTCCTAATTGGCTTGCTTCCTATTCTCACAGCATCATCAAGAGCTCTGTCAACAAGTGAGTTGTTTGCCAGTCTTTTGCTAAAAGTGATTCCAGCCCTCAAATGTTGTAGCTCAACTAGAGTACATGGGGAGCTAGCAACTATTGTTCAAGAAAATAAGTCTTTCAATAAGAAGGCTTTAAGTGATGCTCTCAAGTCTCTAGGTTCTTAGTGAATTAAAAACATGCTTCTATAAAACCATTTGCTTTATTGCACTTCTCAGTATAAATGAAAAAAAAAAGGAAAGAAATACAAGTTATTCTAGAACTTCACAAAAACATGCAGAGCTATCTTTATTACAAACTAACAAACATATGTGAGAGTGTCAAATTGATAGAACCCATGTGACCAATAACTATCTGGAATACTAAGATAGCATATCTAGTGCTGAGCTGGTCTCAAAAGAGAATCCAATATTTTGAATAATTTAGATAGAGAAAATGGGATACTTGAGCAAAATAGTTTAACAAATCCATCACACTCGTTGAACATTTGGCACTCTTCTATCAAAAAGGAATAGAAACAAGAAGGTGCAGATAGTCAATCTGCGTTAGTTATTAATTTTTGTATCACAGACCATTCATATTTGCCAACTAAACATCAAAACATGTCAATCATAAGGGCATTCTCAAGGGCAAAATGCAAAATGAGATCTTTAACAAATACTAACAATATACCATGCACACTATGGTATTAATCAACTGAAGGACACAGTTCAGCATTTAAAAAATAAATGTAGTTCATAAAAAATATGCACAGACCTTTGAATGAGCAATCATGGCAACATCAGTTAATAATTAAGAAAAAAAAACCATCAAAATACAACATTACTTTGACAACTGTGTATATGGCAGCAGTAATGGCATACAAATGAGATGCGTACCTTTTACAAGATAAAAATAAATTATAAAATACAGAGCTACTTACAAAAATATAATTTGTGCTTTCAAAGATAAGCAGTCACAGTAAATTTGAATGACAACACAACTTATTCTGGTAACATGGCAGAAGATAAATGACAAATGCAAGTCTTTACTCCATGTCCATGAAATGAAGTGGGGTCAACGATCTTTTTAATAAAAAATATCAAAACATTTAAAACATCAATATACTTGGTCTAAAAATAAGTTAACTTCAACAATGAAAACACAAGTAAATTGAAAAATACTCATTTACAGCAACAATGATCTAGATGTGTACAGTTAATGTGTTCACTGAATAATAAATACCAATTCAAATTTGCAACATACCAAAGTTTAAAAATGCTTTTCAGTATGTACAGTTATCATCCTTATTCTAAATGATTGATAATAAAATATACATTTACAAATATAGAGGGCACCAAAAATAAGATGGAACCAAATAGATTTCTCAAGCCATTGTCATTTAAGTTTTACCTATAAGCATAGATATGATGGCTTCACTTAAAAACAGAACCTTCAATGGGCAAAGTGAACTCTTGAGTAATTTAGATAAAGGGCTTTGGTAACATATGAGCAAGAGCAGAACCTGCTTATAATTTTCTGGAAGCCTTGTCTTAACAATGATAGACATCTCTAAGTTTTTGAAAGTATTTATCATGCACTACAGCCAGAGAATCTTATATAAATTTACATTTAGCTATATTAGTCATGCTGAGGCATTACTGTCAAGAACTAACTTTTTGTTGTGAGGCACAAACTTTGGTTGAGCTAGAACTTGTTGCAGTAATGTATCACTTTTGAGGGACAATGTCTTCCCTGTACTTGGCCAGACAGTATTTTTAAGATCAGCTTCTTTCAAGGGACTCACTGTAGAAGGAGACTCACTTTTAATCTGAATAGCATCATTACTGTAATTTTGATTTCTCAAACCAATAAATTTTCTTTTGTTTACAAAATCACTTCTTTTCGCAACAAAGCTTCTATCAATGTTATTACTACTCTGTTCCAATTTATTCTGAACATTATGGACTCTTTCAACATTAACTCTTTCCCATTTAGGCTCGAACTTTTCTCTTAAAATGGAAAACTTTCTACGAGGCCTCTTTCCATGTTTTCTTTGGCTGCCTTGTGTTTCAGTATTGAATCTTAAAGGTGAACACTTTGGTTCAGTGTTCCCTTCACTCTCTGGCTGAGGTTTCAGCTCAGATAAGAAAAGAACCTCTTCTGGTGTTAGATGCGACCATGATCTAGGAGCCTGCAGTAGAGATGGTAAACTGTTTGAGAAACGTTGCGAACCTCTGTGCGTTCCTTTGGGACTTTCCTGACATGGTGCAGTTGTCGTCATAGTTGCGTCCAGTTGCAATGATCTGTAACTGCCAACTTCAAAGTCCGATTCAGAAACAGTCGCAGTATCATCCAAGGGATTGCAGGTACCCATTCTGATTTCATCTATTGTAGCAACCAAAGAGCTAGCCCAACCTGGTGCAGTCGAACCAATGTCTGCAGCAGTCACTGTGCCCGCACTTACATTCGACTCTTCTAACTCCTCCAAAATAGTATCCAATGATGCTGGTAATGGATACAAGACTCCATGCTGGTCTACAACATATGGCTGGGCTACAAACACATTGTCTTGAGAATTGACTACAACATTTGAGCCAACCTCCCTCTGCTCAATCTCAGCAAGGTCATAAGCTAAGGTATCTAAATAATCATCCATTCTATTATATGACGGTCGTGGTCTGCGACAGGGCAAAGGTGGAGCACTTGTATCACAATTCTCCCAATGTTGACGAACAGGTGGAGGAGATTCACTTGTCGTAGATTTCTCTGAGGAAGCAGTAGTTGTAGTGCACATGCTGACAAGGGTATCTCTTCGCCGGTCTCTCACAACACTATCATCATGCAGCCATGTTTCTATATCAGAGTAGCCACCCCATGACCTCAGCCCCCATGCTTCCCTTGCTATATTAACCGCACAAATATTTTCATAATCATGAGCAGACAAAACTTCACTTGGAGTCCCATCACTTGATATACCAGATTGTTTGGAATCAATGTAGTCTGATTCACGTTTTTCTTCTTTTCCTGGGAAGTTGGTTAATCTTCTTTCCATTTCTTTCTTGACCAACTCAATGGAACCAAGCTGTTTCACTTCAGCATTGGCAACCAGTTTATGACACAATCGAGCAAAACTATCATCAATTTTCTCATGCTTTGGAGGCGTGCTATCTGGTTGTGTCGACTGAGTATCTTTTTCGTCTTGTTCTAATTTATCCAGACCAAGCTCTACTGAAGAACAAATTCCACGTCTCTTATTCAAACCAGTGGTACTGATAATTTCTGCTTTCGAGGAAATAATTTCAATTATTTCACTTTGCTGTGTATCTTCCATCATGCTTGTACAGTTCCATGATAATTTAGAATCATCAATGTCAACTACAGTTGCCTGGAGACTGGTTTCTTCAGCATGAGCAGACCTTACTGACTGAGGAGCAGACTGATTGGAAAGGCCCACTGCTGAGGAATGTGACGCATTGCTCGAATGAACTGACTGATTTGAATTGGAAGACCAGCCTTCATGGTTGGTGGTGGGAGACTGCGGAGGTTGTGAGTTTAGAGTTGATCGAGATGTTAAATTTGATCCAATGGATTGGCCAATACTCAACTGGGACAAACCACCATTGGGGCCTGATAGAACAGTGAAGGTTGATTGTTTAGACTGCTCTGCTTGAATAGTTGATGGTATTTGGATACTGTCGGTGGAGACTGGACGACGCGTTGATGCTCGTGAAGAGAGTAACATTCTCCTATCAGTGCATCCATCATCTGGCTGAGGTGATCCCCCCAGAGCAGGAGCTTCATCTGACCGGCTGTAACATAATTAACACCTCAATGTAGATTCACGAATTTAACAACAGTGAAAATATGAATGACATAAAGAAAGAGTACCTTGAAAGGGATCCATCCCTATCAACACTCCACAAATGCTTGAGAGATCGAAGAGAATTTGATTTTTCAACGTCACTAGGCATATGTGAAGTTTGGGAGTATACCACAGGGACCTGTAAATTTGTTGATCTCTCGACGATTGCTTGCGACTGGATGGTAACAACCGTCTGCACCTCGCTCCCTTCAACATTGAGCTTGGGCTGTGCATGAGAACCAGAAGGTACAACTGCAGGCCCAAATAAAGTGATAGGGCCTGATGGATGGAAAAATCGATAGTATGTAAGCATTGCGCTCAAGCCTGAAAGTAAAAGTTAAATCAATTTAACAATTCTATTATTTTTAGAAATCAAGCAGTATAATATGAGAAGATGGTATCCTTACCGATCATGGTCCCACCAACAACTGTTCCTGCAGCCACAGTAGCAAGGACTGGGTGTGTATGTTGAGCCAGAGCCAAGAACAGGTAGAGGCAGGCAAGATTTTGTGTGACAGTAACAACATAGAAGGCTAACATCCGACCCCTTGCCCGTCCCTCTCGGAGATTAAAGAAGCAGAAACAGTATACTACACCAACAACACCATTGTATGCACACTCCTCCCAGGGTGTTGAGCACAAGTCAGTTTTCTGGAGCACCACCCAGACAGTCATTCCAAGCCAGTGAAGACCTGAAGAGTGAATCACAACACAGAGTTAATTTGGAAGTGGTCCAAGCTCAAGTAAAAGAGGATTACCAAACAATTACCTAGCAATAAAAACAGCCAAGCTTGGCAGCATATTGCAAAAAGAACCAGGGCAGTGATGCGGGCAGCAAGGAGTCCAGTTCGCCATACTGCTTGCAAAGCAAGTCCAGGTATAGAAGCCTTTTGCTTGTCTGGACGTGCTTGTCGCATTGCATGTGTATAGGCTGCCATTGCCCATGCAAGTGATATCAATGATGCACCGGCAGACAGACCTGAAAATTACAAGATGCAAATTACCCTGTGATCATTTAGAGTACACCAATATTAAATTAAGAAAAATCCTGATATGAACAAGCAAAAATGTGTTACCTGTCCATGGCCCCCAATCACGAATTTGTACCATGATATACACTTGCAAGACAAGTTGAGGGGCAGATTTCATGAAAGACTCAAATAGTTGCAGCATACTAATATCGCTCTGTTGGTGAAATAGTGATTGGAAATCAGCCACATCTCCACTTCGTCTAGCTTCTAATCCTGTTTGGAGCGCATCTACATGCCTGTGAAAGGAAAATAATTTTTTATTTAAAGTTACTTTGAGAAAACTTAAAGTAGAAGTCCAAGTCATACCTAAAAAGTATGCCAAGAAGGCAACAATGGCTCAGCCATTTGGGAATTGATGCGGCATCATCAAGAACATGCCAGCGTATACTGAATGCCTGTATTATCGAGGCAGGTATAACAGCTAAAGCAATTGTACTAAATGCCCAGAAACTGTGACCCGCAAGGTAATAAGTAATAACAAGAATGGTGTCTGCAACAAAAGAAACAGGACAATATTTAAGGTAAGTTTGGAAAGATAGCTTAAAAACTTAATTGGTAAAGTGGGCAAAAGTCAACAAAAAAATAAAACCCTGAGAACAAAGAAAGCATTATTAAAACAAAAAATGTCATGGAGAAGGTTGAGAATAGGAGAAGAGCTAACCTTATAGCTAGTAAACAAAGAAACAGAATCACATTTGGTGAATTAAACATCCCTTTAAAATACAAATCTCTTATGAAAGGTAGTACCGTAACTCTGAAATAAATTTCTTCAAGAAATTTAGCTCCTATCCAGAGGAATAAAGACCATAGGGTAAAACCACTATCAACAAGTGGTTATTATGACTCTTGTGTTTACATTTCTGATCAATAGTGTCTCTTGTTTAAAAACAACTGTTTTTCTCCCTTTGATGGAATCCTTTATAGTACCAGAGACAGTTTTTCAATTGAAAATGACGACAAAACCTGTAGGAAAACGAGTTTTTCCTGTGGGTTGTCATCGGTTCACCTGTCCTTGAGACGCGAAGGGCGAGGGCAAGGGCCTACCTGTAACAAGGTGCGCGATAATGGTGGTCATGGAGAACACGATGAGTCCAGCGTCGAGATTGGAGAAAGAAAGCCTTTCCCTCTTGATTCCATTTTTGGAATGGGAGGCGTTCGTGAAGTAAACTGAGCTGGTGTTGGACTTCATCACCGCCATGTTATGATGATGATGAGCCTCCTCCTGGAGATGTGCTGCTTGCTGGAGCTGGAGCTGGAGGAGCTGGGAGCTGGAGGCTTGAGAGGACTGCCCATCGCCAGGGGCGCCGACGGGCCGATGCGTCAGATGCGGGAACTACAGCGGCCAGCCTCCAGCCCAGGGGCTCGCTGGCCCTCGCCCTCGCCGGCGCGCCGCTGGAGGCTGGAGGAGGAGAAGAGGGAGGACGACAACCTGCTGCCGGAGGTGCCAGACGCGGACACCACGCAAATGACCAAATCATCCTCATGAAAGCCGTGTCCTTGTAGACACTGTCACCGGTGGACCGGTCAAGGCAGGCTCGGCTTGTGTCGAACGGTGGTTCGAAACCCGCCGCCGAAATTGTGTTGGTGATGCGACGCGTGTGGTCGTGTCGAATGGGTTGCCTATCCGCACGGCGCCGGTGCCCACGTCGGACTCTAGGCGCGGGCGTTCTCCCATCGCCGGCATTGCCATACGACCGTTTCTAGTGCAGCCTATCCTTTACTTTACGCCGGTCATAAAATGACTGGCTCAGCGTTACAGAAAGCTATGTCGACGACGTGGAATGTTGGGTGAGAAATAAACATGCCTTGGCCTTGAGGTGGATGAATTGATGGAAGTATATTTTGATTTCATTTTTTTTATGCAGTACAAAAATTAAATGTTTCACAACCTTCGAAGCGTACTGTAACAATACGAACTTACACACTAATAAACTAAGTCTATTCATTAAAAAGTATATCGATAGGCACAGAAAACAACGTCCAAAGAGACGGCCCACGTAGTCTAAAACGATTTTCTTTTTTTTAAAGCTTTGAAGACATCACTGTTTGATTTTCGTCCAGTCCAATCACAGCAGCTGCTAGCAGTTCCCCGCCTCACGCCTTGGCAACATCACACACCGTGCCCTTGATGAGCTCCTTGGTGTTGGCCTTGAAAATGCGGAAGTTGACTTCCTTGTGGTTGAGACTCTTGTAGTGGAAGATGGGCATTCGGTTGCTCAGCATCCAGACATTGCCCTTCGGGTCGACCTTCAGGTCATTGGGGAAGATCATGGTCACGTTGTCTGAGGCCACGAGCGCGTTCGTGTCGGGGTTGAACTCCTCCGCCTTGGAGAGGGTGTTCCAGCAGCCGAGGCCGTCACGGTTCACCTGCAAGCAACGCGGGAGGGGTCGGTGACAAGGCGGCTACAAGTGAGCAACAAGCGAGACGTCAAAGAAGGCCTGAGGGACCCACCTGGGTGTAGAAGAGGACACCGGTGCTCTCGTCCAGGTAGGAGGCAGAGGACTGGGTGTTGGGGCCACGAGAGCCCAGGTCCTTGAAGGCGTAGTACGTTTCGGGCAGCTCGGCGATAGTCTTGTTCTGCAGCACGCGTGTCGACACCTAGACAGAGAGGCATTTGGTCAGACCTGGTCCACCTGGTCGCAGCGAGCCCGGTGGATAGGCAACCCATTCTGCACCGCTACACTGCTCGTTTTCACACCTTGAACTCGTGGGTGCTGGACAAGGGGTGGAAGTACAACGTGCGGTAGCCGTCCTCCTTGCTGATGGGTGACAGGGCGAGGCCGAACACGCCGTCCGTCCACTGGAAGTTGATGCCGGCCACGTTGTAGTTGCCGGACAGAGGGTCGAAGTAGAAGTAGTTGTGCTTGATGCGGTACGACGCGTTGTCCTTCCACGAGTACACCACCAGGCCGTAGCCGCCCAGGTCCGGGACGTAGGCATAGGCGTTGTCACAAGTCTGGGCTGTAGTGTCCACCACCTGGGCAACGATCCACAGGTTAACAACATCGGCAAAGGGCTTTCACTGATTATGGTTTTTCGTAAAGTCCACTCACCACGTTGGCGAAGAAAGAGTCCTCCTTGAGGTCCTCCGCCTTGAAGGCGTACTGCCGGATCAGCTTGTCGGTCTTGAGGTCGTACACGAGCAGCTTGGCGGGGCCCAGGACCTGGGTGTCGCCCTTCAGGTCAGCCAGGCCGGAGTCCATGACCCAGAGGCGGTCGCAGGCGTCAACGCGCACCCTGAACACGGACACGATCTTGTGAGGCAGCTCGCCCTCCTTCAGGGCCTTCTTCTCGTCCGGGGTGATGAGCGTGTTGGTGGCCAGGTCGGGGTAGGGCACCAGGGCGGGCGCCTTGTCGCCACCTGCAACAGCCACGTGTGGGTCAGTTGAAGCGTTAAGCCCTGCTGGGCCGTGGGGCCGTGAGGCGCCATGCGGCCAAGGGCGCGCGATTTGAAGCGAGTGGACTCGCGCGCTTCCTGGCTGGCTGGCCAGCATCCGCGCATTCGGAGCACGCAGAGACACGCAACTCGGTCGGACGTGGTTCCAGTGCCTGTCCAGCGTGCCCAGCGTGCCCAGCGTGCCCAGCGTGCCCAGCGTGCCCAGCGTGCCCAGCGTGCCCAGCCCTGGGCCGGCCAGGGCGCCGGACCGTGAAGCGAAGCACCACGTCTGTCCTGGTTCCGTACTCAAGGCCAAGGGCAGCGGGGCAGCGCAGCCATACTGCATGGCCAGCGCGACCAGCGCGTTGCCGCCGTACGCGGACTCAGCTTACCCTCGGTGTACTTGACGTAGTTGACGGAGGACGGCACGCCGTTCTTCCAGCGCGGCACCGTCACGAACACCTTGTCGTTCCACACCTCCATGCCGAGGGGGTTGTTGTTCTCCGGGATGAACTCGCCCGCCTTGATGGCCGCCTCCCTGGCCGCGGCCGACGGGTACTTGAAGTCCAGCTCCTTCCAGGCCAGCGCCTCCTTCATGCGCTCGTTGGCGGCCAGCGCGCCCTGCAGCGCCACCAGCACCACCGCGAGCACCGCGAACCGCGACATCCTGCAACACATCGCCGTCGTCAGTGGCTTCTTTGTCCCGCCTGTTAGCGCCGCCAAGGTGTGACGTAGTTTCTGGACAGCCACCAGACTTCTTAGGCAACCCGGCGTGCGGACTGCGGACCCAGCGTGACTTATGGGTTATGACTGCACACACACGCGCACGCACACACACACACACACGCGCGCCGACAAGGTGACCCTGGTGGGATGTCTGGAAACGCGGACCACGGTGACACACCTCGGCTGTGCGTGGTGCTGCAGCAGCGCGTGCAGCAGGTGCGCTTTGCCACCACCCTAAGGATGCGTATCCCCGCCGAGGCCAAGAGGCCCAAAAAGGCGGACCGCTGCCCTGGTCGTTCACTAAGCCCGGCCCGGCGAGCCACTCGAGGGAAGTCCCGAACCATCCTGCCCGGGCCGTGCGCGGCGGTGCGATGGAGCGGCCGGCTAACGACAATGCGATCAGCCACTGCAAGGGCCAGCATCGGCTGGAGCGCCTTCGGCCCTTCGGACCTACGGCCCTTCGGGAAATGGAAATAGCAGGCAGCAGCAAGAACAAGCTCTCCGAGGCCCGAGTCAAGCTCAGCTGCAGCGCTTCCAGCCGCTCGTGGGCATTACCATAAGATTACGGCATAAAACGCAAACCAGTTTGACCGAGCCCCCGCCCCGCCCCGCCACGGCGGTCGACCCCGTCGCCCCGCCAACCTGTCAGAGTGACATCGCCGTGGGGCCGCCGTGCGGCCACGCGGTGACGTCATGTGGGGATGCACCACGACAGCGACGGGCAGCGAGAGTCGAGAGTGCGCCCGCAACCCCATACTTTCCAACATCTGTGGCGCTGCCGTAGAACAACACCGTCGGGTGCTTTCTGGTTTCTGAGACTCGGTGTGACGACGCCGTCGGTGACGGCCCACTAGCGGTCCACCAGGTCCAGGGGACCAGGGAGGGGGTCAAGGACCTCCTCCATGTTGGCCGCGGGCAGGACGCGGCCGGCCGTGGGCCAATGGTTGGGCCCTGGACGTAAACAAAGCCACTCACCTGTCTGTGTGTGTGCGAGCCGCTACGGTCGAGTCCAGCCGGCGTTGTTGTCGTTCTGGCGGGCTTGGACGTGTGCTTGGACGTGTGCTCCCGTCGCTTGCTGGCCGGCGACTGGACCCTGGCCGCCAACGCCGTCCAAGATAACGCCTCGCTCGGCCCGCGCCGGCCGGCCTCCCCGCCCCGCCCCGCCCCGCCGTGTCGTCTGCCTACCCAGCCCCCCTCTCGCGTCCTCACCTGGAAGGGGCAGGGCCGTTGTGTGGCAAAGGCAAGCACGCCAGGAAAGATGAAAAAAATCCAAAATAAAAATGAAACAAAAATTAACAGGTGTTTGGGCTTGAGAAAAAAATAAGACTGTCGAAAACACATAGGTCAGAGACACGTTGAGGCAGGTGCGTTCCGTGCCGGCTTGCCGGTGTCGGGTCGTTGGTGTGCTCTTTAAACAAAGGTAGGAAGCCACACTGGGAAGTGAGGCCCCTCGAGGCGCCCCCAATGAACACTGCATCCCTGCATCACCGGTGTGGGGCGGGTTGGAGCCTCCTTGCCCGCTAGCCCTCCGACCGGAGACGAAGGCTTGTTTTCGTCCACTGTTTTGGCAACACCTGTACTATACACTGGCGCGGACCCTGCCTCGTGTTCTGCTATTACCCGAGCTGGAACGATTCACAGCCTGGCATCCTACAGTGCCGCGCGTGACCCTTCCGCCCGCTTCGGCCGCCACGCACCCATCGGGGGCGTGGCTCTGGAATAAACCCGCGTGCGGTGCCGGCCGGCACTGGCGATTTATCACGCTGCGAGCCTCGCTGGAGCCCCGCTGGAGCTTCTCTGGAGCCTCGCTCGCTGGAGCCTGACTGGAGCCTGGAGACAGGCTGCGTATCCGTGCATGGTCACGCCTGCCGCTCCGCGCCTCCGCGCCTCGCCGACGAGCTAATGGGACTTCGGTTCACTTCGGAGATCCTCAATCAAGTCAAAGTGACCCTCATAAATAAAAGCTACAAGTGCTCGCGATATTTATTCCCCGCGTTCGGCCGCGCTGCCCCCCGCTCTCGATTCGCTCTCGCGTTCTGACTGTTGTGCGACCCGTGGCATTGCTTTTTCTTCCTCTATTTGTTCTTGTTTTTGTGTTTTTGTTTTCCTGAAGGGTCGTTGTGTCATCCGCTATCCGCTCGCACCTTGACTGACTGACAGTGCGGCGACAGGACAGGACCGCGCTCCGCGCGCCCGAAGGCTCGAAGAAAGAAAGTGCCACTCTCGCACCGCCAATTGCTCTGCGGAGCGCAGCCTCTCTCTCGCACCCCTCCGCAGCGCCCCATGAGTGCGAGAGAGACGGAGCAGCGAGAAGACCGCCGCACCGCCACTCGGAAGCAGCCTGCCTGTCGGACGTGACAATCTGCATTCAATTACGGGCAGACAACATAAAGAGGCAAAAACTAGCGACACGCCTGTTATTTTGAACAGTGCACAGAATACAGGAATATTATTTCCAGGGCGCGTACTGCCATCCGTGCCAAAGCCCCCTTGTGTGTGTGTGCGTCTGTGTGCGAGTGCCGTGTTTACAGGTAAGCTGGCCTCGAGCCGAGTACTAGTGGCGGACGGGCACGGACGGGCGGGACGGGGATCGCACATTGACCTTGACACAAGTCCTTATCCAGCCCAAAGTCAGCCCAAGACAAACGCACCGTGGATTATTGGCTCCTTCGTGCAAGGAGAGGCTGAGCCCGGCCAGGCCCGGCACCCTGCTTCAAGCTCTGCTTGCCCCTGTCCTGCACCGGCCCGCCTCCCAATTCAAATCGACAGGATTTATAAAACAACAATAACAAAAACAACAGCAGCAGCGCTGGGGTTGGGCCACGCTGGAATCGGATTCGTGTTGATTCTGCGTGAAAAGGAGGGGAATGTCAGACGGGGTGTCCCCGTTGTTGAAGTGGAACGGGTAGAACACACACTGGTGGACAACGCGGGGAACGCGGGCAGAAGGATGCACACGCACGCACGCACACACACACTCACACAGAGGCGAACCAGCAGCCGGAGCCATATATCACACGGCGGGGCGACAAGTTGCATTGGCTGAGCTCACCGCAAGGATGCGAGGATGGAGACAATATTGCTCAAAAATCATACCGCCTGCCTCGGCCTCGCCGCCCGGGCCTCGTTTCCAAGATTTATCATCGTGCGACACCGGGAAGAAAAAGACAAACACACTGGACGCGGCTCAGAAGCAGGACAGCAGCATCCCTTGCAGAGTAGCGCCAGGGCCTGCGCCGTGTGTGAGGTTACTCCGGCTGACAGGTCCAGTGTCTGCATAAAGACTGATTTCGAACCGGGTTTAGTCGCTCTACGTCTGTCGCACCACTATGGAAGGCCGCACGACCGCGGGAGAGACAGAGCGACGAAACCAAACTGTTCAGAAACAACTCGATGGCCTGAAGCGACCCGCGTCGCTACTCCGTGCAACGAGGGAACGCCAACCTTGCAGGCGTAAGCGCGTGGGGTATCGGCAGGCTTATTTGTCTCGCTCCGGATGACTCGTGAACCACGTTCCTTTTTCGCACAGCAAGCAGCCCCCGCCTCCCCGCTATGAATTCCTATTTGATTTGAAGAACCTCGACCAGTTTGCAGAAGAGCCCTTACTGCGCTCGGCGCGCGCGTGCGTGGAGGCGCGTTGTTGTCGGCCGGCCATTAGAATCGCAGCCTCCAGGTGCTCCAGGGCACTCCAGGGCCCGGCGCTCGTTCGGGCCGCTCGGGCCGCTCAGGCGGCGAGTGGCGTACCCGGGATTAGCGACACTGGAATCGGTTCGAATCATGGCGCGAATTTGGTCCGATCGGCCGGCCGGCCTGCGCACGGATCACCGCAGCCTGTCCCGGCGGGGCTGGGCGGGACTCAGGACGAGGCCGAAAGTTGAACGAACCCAAATTACTTTGCAGTCGGCTCGCTTATGCGGTCACTTAGTTCGAACACGGCCGTACAGTGCGCACCGCGCCAGCGCCGTCCCGTCCAGTCCGGCAGCCCGGCTCACGTTCGTGTGAGTACTGTTCAAATTCAATCCGCCTAGCCAGGCCAATCCTAGCAAGAAAAAAATATTTGAAGTAAAAAAAAACGAGCGGAGCCCGAGTCACAGGCCAAGATTCAAGGCTAGACTTTCAGCAGCGGCAGGGCAGGGCAGGGCATACCCTGGCATCACGCGAGGGAAAATCCACGCGGCCGGGCCAGTGTCTGACTGATGTTTCGGGCTCTCGACGCCGACAGGCCGAGTCCCAACCGTGCTTTCATCGCTCCGTCCCTGTTTCTCTCGCAACCATTATGGGCGTTTCGAAGGGGTGCGAGAGAGACATAGAGACACTGCGCGTGACGCACACTCGCCGTTCTTGTCACCGCGATGGTTCGCGGACTGCGACGACGAGGGTGGCCGATGACGATACGGCCCGGTCTTCCCCCGCTGCACTGCGACTATGACTGACGCCAGACTCGCGGTGGGGGCGCGGCCGAAAACAAAATGACAACGAAACAACTCCTAAGTTGATTTCAAACACAAAGTTAGTTGTCGCGTTCGCATTAGAGCGCTAAGTTACAGCGCACACGGTGTCCGTGTCTCCGGGAGGCCGGGGCACCAATCGAATCGTAACAATCACCCTCAAAAGAAAAGAGCCCAGTGATACTCCATGCTCATTGAAAAAGTTTCCAGCCCAATTTCTTGAAGGACGATCGTGCATGAAGTAAAAGTCCGAAACTTGTTTGAGGAGAAATGAATGAACTTGCGTGGCAATAGATAGTAAATGACCTGTGTCTGACCCGGGGCCACACTGTACTACATCATCGGCGAGAGAGGTTCGAGCTCGGCCGGCTGATGTCAGGCGGGGCTTTCAGGGCTTCAGCCTGCTTCAGCCTCGACGCACCGGAGGCGCCGCGGAGGTGCTCGCGCCAAACAGCGAGGTGACTTTCAAATTGTTGCCACGGGGGAACGGACCAATGGGGAGCCCGCGGCTCATCTCGAACCTCGAAGTCTCGAAGCGCCCACGGCTAAATTAATCGAACTCGCAGCTCGATTATTTTGGGCTGGCCGTTTGTTTAAGACGATCCGTCGACGCACATAAACATGGCGTGGACATGCAAACACCACCCAAATATTTGCAAAAATAAAATTTTTCGCCGGTTGGAGTGGCGGCGACGAGCACTCTCTCCCGAATGGACGATGACACCCATGGTGGGGCTTTTGCTGCTTTGCTTTTGCGGCTCGGCTCAGGTTTCCTCTTCTCGACTGTTTTCCGTTTTGTTTTGATTGGCTCGATACTCCGGAGTAACTGCCGCGGGAACGCTTGGGGATTCCCGCGCGCATCCACGCCCCGCCCGCTGTGTGGCGGTGTAGTCGTTTAGTGGCTTGGGACTGGCGACGGGATAGGAGGGCCGGTGGACTGATTCCACAGCAGCGGTCCATCGCGCTGCCTCTCTCGCACCGCACGGGACGCCCCTTGCGTGCGAGGGAGGCAGAGCCAGGGCAGAGGGGCAGAGCGGTGACGGCGACTGTGCGGCGGAATCAGTGGCCGGGGCCGTGCTGGGCCGTGCGGCGCGGGGCGCCTGGCGAGTGTGAAGCGCCAAGCGCGTCACAGGTAGGCATGCGGTCTGTGACGTAGGTGAACGGCGAACGCGCAGGGCGACACAACGTCACAGTGTGGGGGTTTCGTTTCCCGGCACTAAGGGAAATTGGTGTTTTCCCTGCCCTTCTGGGCGAAGGCAAGCGCGGCGCGGTGGCATCGGAAAGCAGCGAGAAGCGACACGACTCTGAGCGCGCTCCAGTGCGAGCAGTGCTGCGCCCTGCGGGTAGGCCACCCTTCGCGCGGCGGTGGCCGGGCTCCGGGCTCCGGGCCCTGTGCGGTGGGCGGCCTAACCGCACGGCGCAGCGCTGCGCCGCGCTGGGCGCTTGGCGGTCGAGACCCCCACCAGGCTGACCAGGCTGACCAGGGCTGCCAGGGCGCTGCGGTGAGCGCCGCCTGCTGGTCCAACAGCCCATCGTGCACGCCAGCAGCGCGGTCACTGAGGTTTCGCAAGTCGTTCCCTGGTCGTTCTTGGCATTCGATTGCAAGAATAAATTCGTCATTCCCGTTTAAAAATGATCTTGCCCGAAATCGTGCCGGATGACGGCAGGATTTCGGGCATGCCCGGCCGGCACGCCCGAAATCCGCCCCGCACCAGGAGTCCGGGCTTGCCGAAAAATGATCATTTTGTTGGAAAACAAACCGATTTTCGGCAATGCCGGACGCTTGCCGGGCATGCCGAAACGTGCCGAACCGTCCCTCCCATTAAGCTGCAGGGGAGGGGGAGGTACCTGGATGGCGGTGCCCATTCAGTCTCGCACACAGGCACACTCGTACACACACAGGCTCACATTTACACACTCACATACACACACACGTACACAGAACGCTGAAGGAGAAACACTGGTTAGTATTGGAACCCAGGACGACCGTCTTTGTGGACCGAGACGCTGCCAACTGCACCACGGAGGAGACCTGGGGAGGAGGCCTCAGGCTCCCGATGCCTTCCAGCGAGCTCGCTCGACCCCGAGCGGCACTGGAGGGGGGGGGGGAGACACGCTGCTGGCGGAGGAGCACGCGGCGAGCCCTGTGTCTTGACGAATACGTAACCCCCGCGAGACTCTTGGGTTAGTCGCGGAGAGCCCCTCGACTTTTGGACAAGGTGCGTGGGTTGAACTGGGCACTTGGATCTAACAACAGACTTAGTGAACGTGAGCGTAGGTACTGGAGCACTGCGTGTGGACTAGTCAACCCGCGGATCCAGGCCCACTGGAAACCCAGGTCTGAGGCTCCCAAACCCGGTTATTGGGGTGCTGGCTCTTACACGCAAACCCGGTTCTTCGCTTCCTTATAATCCACGAAGTACCCTTGCCCCGCGGCTCATTTTATTGAGAGCCCTATAGACCTTTTCTTTTGGATGCAAGCTAAAGTTACTGCTAAGGCTGTTAAGCATCAGAAGCTCAACGGATTCAACTGCATTCATTCAAGTACCCGTATCAAAGTGTTCAATTTGATTGTAGATTTGTTCAGTCAAAGAATTCAAAATTGTCCTACAAACATCTCGTTTGCACGGAATTTTCTAATTTTTCACGCCGGTTTTGATAGACTTGGTACTTAAGAAAGAATTTCATTATTTTAACTTTTCAATTTTGTGCGCAGGTCAAAGACATTAACTTGACACTTCTTTGATTAGGGTCTCGATGCGGGGCGCATGCCCAGGCATGCCCGGAATCATGCCGAAAGGCACGGGCACGCCCGAAATCCACCCGGCCGGGCAGCGGTCGGGGTCGCGGTACGATTCCGGGCCGCCCGCGACAGCGGGGCTCATTTCGGGCTTGCCGCGTGCCGGCGGCGGGTGGATTTCGGGCTTGCCGAGCGCATTTAGGCATCATTCAGGGCATGCCGGACACTTCGGCATCATTTCGACATCATTTCGACACATTCTCGGCACGATCTTTTTTAAACGGGTTTGTAAACTGGTGTGAGTTAGTGAACGTAACGTAGGTGCGGTCTGAGTCTTTTCTTTCTTGAGATCAAAATATGCTTGTTCCAAAAACAAAACATCCCGAATGAAGTAAGATTCGTTAGGGCAGTGTAATATCGGCAACTCAAAATATTTCTGGCACTTCTGGAATCGACAAACTAGCAGTTTTCGCTTCGTCGTGCGGCGGGAGGGCGCACATAGCGGGCATACCAGCCCCAGAGATAGCGGCCAGTCCGTGCAGCAGACTGATTCCGAACTGCGCTCTCCGCCACGCTGCCGTCTCTCTCGCACCACGCGGCGTCCCACGTGGGTGCGAGAGAGACGGGGCGATGAGGCCCGCGATGCTGTGGCGGTCGTCGCGGTGCCTGAGGGCGTACGCTCCCTTTCGGGGGCAGTGCCGCGGCACCCAGGCCGTGCACTTTGTCTCTCCGGCCCCGTTCTCGGTTTTCGGCAGTGCAGTGAACGCCCATTGAGCACACACTGCGTACTCTGCGTACAGAGATACGCGAAGCGCCTCATGGGCGCGACGGCGCGGCGGCGCAGCGGTGAAGGGCTGCGAGCCAGATACCCAGAAGCCACGCACTCAGTCCGTCACTCCCCGTCGAGGCGATGTAGGCCAGCGTCTCGGCGGCGTCCACTGCATCGCACCATTCATACCGGCCGGCGCACCGCGCAGCACCGCGGCCCTCGCTACCGCCCCCACCGCCACACCGCACCAGGTAGGAGAGTGTTCCCCGGCGGCCGCGGTGGCCGCCCGGGTCAGTGGCGTGGTCCGTCTGGCCCTGGACCAACCCCTCAACTTTACGCCATTGAGTTTGAATGGCTGCGGGAGTGGAGCTTTAAACACCCGCCATGCCGCGCTGGACCTGGTCTTCGGTGGTTTGCCGGCATAGAAAAAGGGGCTCTCCCCGACCACTGCGTCCTCTTTCGAAAGAGTGCCGGGTTATAGCGAAACGCGGAGGGGGTGACTATTCGGCGGCAAAAAAGAAAGAACTGTGAACACAGCGCACGCGTGGCTTCCAGACGATCAAATTGTTTTGCCCCGATTTCGCGCTCCATCTGTCACAGTGGGGGGCGCACTTTGACCCAGTGCGCCACCCCCCTCCCTTCCCTCCGGGCTTCGTGCCTCTGCGACCGCGGCCTTCGTCGGAACGAAATTGCGGTTTAAAATCCATGAAAATGGGTAGGGCAGCGCGGACACTGTGGCGCCAGACCGGACGGAGGCCGGACCCGCGCGGCGAGCGTGTTGGTGCGGTGGTGCGGACGGCCCGGGAGACCGACTGAAAAACAAATTAAAAGGCCCGAGATGAACCGCCTTCTTTGGCTGCCTTTGGTCGCCTTTGGCTGGATGATACCAAGGAGCGCCAAGCAGCGCGAAGCGGCAGCGCCAATCGATTGGGCTGGCCGTCGAAGTGGCCGGCGACACCGACGAGGCACCCGGGCATGACGGCATGGCGGCACGGCAGCACGGAGACGCGCTACGACGCGGTGCTCGGCGCGGTCGCGCGGTCGCGGACTCGGTGGTGGGCTCGACCGGGGCGAGTACATGCGCCGCGAAACGGCAATGGCACTGGAGTCTGGCTCCGAACGTCGTCGCTCTGTCTCTCTCGCACTCGTAGAGCGTCTCGAAGCGGCGCGACAGAGACAGAGCGACGACACTCGGAATGAAAGCTACGGCGTCGCGAAACGGCGGGAGGGGAGGAAAACAAGAGGACTCGGGCCACGCGCGGCCACGCGCGCGAAGCACACCGCGGATTCCAGGGAGAGGGAGGGGGAGGCACGTCTAGCGGCCCCCACCGCACCCCGCATCTTTTCCTCTCTCTCTAACCGCGCCTCTGTAACCCCGCCGCACCGCGGGCACCGCGGGGACCGCGCAAGGTGCCGAACCGAGCGACACTAAGGGTTTTCGACTTAGACATAGACAACCAGTCTGCGAGTGGAGGCAGAGCGACCTGGACCGGCCTGGACTTCCCCGCGGACCTCCTGTACTCGACGAGCTGCCCGGTAAGTGACGGCGCGCGCCTCACGTCCTGCCTGGTGCACGCGGGCCGGGCAGTCCGACGGTGGGGCACGTTTATTCGACGGTGCCCTAGGGCCCGAGAGTGCGGGGGTCTTTTGCCGTGCCTTTAGTGCAGCGAGAGCGAGCGAGAGCCCCCTTCCCCCGGCGCTCCGACGTCGCGGCCCGGCGACCAACCCTTTCACAGCGTTCGGGGGCATTCAGGTCGAGGGGTTCCTGAGGCCCCGGCCCGGCACACCCGGTGGAGTGCACCGAGAACGGTGGCCGTGGCGCCCCAGTCCTGGCCCCAGTCCTGGCCCCTGTCCTGGCGGTCCTGGCCCCAGCCCAACGTAGCCACCTGGCGGGGCCAATCAGGCCTGCTTGGGGCGCAGTGCTCTGGGCGCCGCGCTCGCCGCGCCGTTCCGCAACTCTGAATTATGCATCGAATCAGAGAATCGGAGCGCCAGGCCGTCAACCAGGCCGTCGGCCTGGCCGCAACCCACTGCCCCTTTCATTGTGTTGATTTTTGCCGCGCCTTTTGTCTTCCGCTTCCCGCTTCCCGCCTGACTGTCTGGCTGTACGGCCGTCCGGCTTGACTTGCAACGCGCGGGGAGGAAAACACCGCCGCCTCCAAGTTGGAGGGAAGCTGCTAGGCCTGCCACCCTGCCTTGCCTGCCACGGCTCCGCGTGGCTCCGCGTTGTACTGCGTGGTGCCAGCTCCGTCCGTCCCGACCCACCCCGTCCCGTCCGGTCCGGCCCTGCCCGCCGGCCACCCCGCCGGGGGCAGCGCATGAAATTGGTTTGATAAACTTGGCAGCGCCCGGCCGGCCAGCCGGCCGTACTTTCACTGCCTCTCGTTTCCTCTCGTCGTCGCCGTCTGCTTCTGCTGGCAACACAGCACTGCAAAACGGCACGCCGAAAACGGTGTAACAATAACAGCACGCGCAATGCGAGCGTCGTGTTTTGCAAAGGATTTTCGCTGGAGAAAGCAGCCTGGAGTGCCTGGAGTGCCTGGAGGCGCGGCGCGGTGCCGCAAGACGAGGCACGGCGAGGCAGGCGTGGCGTTTAGCTGTAATTAGGGATGACTGACGTGCGAAGCCTGGCGCACCGCGCACCGCGCAGCGACACGGTACTCACGCAACGCCACGCGGCGCCGCGCCACGCCTGTACTACGAGTATCGAACGGACAGACACGACACACTAATGTTGTTGTAACAATGATTGCGAGTAAGCGCGCACGACGTGGATGACGACGTGGATGACGACGAGGACGGCGACGACGAGCAGCGAGAGTACCGGCCGGGGGCGTGGCGCCGCGTGGCGGGGCTGGCACTCGCGGTGCGGGTTGTAGTGTCAAGTCACGGCGTTTCTCGCCGAGCCCTCGGCAGGCAAGGCGGCAAGACGAAGTGGGTTAATGATCCGACTGGCTGCGAAGCTGCGACCGACGGGGGGGAGTTGCCCACCCGCCACGTGTGGTGGTGACGGTGGGTCTTACGCGGAGAACAGGAAAATGGTGTAGTGGTACGTTGACGTCGGCTCAAAGTTTTTGGCAAGCTCTTTTTTTCCGAGCCAGCTTTGCTGCACTTTTTGCCAAAGGGCCGGGTCGTTTCACGGTGGACTGGAGCCCGCCATTATGCACAAAGTGATCGAGTGGGCCACGGCGGGGTGGGGCGGGGCGGGGGCGGTGCGGGGCCCGACCGCGGGGGTCACCATTCCAAGAGCCACCCCGCGACGCACGCCCCCGACCCGCCCGCGCCGCCAGCTTGCCTGCGGCAGTTGAATCGCAATTCCGAACTCCTCGTCCCGTTCCGTTCCAGGCAACCAGCCACGCAATGGCTGGAGAAATGAGCCCTGATGAGTTCCGCGAGTTCGGTCGGGCGGCCGTGGACTTCATCGCCGACTACATCGAGAACATCAGGGAGCGGCCCGTGCTGCCCGCCGTGGAGCCCGGCTACCTGCTGCCCCTGCTGCCCACCGAGTGCCCCCAGGACCCGGAGCCCTGGCAGGACGTCATGAAGGACCTGCAGAAGCACATCATGCCCGGGGTCAGCACAACAATAACAATTTAAGTTAGTCTGAGTTGGGTCAAGTTTTAATTAACGAGATGGTGGCCGCCCAGGTGACGCACTGGCAGAGCCCGTCCTTCCACGCCTACTTCCCGACGGCCAACTCCTTCCCCGGCGTCGTCGGCGAGATGCTCAGCGCCGGACTCGGGGTCATAGGCTTCAGCTGGGTGCGTACTCCAGTTATACCTTCCGGCGTGACCGGTGTTCAGCATTCAAAAAGTTGGATTTGAAATAGTGAGATTTATTGTCCGCTCACGCTCCTCCATGGCCGCAGATAACGAGCCCCGCCTGCACCGAGCTGGAGGTCATCGTCACGGACTGGCTGGGGAAGATGCTGGCGCTGCCGGAGGAGTTCCTGCACTGCGGCGCCGGCGCCGGGGGCGGCATCATACAGGTGGGCCACTTTTGCAACAGTGTACTGTGCCGGAACGTAAAAGTTTAGTGGCTCGGCGTCGTGGCGGGCGCGTCCTGGCCGCGTCCTGCCCGTGACATTCAGCGCGGTCGAGGATGACGCGCGACCGCGCACCGCGCGGGGTCCTCCAGCCGGGCATCCGGGCTGTGCGCCTGCACTTGCAGGACGCCGCCGTTCGACGCGCTGACGCCCCCTCCTTGTGGTTGCAGGGCTCGGCCAGCGAGGCGACGCTGGTGGGCATGCTGGCGGCGCGCGACCGCACCGTGCGCAAGGTGCGCGAGGAGGACCCCAAGCTGTCCGACGGCGAGATCAGGTCCAAGCTGGTGGCGTACACGTCAGGTGCGCGTCTCCTTTGCTCTCATTCCCAACGCGTTTTTGGCGCCGGAAATGGTGACGGGCTTGACTGGCGCCACGCTGTCGACTGTTCGCAGACCAGGCCAACTCGTCGGTGTGGAAGTCGGGGCTGCTGGGCGCCATCCCCATGCGGCAGCTGCCCACCGACGCGGAGGGCGCGCTGCGCGGCGACGTGCTGGAGGCGGCCATCCGCAGCGACCGCCAGAAAGGCCTCATCCCCTGCTTTGTGAGTGGCAGCTTGTGGAGGTCAGGCAGTACGTCGCGACAAGGGCGCTCCGAATAAAAGCATTCCGCTTTGGTGATGCAGGTTGTCGCCACCCTGGGCACGACGGGCACCTGCGCCTTCGACAACCTGGAGGAGCTGGGACCGGTCTGCAACCGCGAGGGCCTGTGGCTGCACATAGACGCGGCCTACGCGGGTACGTGAACCTTTCAACTTGCGCCAGATAATTGCACCACATTCGAATGAAGACGATGTCCATTTCGAGCAGGCTCCGCGTACGTCTGCCCCGAGCTGCGACAGACCATGGCCGGCGTGGAGTTCGCCGACTCGTTCGACATGAACCCCCACAAGTGGATGCTCGTCAACTTCGACTGCTCGGTCATGTGGTACGTCACGCTGCGCCCGAGGACTTTGGCAAGGAGCCCTCTGTCCGACACCTACTATCACCTACACTAGCATGACTCTTCTGCTCTTCAGGGTCAAGAACAGCGCCGACCTGGAGAACGCGTTCAACGTGGACGCGGTGTACCTGAAGCACGACAAGCAAGGCGTGATGCCCGACTACAGGGTAAGTGTCTCCCAATATAACCCTATTTTTTTGATGCACCGCCTCGGGAGCGCTCTGACCGCAGCTGGTTTGGTGGCAGTAGCCTCGCAAAGTTGTTCATAAAGTGATCGAACCTCCGAAAGTATGATTTTGATTACGTTGATTATTGCGCTGATTTGGACGTGCACTCTGCCCTCAGCACTGGCAGCTGCCGCTGGGCCGCCGCTTCCGCGCGCTCAAGCTCTGGCTGGTGCTGCGCACGTACGGTGCGCGCGGCATCCAGGCGCACATCCGGAAGCAGGTGAAGCTGGCCCAGGACTTCGAGCAGTTGGTGGACCAGGACCCGCGCTTCGAGGTGGCCGTGCGGGCGCGCTGCGGTCTCGTCTGCTTCAGGATGGTGGTGAGCAAGGCGTCAGCGTGTCAGTCTTAAACCCCGAACCCTGAACCCTTGAGCCGGGTCAGGAAGGGCTAGGCCTTGGCCCGTGTTTGATCTGCTAGGACTACGGAAGGGCTGCGTAATCCCTGCGAACAAACACGATGGCCCTTCCCTTCCAGCCTTCCAGACGGGAATAAGGGTCCAAGTAGACTGCGCTCGCAGTTCGCGCACCCTGCCCCCGAGGCCCCGAAGGCCTTGCCGAAGGCCCCCATCTCGGGATCATCCCCGGCCAGACACGGCCCGTCCCGCCGCCCCGCCCCAGCACTCTGTCAAATGGTTCCTTTCTCGCAGGGCCCGTGCGCGCGCACGCAGGAAGTGCTCCGGCGGGTGACGGCGCGTCGCTCGCTCTACATGTGCCCCGCCGTGGTGCGCGGCCGCGCCGTGCTCCGCTTCGTGGTGTGCAGCCGCCTGACCGAGGCCGAGGACGTCCGCCGCTCCTGGGAGGAGATCGTGTCCCAGGCCGAGGCCGTGCTGCAGGCCGAGCAGGCCCTCGCCCCCGCCCCCGCCACCGCCACCGTGGCCGCCACCGTGGCCGTGTCCTGCGACCCCGACAGGGCCAAGACCAACAGCGTCCTGCACATGCTGGGCGCCACGGCCGCCGACGGCCAGCACACCGTGTGACGTCATGTGTGGTGTCAGTCGCCGACGCCATGTTAGTCGGCTCTTGGATAGATGTGATATATGCTTAGTATAGATTAGGATGTAAGTATTATTGTGTTGTTCGCCGGTTATGATAAAATAAAGTGAATTGTTTCTGCAATATATGGAATTATGATTTGTCCTCATACCTTCATCCTCACATCGACTAAGCTCAACCTCGCTATTTTCATTAGAGCACGGCACAGTATAGATAGGTGCCCAGCTTCCGTTCCTGCGACACACCGAAGTTGCTTATGAACTTTTCCATACGTAGAGCCCCCACTTTTCCAATTTTTCAAGTGCGTGGGTGTGTTCCCTTTCTCCAGCAGCCCGAGTTGTGAGACAGTACGCCCGCAAAGTCGAGCATTAGCAACACGATGTGGGACAAAGGAGAAAAACATAGATACGTAGCAGCAATAGTGTGATGAAATTTAAATAAAAAGTTGAATAGTTCGAAAGTTTATTATCATTTTCTCACGTTTGCACTTCTTAACTTACGGTAAATATATAACACAAATGAATTTGAATAGAATTCGTAACTGGTAACTCACATGAAAATTGCTATATTTGCGTACAATAAGTATTGCTACAAATTAAACTAAACAGTCATTATAGCCGCATTAATCCAACGCCATCTCTAACAATATGATAAATACTAGTGGTACTATACAACAAGGTTCTTTATATCAAAAGACGATATCACTGACAGTGTGCACCGCCGAACACGTTTCGGTCCCCAAAGTACCCTCTCCGGCGGGGCGGACGGCAGACGCAGATGGTGGCGTTGTGGGAACCTCGTTCTCGTTACCGAGTCACAATCCTCTTTCGCCTCATTACAAGTCTCGGGCCGGTCCTTCGGCCCTGCCGCCCCGTCCCGTCCGCCCCGCTTCCTGCGCTTTGACGGCGTCGGGCAGCCAGGCAGCCCGACGGAGACGTCCTTTGATCCGCCATTCGCTGTCCAACAAGAGATGATTCTTTTCTTCCTCCGCGACAGGCCGGGGCTGACTTTGGGCTGACTTCGGGCCGCCTCTCTCGCTCTTTCTCACTCTCCCGCTCCGCGTCGTGGACGTCATGGAGCTGACAGAGGCTATGCCTCGCGAAAAGCACGCGCGGTCCGACATTCGAACCGCTGACGCAAACTTGGTGGAATTTGCGCTGCGCCCGTCCCGGCCTCGGCGGCCCCGCGGTCTCTGCCCGTCGACGGCGACCTCAGTCTCGGTGCGCGCCGCGCCGCCGGGCGACTGGAGTCCGACACTGGTCGAGGTCTCGCCGATGAATGGGCGGCAACTTCTCAAGGCCCGGCCATGGCTTGGCCAGGGAATCCGTCTTCCAATAAAGTCCACGGACAGGGGGGACTCCGTGGCGGTCGGCGAGCCCGTCGAAATGAGACTATCTATTATTACTATGCAGGAACTTTGGCAGCTGCGCGCCCCGCCCTCCTCCACGTCGTCGCAGACCTGCGAACCACGCCGTCAGCAAAAGCGAAACAACTACTTGTCCAAGTCGCGGCTTGCTCGACAACGTGGTCCGCTGGTCCTTGGTGGCCTTGGCGGCGTGGCCGGGCCGTCCTTGGTGGTGGTGGGCGCGTGTGTTCACACCCGGCCGTTGAGCGCGCCGGGGCCGCCGGATACCATCTCCAGGGTGGCGGCGGGGTTGTCGTGGCCCGAGTCGCGGGGCGCCTTCTTGGGGCCGTCCATCAGGAACATGGTGAAGAAGAAGAGCACCGAGCCTGCGGGGCAAGCGTGATGCGCGAACAGGGTTAGCAGAGGCCGGGTGCAGTTCTGCGGGGGGGGGGGGGGACCATAGATCTGGACTCACTGATGAGGTAGAAGCCGGCGTAGAAGATGAAGAGCGACTCCCGGTAGCCGATGGCCTTGGACACGGGCTCCACGAGGATCGGCAGGTTGCCGCCCACGTTGTTCATGACGAACAGGAAGACCCCCACGGCGGTGGAGCGGCACGCCAGCGGGGTGATCTCCACCAGGATGGCGAACACGATGCCGAACCACATCTCAGCTGAAAAGAGCGGCGAGCTTTAGGCATGACACTCGGGACAGGTGTTCGAAAGAAAAGCGCTCGGCTTACCGAAGAAGTAGGAGATCCCGAGCGTGACCATGGCCCCCACCGGGTTGAGGTACACGCTGCCGAACGCGAACGGCGTGGAGATGAGCTGCAACGGGGAAAACTCAGCCGTCGTGAGACCGTGATAAACGGCCCTGTTTGTGGCCGCCAAGTTGTGGCTTGGCCTCACACGAAAGCCGCGAACGAGCGGATTGCCGGCCATCCCCACTGAAGACTGCGCAGTCTAGCGCCCGTGAGGTAGGCCACGGATCTGGCGTGCAACACACTGGTGTGGATGTGGTGGCCTACCTGACCCCTGTCAGGGGCGAGATAGGCCGCCGTCTCCACTACGGTGTGATGCGTCACGGATCCGTGGCCTACCTCACAGGCGCTTCAGGCCCGCGGCCGGCTGCTTGCCAATTGGATAACAGAGCATGCGCAGCGTTATAGCCACGTTGTGCCACAAACAGGGACGATGTTGCATTGGTTGTCCGCACCTGGCTGATGGCGAGCACAGCGACCCTGGAGCGCACCCCCATCTTGGCCACGAACTTGTCCGAGACGACGCCGCCCACCACGACGCCGATGCTGCCGATGACGATGGTGACGGCGAACAGCCACCAGCCTAGGTCGTAGTCCGGGAAGTACTCCCGGTAATAGAGGTCGCAGTTGTAGGCGAACGTCATGCCTCCTGGAGGCAGATCGGAACGGATCAGAACTCCACTCAGGGAGAATGGCCGCGATTCCTTCTTATTTTCCCTTCGTGGAAACGGAGTGGAACGGTGTGCCAGCTCCGAGCGCCCGCGAGACCGAGGCTAGGCAACCTTTCGTACGCCAGCGGGCCCCAGACGTGGGCTCGGCCTGCACGGGCAGTGCCTTGGCAGTGCCTTAGCAGTGCCCTAGCAGTGCCCGCGGGCCTTGACTTGCCGCCGGGGGATGATGGCGAGGCTTCCAAGGCCACTTGACACAGATGAGGCCCGAAGGCTGTTCCCGAACGCGCCCGAAGGCTCCCGACGGCGCCCGAAGGCTGGGCCGCGTTGCCGATTGAGGATTACCCTGGAAGAGGATTAGCGAGGCTCAGGACGACAGCGCGGCGGCGCGGCGGCACGGCCTATTTGACGACATCGCGGTCCTTATCATATTAAAGAGTGGCTCCCCCTCCCCTCCTCCAGACCACGGCGCCAGCAAAACAAACGTCGCAAACAAAAGGGGCGGCCGTGCGTCGCCGGAAGAAAGGGGGTGCAGGTGCTTTTAATTCAAGCCCCGAGAGAATTAACACGCGAAAAGGATCCGGGCTGGAGAGGAAAGGGGTGCCATTCGCGCGTTGTTCGCCCCGGATCGAAAGGCGAGAGTCTCTGGCGCGCGGGGTAGCGGCCAGGCGGCGGCCAGGCGGCGGCAAGGCGGCGGCACCCACCGCAGTGGCGGATGGAGGCGGCGATGCACAGCAGCACGATGCGGGGCTGCAGCAGCACCTTCCAGGTGGGCGTGGCCGCCTCGCCGGCCTGCTTGGTGCTCTCCTCGCCGATGGCCTGCCGCTCCGGCTCGCGCAGCGTCAGCGTCATGAGCACGGCGATGATGAGCGCCACCACGCCCGCGCCGTAGTACGGCACCCGCCAGCCCTGCAAGCACACCAGCACCGTAGAGTCCCAGGACTGCGTGTTCGAGGACCGAGGTCTACGCTGCGGCCGCGCGGCACTCACCAGCCCCCAGGCGTTCATCTCGGTGACGTAGCGGCCCACGGGGAAGGCGATGCCGTAGCCGCCGTAGATGCCCCAGTTGAAGATGGCCATGACGAGGCCGCGCTTCTCCTGCAACCGGAACAGAGGCGGCAGTTAGCTCCGCGCAGCGACAAGCCCCGTCCCACCCCGCCCCCGCCCCGCCCCCGCCCCGCCCCGCACTGCCCGCAGTCCTCGGGATTCTTTCCCTTTTCCTCCGGTCCTCCAGGGATGACAGTGCGGGGCATAAATTCACAAGTTTGCCGCACTCGCCCGCTCGCCTGGGAGGCACCAGGGCCGGGCAGGCGGGCTGCCTCACCTCGGGGAAGATGTCCGACAGGATGCCGGTGGCCATGGGGTTGCAGGCCGACTCCCTGGGGGCGGAAGGGAACATCAAGACATGTAGAACAACTCGGATTGCGCGGCAGGACCGGCAGAAGGAAAGTTTGCGGCGTGGGCGCGCTGGGCGCGGCCTTGCGCAGCGCGTGGCGTACTCACCCGGCGGCCAGGAGAATCCTCAGCAGCACGAGGTGCCAGAACTCCTTGACGGCGCCCGTCAGGATGATGGCCACCGCGAAGATGATGGAGCACACGGACAGGATTCGCGCCCTGCGGGGTTCGAATACCGAGTCACTTTGCGTTTTACCCCGCTCCCCGCTCCGACCTCGCTGTAACGGGCTGGCAAACACCGCCGCGAGACCGCGGGCGTGTGGGGTGGGCTCACGGCTCACGAGAAGGAATTGGCGGAACAAGCAGGCCATAGCTCACCGGTTGTAGCGGTCCGCGGCGATGCCCAGGATGACACCCATGAAGGTGAAGACCAGGATGAAAGCGGGGCCGGCGATGACCTGGTAGTCCAGGCCCAGCCCGTTGCGGTCCCACTCGCAGTACCCGGACCCGTTGACGCGCAGCTCCAGGCATCTGAGAGGGGGAAACAGGTTTTCCATTTAGAGTGCAAAATCGCGAAATCATAGCAGCAGGGACAGAGATTTACAGTGGCGAGCCGACCACCCCTTCGACGGCCACGCCGAGGCCAGGCCTATCTCTGCCCCAACTTGGTCCCGACCCGGCCGCACATATCTCATTCCATATTCATCCCCCGGCTCGGCGCGGCTCGCCGGCCACTGCGGTGCGAAAAGGAGCGCAAGACCCTCACCGCCGCCTCTTTCTCTCTCGCACCCACACGGCGGCCGCGCTCCGCACTTAGCGCGAGGCAGATTACGGCGGGGCAACAGGAACAGGGCGTCCCGGCAGGCCGGGCCGAGGCTAGCCGGGCCGAGGCTAGCCGGGCCGAGGCAGGCCGCCCCCTTTACGGTGTACTGCCCGGTACGGCCGCAGCCACTTTCGGTAACACGTACGGGCCTGCGCGAGGGCCTGCGCGAGGCTAGAGCCAGCGGGGGCGGTCTCGCGTAATGACCCATCGGCTTTATCTCTTTCTAGCCTCGCAACGGCCAGCGCTCCGTGGCGCAGCGTGGCGCAGCGTGGCCCGCCGCCCAAGTTGGCGCAGACAATGGCGATACAATTATTGGGGGCCGCGGCGCCGCGGCAGTGTAGAGGGCCGCCAGTGATTTACTCCGCGGGGGTCTTGGCGTCGTCCCGGAGTCTGGAGTCCCGGTCGCCAAAGTAACAAGTTCGCGGTCCTCTCCTTTCGCCCGTCCTGCCGCCCCCACTCCCTCCTGGCTTATCGGAAGCGATATCTAATTCCGTGAGGTCAACAACCACCGCCCTGGCCGGCTAGCCCGGCTAGCCCCGCGCCGGCCCCCGGGACCAGCCACCCCTGAGCCGCGGCAAAGTCAGCAGAGTCGACACACCCATTTCTCTTGGACTCGGCCCCGAGCTGTTCGCCCTCGTGCTCGACCGCTAGTTTTGGCAAAAGAATAATTTTCGCCTCTGCCGCGCTGCGCTGGCGGTTTTCGCTTTTGCGGTTCTTGTTTGGACTGTACTACTCACGTGTCGGAGTTGTTGGCAGTGTAGCACTCGGTGGGGATGTCTGTCAGGCTGAGGGTGGAACTGTTGAACAGGCAACCGATGTCGCCATACTGGAGGTCACGCGCGGTGTACTTGGTGGTGACGCCTGCAAATTGCGAAAACCGGAGAACCGACTTAACATTTCACACAGTGTACAATTTTACCAACTTTTCCTCTCAAGTACCCTTGCTGCTCATGCTCAGCAAGCCGAGCAAATTCTTACACTCACCGATGAGGTAGTGGCCGAGCTCACCGACGACGTAGCCGACGGACACGATGGCCAGGACGTAGGGCTCGTAGTAGCCCTTGAGCTTGTCGAGGACGGTGTTGTGCACCATGGTGCCGGCGGACCTGGGCCTGTGCGGTGCGGCGCCGCAGACAAGTTTGAGATGAGTGGCTCTGCAGGCGAGTCAAACTCCTTTCCGCGCCGCCTTCGCCTCCGCCTTCAAATCCCACTTAGTGAGCTGCACACCTCTGCCGATGACAGGCCCCAAGGCCGCGCCCAGTCCCCGGCAACGGACGAACAAACGGCACGCTGCAGCTTCGAGTTGCGCCGCAAGGCGTTCAAAGAAGCTGCGTTCGCGTCCCGGCAACGAATTCCGCGAGTGTCGAGGGCGGAACGGAACAAACTTGGTTGGCCCCGCCTCGCCTTGCTACGCCGTCTGATGCATTTCGGCACGACGGCCGCGCGCCAAAGCGGAGCCAAGGCAGCAAGGCGCCGAGGCAGCGAGACACCGAGCCGCGGCCGAGGCACCAGAGGGCTCGGAAATGAAATTCCACCACCTTTGCGAAAGAGGTTATCTCGGCGCCGCGCCCTGGGCCATCCTGGGCCATCCTGGACCAGCCTGGACCAACGTGTTCTCTAAGTCGATAGGCCGGGAGGGCGTGCCGTCTCCTTTCCCTTTGCCGAAAGGATCGGCGTCCAGTGTTGCGTCCGCCAGCCCGGCCAGCCCCGCCCCGCCGCTCAGGCGGGCTTACTTCTAATGCATGCCATTAGAAATTTAAATGTCGTCGGTGATCATGTCGAGGCGTCCCGCGTCCTCCAGGGAACGCCCGCCCGCCGCGCCCGGGCTGCTTCGCGGAACACACAAACGGCCCCCGATGGCGCTGGCTGGTTTCTGGTTTTCCGGGCCGCTGCCCCCGGGCTGGGTCGGGCTGGGCCGGGCCGGGCCCCGAGGCACCAACGGCCCGGGCGCAGCGCGCCGCGCGCAGCCCGCTGCAGCAGAACAATGACAAATCAAGGACGGCTCGTCCTGGGACTGGGCGACTGGCAGACTGGGACACTGGGAGCGTGCGACGCGCCGACAACGCTTTTCAAAGAGCGCCAGGCCCGCGCTCTCGCCGCTCTCGCTCTCGGAGACGCATCTCGCATTTGCATACTACTTGTCGTGATGACGGCGTGGCGTGTCGTCTGGCCGGGGGCCAGCGCGGCCAGCAGGCGCGCTACGAACACCAGTGCTTTCTGTCTCTCTCGCGCCCCCACGCAACGCCCTACATTCTGTGAGTGCGAGAGAGACGGCGGAACCAACCCGACTGCGGGGCGTTGTCGCCGGGGTCAGTGGTGCGCTGGGCGACGCGGCGACGCGCGGTGTGCCGCGGCGCTGCTGCCGTCGGGCTGACAGGGCTGTGGAGCCTGACGGGGGCCATGCTCCCCGTCTCCGTCCCCATCCCCATCCCCCTGCCGCCTCGCCCACGCTTGGCCGAGCCTTGGCCTCTGCATTTTATATTCAAACCCCATCCGGCGGCCTTTTCAAGCGGGTCGGGGCTTCTGCTAATGAGCACGCCATTAAGTGCCTCCACTGGCTGACTCCTGGACCGGGTGGGGCGGGGCCGGGGAGGGGGCGGGGGCGTCAAGCGGCGTCAAGGGAGAGTTTGGATCCAAGGCTGATGACGAAAACGGTGGCGCGAGGTCGGATGGAACAAATGCTCGAGTAAATGAGGTGGCCGAGGCCTTCGACAGGGCCACCGCCTCGTTCGCAGTGTGGGGGTGGTGAAGGCTGGTGAGGGGAAATGGGGGTGCGCTCCGCATTGTCTCCCAAGGCGACGCCAGGCGACGCCCGCACACAAGTAAGCACGCCCGCCGTTTGTTGTCCTGGCTGCTATCTGTACGCACCACGCCCCAAGCGTGTACCGTACCGTCCGGAACAAAAGTATAAAATCGAAATGTTTACTGTCGGTGAAAAGCTTTTCTTTTTCCCTCCCCTCGGAGAAACCGGCGGAACGAATTACAAAAGCGGAAACTTGATATTACAGCCACCGAGCGCAGACCGTTGGGTTTGGCACACACCCGCTGTGGAAACTCGCCTCCTAGTTGTTGCGGCGCGCGGCGCGGCCATCAAGACTTTTGAGTGGAAGTAATTTGATAGTGCTGCGCGCCATCAACATGGACATGGGCTTTTCGGCCGGGCCTGGCCGGGCCTTTGGTGTGGCTAGGCCGCCGCCGCGTTGCCATGGCGACCACCTGAATAGCGGATGCAGCGCCCTTATCGGCACACAGCAGCAGTTTGCGCCGTCGCGCTGTCTCGCTCGCACTCGTGGGCACCCCGTTGGGGCGCGAGAGAGACAGAGCGACGAAGCACTGTGTGGATCGGACTTCAGGTCTACTCGTTCAAACAGGGCGACTGCGGGACGTCTAACCTAACCTAGACGCAATCTGCAGCGCTGCAGCTCGCAGCGGATGAGGTCGTTGATGAGTCGCAGACAGTGCGCGGGACGGGCTGCCAGCATCGCCAGTGCCGCCGCGACCGAGCTGGCGACCGCAGTGACCGCGCCGCCCGAATTGCCTACTGTGGGACGCGCCCCGCCCCAATCGCTGCGTGTGTTCCAAGTCAACAAGACAAAAAAACAACAACACAGAACGCGCGTGGGTGCTCGTAGTTAGGGACGGCGGCAAACAGACTAATAAACGCGCAAACTGCAGGCAGGCTGCAGGCAGGCCGACTGGCGAGGCCCCGCCGCCGATCCGGAACGGAATAACTTGACGGCGTTTACTGTGGAGGCGGGGACGCGGCTTGGACTCACCGTTCAGGGTCCAGCGCCGCTCCGGCGTTCCGCGGGGCTGCGAGGGAGACGGCCGGAGACGGCAGACGGCGAGGTCACGCGTGTCGTGTCGGCCGCAATCACGGCTACGGCCCAATTTCGCGACGCGAGACGCAGGATGCAGCGCGATGCAGCGCGAGCCGAACGTCGAACATCGCGCAGAGACGGAGGCAAGGCTGCACCCGCATTCCTCTCCTGACGCGGTCAACAATTCCGTCTGCTCGCCGTCCAGGCCACGGCAGGGCCATGAGGCACACGCCACCCTCCCGGTGTTGGGTCGGCTGCCCGTCCAGAGAGGCCATCCGTTGTCCGTCAGCCAGGCCGACCGCTCGGGACCGCCCGGCAGGCAGGCAACCCTCCCGGGCCGCGCGCACGCCGGCGCCGCGGGCTTGCCTACCCGGCAGGCGTCATGGCTGTCCTGGTCCCCGGCTGGTCCCGGCTGGTCCCGGCGGAAGGAAGGACATCGCCATTTCCCCCGTTTGACGAAACGCTCCCTCTTTCCGGCTCCATCACGGAATCCCCGGCTGGTTTCTCATATTTCGAGCGTGGCAGCGGGACGCGGGCCGCCCAGGGCCGCCCCCTCCCTACCTCCGAACCACACACAAGAAGCACACGCGCGCACACGCGCACACACACACACACACACGAGGGACGAACACGCGCGCACACACACGCACACTCCGCCCCGCACAAACACCTCCACTGCTGCTCTGCCGAAGCGGGCCGAAGCGTTCTCTCTCGCACCTGTGCGGAACGTCAGATGGGTATGAGGGAGGCCTCGCATCAGGATCTCGAAAACGCGCCGGCCCGCTGGCGCGATGGCACGGTGGTACCGCGCTGGTATAGCCATCCTGACCCACCGCAACCGTCGCACCGGCACGTCGTTGTGGGAGGGGCGGAACAACAACGCCGCGACTTATTTCAGCTTATCGCACCTGGGAAATTGGCGCGAAATTAACTGATTCCCGGCAGAGCGCTTCCGTGGGGCGTCGCGGTCGTCATAGCCGCCCCGCCCCGCCTGTGTGTGAAGTCGATGAAGTGGCGCTAATGGTACGGCGAAGTGGTGAAAGGAAGGGTAGCGAGGGAGAGGAAGAGGCGGCGACGACAAAGGAGAACGAGGGAAAGAGAGAGAGAAAGCAAGAGAGCGCACACGCCGCCGCCCTTCTCCGGTGTCGTCATGGATACCGTGATACCAAGGTCCGGTACTACCGGGCGGGGCGGGCGGAGCGCGTCCACGAACCATTTCCAGGGGCATCACGCAGCAAAATTCGAGGCAAAACTAACCCATCAGAGAACGAAATTTCGACTTCGCGCAGTAAAACCCGACTCACTGCCGAGGAAGGCAGCCCAGCCAGGAACCTAGGATGCTAAGCGCTGGCGTTCCCTCGCTTTTTCAGCAGGACGAGGACGCCGGAACACACTGCCGCTTTCGTTAATGGATTGACGCGAAAGGGTGGCCTTCCTGGCAGGGCCTGGCAGGTGGCTCGGGTTGCACTCAATCGAATCGGGGATCGCTCCACCACCAGCCCTACCCAGCAGCAAGCTGGCAGCCAACCCCCCTGAACTTTGTGCGCCCCGCTGCAAGCGCCAACGTCGCCATGCTACGCCATGCCATGGCGATGGTGGCGGGCCAAGCCGCCGGGTGCGGGCCCGGCCCAGCCCTGCCCTGCCAGCGTCCTTCAATCGCATTGTGAGGGCGAAATCTTGGGCCTGCATCTCAAACTACGGCCGCCACGACCACGCCCGCGACGCTCGCGACGCCCCCTCCCACTTCCCTCTTCCTCTGCCCCCTCCCCCCTGCCGCTCGACTCGTGTCTATCTGCTATCTGCTCCCTGCACAGCGTTCCCCTCCTCCATGTTTGCCGTCAGATTCAATCCGACAAGTACCCCCTTTGCCCCCTCTCCCGCCCCGCCACTGGAGTCACAGATTGCGATTGGCTGGGCGAGGCAGTTTGCCTAAGTGCCCCAAGCCGTTCGGACGCCTGGCCAGGCCTTGGCGCGCCTTGCCGCGTTTGCATGGTTCTTGCCTCCTCGACACCTCGCCCTCTTCGGCGAGGCCCTTGCCTTTCGGCCCTCGGGAGCTGGGAGCCGCCCGGCTTAGAATATTCAATCTGGAAGTAATTGGCTTCATTTCTCTGAATAATGGAACGCGATGCGCGCCGCGTCGTGGCGCGTCCAGATTACCGCATGCAGAAGAAACGCCACTGCGGCCGGCGCGCAGCGGAAACAATGAAGCGAAATGGATGTTTGATTCGCTTCCCGCTGGCCGGCTGGCTGCCGGCTGGCTGCCTGCTGGCGATGATGAGGTGGGAACTGCACCAATAAGCGCTCTGGGCAAACACCACCACCACCACTGCAGCAGGTCCGGCCGGAACGCCTGCCTCGCCTGCCTCACCCCGCGGACCGAACGGCGCTCCAGCGATCCATGGCTGCTGCTGGGCTTGGTGGCGGAGTGGCTGCTGCCTAGACTCGCCTGGAGGAGGAGGAGCGGGCGAAGGAGAAGAAGCGTCTCTCAGACTCCAGGAGGAAATGTGGCGTTTATGGTTCTCCTCGAGGTCGACCCAACCGCGGCGGAGCCGCGCCCTGCGCTCCTCCCCGAACAGCGCTCCGTCGCTCCGTCTCGCTTACACCGCCACGCGACGCCTGCGAGTGCGAGAGAGACGGCGCGGCGAAAGCCCTGTTCGGAATCGGCCTGCTGTCGGCGTCGCATGCGCCCAACTTTCCGATATGGACGTATAACAGCGATGGGGGTCTTGATGGCGTCGTCGACGCGCCCCGGCCGCGCCACGCCACGCCGCCTTCGCCTTGTGCCGACGGAAGATGGAATCCGAGACCCGACAATCTCCGCCAATCCCACCGCGTGGAAGTGCCGTGGAAATGTTGTCGCCGATGCCGGCTGTTTCGCGCGTTTGGAGCATCGGGATGTTCTCGCGTCCCCCACCCCCTCCCTCCTCCTCGGCCCCATCCTCCAGCAGCAGCAGCAGCCCACTCCCCTTTCTCTCCGGCGTCCAAACGGCGGGGTTTTCCGCAGCGTGGTGGCCGTCGTCGTCGTCGCCGCCATGACGTCCGTCGCCGAGGCGGAGAGCTTTCACTGGGCGCTGCTGGAGCTGCTGGAGCCGCTGGAGCCGCTGGAGCTGGACGCGGCCCGCCGAGCCGAGCCCGGGAAAAACCCAGCCGGGAACCTGCTGCTGATGCCATGGGCCGTGGGCGGGGACCGCCTGGTGCCCGGCCGCTCTGGCGACGTTATATCCCCAGGGACCCGAAGCAAGCTGGGCCAGGGCAAGCCAGGGCATCATTCCGTGACCAACGAGTGCTAAAAAAGTCCAACCCCCAAAAGTCAAATATGGAACGGTGCGGGCGTCACGAGAAAACGGGTAATGTCAATTGAGGGCCCAAAGTTGTTGAATTAGTCCGTTGACAACGTGTAGGAGATATTGGCTCGCCTGCAGTTGGAATTTTTGTCAAATAAGCGCGCACTCTCTGGTCCGAGAGAGATAGCCTGGCAGAAAGAGAGACCCCCCACCCTGCGCCCCTACCCCACCATCGCACACACACACACGCTCACACGCACACTCACTCACGCACACATCATATCACATCCTTTGAATGTCCGCGGCGTCGTGCATGCGCCACCGTTTTTTGCGCCAAATTTGGTTGGCATGGCGCACATGCACAATGCGTGTGCAGCGGAGCAGCCTTTCATATCGGTCGTCACCAGGCGACACACATTGGCGCACACACACACGACGGGCCGAGGAGTCGAAGAGGGAAGGGGAAAGGGGTATTGAGAGGAATCGTCGGACTGTCCTGTGACGCACGCTCTCTCTCTCTCTCTCTCTCTCTCTCTCTCTCTCTCTCTCTCTCTCTCTCTCTCTCTCTCTCTCCTGTACGTGGCTGTGCGTGACGTCAGCGCGGAGTGCATGCAGCTGGACCCGAAAACACAACGAACGCGACACGGGGGCCGCTGAAACGGGACAATCGTATGCGGCGCGTGTGCTCCATTCTTTCTCTTTTTTAATCATCCCCTTTTTGTGCCCAGCGATCGAATGAACTGGTGGGTCCGCTGTTAGCGAGATTCGTCTGTTTTTGCCGGCCGAACAAACGACTTTCGCTCAATTAATTTCGGCGCCAACTCATTCAGTGAGATACTCCGTCCGCGGAGCGCGGCCAGGCCAGCCAGTGGCAGCGGGCGTTGCAGATAACGGGAAGCGGAGGCAACCGAGACACTCTCGCTCTCCGTCACATGAAGGCGTCGGCTGGGAGACGACCCACTGCTTGGCGCGGAATCAGTTCACGACAGCGATGCGCTGCCCGGCCTTCACGAGGCCTTCGACCGCCTTCGCCCGGAGCGCGCGCGCCGCACGCTTTCCCACGCACGGCTAGCGCGACGGCCAGCGCGACGGCTAGCTTGGCGGAATGCAGGAGGAGCGCGCGGCACCGCGGCGGCATCGCTGGGCACCTGCCGACCCCATGCACCACACCACGGTGGTGGTGGAAGACTCCATAAAACCGAAAAAAAGGAACCGTTAAAGGAGACCAACAACTGCTACTGAGACTTTTGTCGCGCGCTCGTCCGGTCGAAATAAAGCAGGAGAGAGGCTGTGCCAGCGAAAACTTGGCCACAGTGCAGTCACACTTCCGGCGCCGTGGCCCGCTTGGTTCGGTTCGGTGGCACGGGGTTCAGGGCCGGGCCGCACCGGCCCGCATCGACTGGGCCGTGTGCATGAGCACCACTTGCCTAGAGGACCTAGAGCCGCGCTCCAGCGGCGGGGCGACCTTGACAATGGCCTGCGCCAAGGAGGCGGAGGGGACGGGTCATTTTCACGGCTATCGCTGTAGCATCGCGAGTCCAATCGGGGCCATGCCTGGCCATGCCATATCGTACGCTCCGCTCGCCTCGCGCTCAGCCGAAAACGGCCTAACGCGCCGCGTGATTTGCCGCGTGACTCGGGGAACCGCGAACGAGCCGCGAGCAGCCGTACTTCGCTTCGGCGGAGACACACGCATCGGCGAAATGACAGGCGCACAGTGTAATGTTCTCCCGGCCACGGCATGACAACAAAACGAAATCCTGTTTCATTTCGAGACGATGGGTCTTAGTCCTTCCCTGTCTTCGGGAAAAGAAAAAGCTGGTCTGCTTTCAATAGACATGCAGAAAATGGTTACAGGCACACGACTACACACACACACACACACACACACACACACACAGGCTGCCGAGTCCCTCCGAAAATGGATTTGCGTAACAACGGCAGCAGATGCACTCTGCCCACGCGGGGCGTGTCAGACAGGCCGGCGCGCCCGATAAACTCGTGTCGGACAACAGTGCCGCGCGAAGGACAAGCTGTAGGGGAGCAGACCGCCTGCCGAGACGGAGGGAGTGCGTATAGTAGGACGTACTAGTACCGCGGGGCGGGACGGGGTGGTCGTCAAAAAGAAGATTAAAACCAACTGCCCCCACCCACCCCCCGGCCTGTAAGACGGCACAACTTTATTATGGATCATCATGGCTCAAGAGCTGCCGTAAAATCATCCGCCAGCAATACCTTGGCGGGGCCAGGCCGGGCCACCGGGCTGCCGTTCGCATGCAGCTTCATCTCGCCGATGGATGGACCAACTTGGACCATTTTGGAATTAAACTTGCGCCTGGCACTCTGGCACGGCGCGGGGCACCTCGCCGCTGTCTTGAACTTTGCCTTCGTAAGTTATGTGTTCATCTTTTCAACGCGCTTTACACCTACTAAGGGCCGCGCGCAAAGAAGGGCGGCCCCGATGCGCCGCCGGGGGGCGGAGGCACCGCCCCCACCTGGAGTCCTCGTCACCGAATGTGAGGCTGTCGGGCCTCGCGCCTAGGGAAAGCCAGCGACTTCCAAGTCACCGTCTCGCACACTGCCTGCAGGGCTGCAGGGCTCGAACCCTTCGCTCGCTGCAGGTACCCAGCAAGTTCCACTCACCGTGCGTTCCGAGCGTGCCGCGCGTCGTGCCGCGGGCTCCTACTTGGCTGGAGTGGGCCGGAGTCTCGGCGCTGGCCCGGCCGCAACACACACTGCTCCGGGGAATGCGTTATCCGTCTTGGATTCGACGGAGCCGGGCGGCGCGCCGGCCCGCCAAGACGGCCCGACGCCTCGGACAGGTGGGGGCTGGGCGGGAGGGAGCGGGGCTCGAGCGGGGCGGCGACATTGGCAATGAGTGGGGTATTAAATTACTAGAGCGGCAGCCGCGCTACGCTAGGATGCCTCCGGCCGCACGAGGTGCGTGAACTTGCAGGAGGCTGCGCGCCGGGGCCGAAACTAGAGTCAACGGTGGTGCGGCTACACTGCCCTCTTCCTGCATTACACTCTAAACAGCGATACGTAACTTACTGCAGGCAGGCCCGCAAGCTGCGTTCGCCTACGCTTTATATATGTCTCCGTGTAAATTGAAAGACAAATTGAGACACAACCACCAGCGTTTTCTTTTTCTCCTTGTTTTCCCTGTTTTTTTAAATGCTGTGTGTGGAACAAAATCGCAAAAACGGACAAAGCCATGTGTGCTCTGCGCGGCTCTGCAGGGCCCCGCACGTGCTGCTGGCGCCCCTTCAGCTTCGGAGCGGACAAAACAATAAAATAATCGGTGCGACGGTTTCGGTGGGTCAGGATGGCTATACCAGCGCGGTACCACCGTGCCATCGCGCCAGCGGGCCGGCGCGTTTTCGAGATCCTGATGCGAGGCCTCTCTCATACCCATCTGACGTTCCGCACAGGTGCGAGAGAGAACGCTTCGGCCCGCTGGACCGTGTATCGGCGCCGCGCCGCTCACGATTGCATGGCGGAAAACAATAAAGTTCGGCTTCCATTTTCACGGGGCGTCCATGGCGTCCTTGGCGAGTCGGATCCTGGACGTCCCGGACCGAGCGACCGACTGCGCGCCCGCTGAGATATCGCCTCGGAAACAGCGGGGACAGTGTGGCGGTCACGGACATGCCTGCCTGCCGCCCGGCCGGCAGTTCAATACGTCGACAATTCGAATAGCAGCAGCGGTGGAAGCGGCACAGGTACGGGCCGGCCCAACCACCAGGTGCTGCTAACGGCCCGACAGAGCGCACGACCTGCCTCAAGGGTTTAGCGCCGCGGAGGCAGGCAGGGGCCGGCTGCACCGTCAGCACAACGCGCTCCTCGATGAGGACACCACCGTCGGGCTGCTGGGCGAGGGCAGGGCGGCGCTGTCGTCGTCGGCCTCGTCGGCCTCGCCGTCGTCGGGAAGGGCTGCGGTTGGTGGCGACGCGTCGCGACGCAGGCCCGGGGACAGAGAGCGAGAAGGACGGCCAGCCGATCCGTCGTGCGACGGACAGAGAAGGAAGGACACGCGTGGCGGCGCGTTCGACTGCTCGGAGGCCGTCGGCCCGCGCCGTTGCGCCGACACCACTTCCTGAATAAATTAGGAGCCTCCACAAACTTGGACGAGGCACGGCACGGCACGCGGCGCACGCAAGCCGTCGAACGGGAGCAAACTCTCATCTCGTTCGCGTGCCGCCTTTTAGCAGCAGAGCTGTTTTCGGCGTCGCCGCGGGCCGAAAGCAGCCGAAGAAGCCCGTGGGGGCGGAGGCGGCCGGCAAGCCAACCCGCCTCCAGTCAAGCAAGCCAACGCAAACTGTCGGTAATGAACCAAGTCAAACTCAAATAAATGCGTTTGCAATCATTAAATTTACATATTTTTAAATAATTTTAATTGATTAAGAGAGTACTGAAAATACTTTTGGGGCAGTGTTTTTTTGGGCTGTTTAATTTTTGGTCCGGACGATCCGCCGCGTTGATGCGCCTCTCGGCGATTCGTGCCCATTGAAACTCGCGTTCAAGTATCGGGCCGTGCCGGGATTCCCGCCCCGGGATTGCGCCCCTCTCCCCCTCCCCTCCAGCCTCTCGCCCGCGAGGGAGGGAAGTTCCAAGGATGAACTCGACTATGGGCGATTGCAGGCTAAGCACCCCGTTTATACATACTCGGCGCGCCAGCCGCTCGCAGACGAACTGCAAGCAACGCCAGCAACGCGGAGCAGGCGAAGCAAGGTGTGCAGAACTCTGCTAATTCTGTCGAAACGGAGATAGGAAGTTTGGCGAACCCGCTTCCGTTCTGGCGGGCGAGTAAAACAAATGTCGTCGCGCTCGGCCTCCGGTCGTGATGATGCACTGTGGGCCGATGGCGTCGCGGGAAGGATTCCAGCCGATTCCCGCCGCCTCCAGCAGTCAAGGCCGCCGCTCCACGCCGCGCCACGCCGCGGGCAAGCGGAGACGCCCGCTTTATGGCGATATTCTGCCTCGCGGGTGTGTCGCAGTGGGCGTGGCGTGTTGCGGGCCCGTCGCTCTGTCTCTCTCGCACCCGCACGGCGCACCCCGTGAGTGCGACAGAGACAGACAGACGAGCACTGTTCGGAATGAGGCTGCTGGCCCGTGGCGTTACGACCGCGTGTCACAGGCTGCACACGGGGCCTGCCTGCCTGCCACTCGCAGTGTGCAGCCCGTGCAAATTTAAACAGGCTCCCATGGCAACTGGCCGCGCGCACACACGCACGCACACACCGGCGATGCACACTCACACCGAGGCGCAGCCTTTTGTGTGTGCTCGCGCGGAGATACGCACAAATTTGAATGTATTGGGCTCTGAGAGCTACACCGTGCCACACCCACTGAACGCGCCGTTTTAGCGCTCAATTAGTGTGGACGGGCAGTTCTGGGCGGCCATCGCTACAACTGCTTTCATCTTGCTACTAGGAAATTCACAAAATCACGTCGTTAATGTTATATTTTGAAAAATGAAAATAAAATTTTATTATATGCAAAACGCTTTGTGTGTTTCCTGATTTCGTCGTCACCATACTGAAACATTTTGACGAGTGCATGTTGCATGGGGCATATGAGCGACAATTAATGTTGTTGCTCATTTCTAAAACGGGTTACCCCGGCATTGAGCTACTGCACTGTACAGTGGAGCGGTGAAGCGGTGCCTGCGGCTGGACCACAGTGGAGTGGAAGCTGGAGACGCTCGAAAGGCAGTGCCTCCGGGATTGGAGCAGGAAGGGTTGCCTATCCGCCAGGCTGTTACGTGTCGAACGTGCCCAAGGCCTGGCTGCCCCGCTGCCCCGCACCCAGGTGTTGTTCTGGCCGTGTTCGAGAGGACGACGCAGTACGCCGTCGCCTGCTGGCGGGGCGGGGCGGGGCAAGGCGGGGCGGGGCGGGGCGGCCAGGCCCTGGACCGCAACCCGCCGTTCCCACGGGACTACGGGACGCGCACCGCACGCAGCGCTCTCCAAAGGGGAGGTCCAAAGGGAGGCGCCTGGCCTCGCGGCTGGCCGGCGGGCCCGGCCCGGCCCCGTGCTGCCCCTGATTGTGGCTTGTAGTATGAGGCGCTGGCCCGGCGGCGTGTCCACCCGCTGGCGGCCTGGCGGCGGGCTGGCGGTGCGGTAGGCCAGGGCGAGCTGAATGGTGAAGCAGGCCGTTGCAGCACTGGCCTTCCGCCCAGGTCACTGGTCACTGCTGCCAACCTCGCTTCTCAACACGCTCTTATCCAAACAAACGTGCCGCGAATCAAACACCACTCTTCCTTCTCCTTCTGCGTCTTCTTCTTCTTCTTCTCCCGCGCCCCACCACACCCCGGCCCCCTCTGTCTGTCTCTCTCTCGTATCGACCCGGTGGCTGGGCCCGGCGGCGGGGCGTGGCAGGGCTGGCGGGGTGCGGTGTGGGCGCGGCGGGGTGAGGGTGGTGGTCGGGGCGGGGCAGGGCGTGGGGGGCGGTCTGGCCTGCCCCGCACACCTTGTTTCCAGGACGTGGTCGTCACCGTGCTGGGGGCTTCCCTTGCCGTGTGGCCGTTGAGGCAGGGGTGTTTCCTAGCAGCCCTGGGCGCGCCGCGCACCGTGGCTTCGGCGGCGCTGTGCTGCGCGCTGCTTCGGCTGGGCTGCACCCCCCCGCCACCCCTCCCCACCCCGTGGAGGCCGTGGCGCTGGAGCTGGGTCCAGAGCGTGGCGAGGGGTGGCGTGACGGCCGGGGCTGCCGGGCTGGTCGGGGCGCAGTGCGGAGTGGAGCAGCGGAGCGCCGCCAGCCCCGCCAGCACCACGCCAGTACCGCGGGCAGTGCGGCCGAGGCAGGACACGGCGAGGCCAGGCGCCCCCGCAGCCTTACCTGTGGCGCCCCGCGCCCCGCGCCCCACGCGCAGCGCCAACTTCGGAAGCTCTCGCCCGCCACGCCCCGCGGCCAAACCCGAGGCCAGCAGCAACAGCCCGGTGGAGAGCGTCGTCCCGGACTCGCTGGACGAGTCCCGAGGCCGCGCAGGCCACGCAGTGCATGGACCCGGTGAGTTGCAGCCTGCGGCGAGCGGCGTGCACGCCTTGGTGCATCCCCGTGCATCCCACATTCGATTCGGCGTGGTCCGCGTGGGGCTGGCGACGCCCCCGCGACGCCCCCGCGCCCCACCCGACGCCCCCGCCCCCTGGCTGCCTCCTCCGACCTGACCCGGCGACCCGGCTCAGGTAGCCAGGAAGCCCTGAGGGACAGCACCTATACACTGCGCGAATGGATTGCTACCGCCACGACAGTCAATCTTGTCTCTCAACAAGCAACTGAAATGTACTTGAATTTTCTCGGTGCGGGTCAATCGATAAAAAATGCGATGGCGAGTCCCTTCTTTATGTCATGTTGGGACAAAAGTAGGTGGCTGTTCGATCCTTCGGCGCGTTTCTGCGTTTGTTGTTGTTTTTGTTTCGATACCGCCGCCGCTGCCGTTGTGTTGTTATTGTGGTGGTTGCTTTTAGAGGTGATGTTGACTTAGCCCTGCTGAAAAGAAAACGGCTGTGTTGATCCTCTTCTCACCGGCGTCGTCTTTTCAGTAAAAAAGACAGTTTGTTCACAACCTCCACTTGGACTCAAGGGCCAATACACGCGCGACCCGGGGTCCAGGTTCAAACCGCGCCGCTGGTCCACTTTCTTTTCGTGCTTACCCAGACTTAGACGACTCTCGGCAGCGAGGGGCGGTAATCTGTTTCCGCGTCGCAGGCCCTCCAGGGCTTGACTCCAGGCCCTGACTGCGGTAGGCTGAGGCGGGCTGAGGCGGGCTGAGGCGGGCAGAGGTTGAAAGGCCGAGGCCGTGGACGGCCGTCCGGCTCACGGCAGGCCATTCAACTCCGTGCCACTCCGTGCGCTCGGGGGACAGCCCCAGCCAGCCCCAGCCAGCCCCAGCAGGGCGCCATTTAACGGGGTCCTGGTCTCTCCTTTTTGGCCGCCCTCCACCTTCGTCAGGATCCGTTCCCCTGATAGCTGCCGCCGTGGTGCCCACCACGGTGATCGGCATTATCCTGGGGGCTGATCTGCCGTCACGGGCTGGGAGGCGCTGGGAGGCTGCGGGGCAGGCGAGCCTAGGTGAGTGGTGGAGCGGTGCCGGCCGAGGCCAGGCCAAGCCCCAGGCCTGGACCAGGCTGCCGACGGGGCCGCGCCCGGGAGTGCCTACCCCCCAGGCGGCGTCCCCGGCCGTGCCCCCGTCCCCCGCTCCCTGCCCCGCACGGCTTTGGCCGGCCCCGCGGTGTTTATGGATGATGGGCACACGTGCGGGGCCACGCTCTCCTCGCCCTCCTCGCCCCGCTGGCCGTCCTCCTCGAGGACGACGTGATGGCCTTCCGGAAGCCGGCCAAGCGAGCGCGCTCTCGGAAACATTTATCAGACCTCTATTAAAAGATGATAGCTCGCTGCTCTGCCGAAGTTTACGGCGGCCAGTGTGGAGTCGGCGGCTCAAGTGCTGCTGCTTCGGCCCTGCATTATGGAGAGTTCGGGGTGGGGCTGCCCCGTGCTGCCCCGGCAGGTGGAACTGTTCCCTCCTGTTCAGGGCCGTCGTTGCACAACGCGCCATGCCTCACCCTGGCGGCGACCCCCAGCCACCTCCAGCCACCTCTATTGCACGCCCCAGAGCCGCGCTCAAATAAACAGCGGGTGTGCCGCGCGCCCTGGCCGCCTCCGAGAAGGCCCCTTCCTCGGACGCGGCGCCGACCTCGTAGCCTTCCCGTGTCGACCCGCCAAAAACAGACTGCCGCGTGGGATGGCGAGGGGAGGGGTAGGTCGAGGGGCGGGCGGGGCAGAAAGAAACACTGCGAAATATGGAACCAGTCTGCCGCTGGCCGACGCGACGGCACCGACGGCGGGGCGTCTCAGAGCGGCGCCGCGTCTAGTTTCGCTGGTTTCACACCTGCCAATGACCCGAGGAAACGAAGTGAAATAGAAAATCGTTCGCCAGACAAAGACAGGTTTTCCCCCTCTTGTTCTGCGCGCTAGCTAGCTGGCCGGCTGGCTGGCTGGCCCGCCGGGGTGGGGCGACAGGAATCCGTACACAAATAGGAGCGTGCCATCCCTCTGGCTGGATGCTAGCCCACTGGAATCCCGGGCTGATGTGTCACGGCCTCCATGAAGCCATTCTGTGTTCGGGGCTGTTATGTGCAGGGCTGCGAGCCACGTGAAGGGTGTTCGTTGGTTGCATTCTCCTTGTCAAAAAAAAATTGAAACGTGAGAGCAGCCACTCTGGAACACCGAGCGTACGCCGCGGTGGACGCCGAAGGCAAAAAAAGCAAATAAATCCGGTAACCCGAGACGGAATTACATGTGACACGCCACGACGAGAGTGTGAATATTTTATTCGCGCCCTTCCCTTCCCCTTCCCTTTGCCCTCTGCCGACGAGTCCATCCTCACCGAGGCGAGCCGGCGACGTGGGCCAAAGCGAGAGCGGGCCGAGCTAGGCCTGGCCCGGCCGGGCCTGCCGGGCCGGGGCGCCGAATGGGCCGCTTATTGAAGCGAGCGAGGCGTAAGGGGGAGGGGGAGGCTTTTCAGAACGCGCACAAGGACGGGGCGAGGACGGGTGGAGCGACGCCGGGAGGGGGGAGGGAGATTATTGTGTAATAACGACCAATCTCGCACGCGTATCCTTCCCTTTTTTCCGGTGGCGTGTTTTGTGTATACCGTAATGAACACGGTTTACCTTGTTAATTGGGGAAACAACCCCCTTTTGTTTGCGAGTGTGTTGGGGGAAGGCCGCGGGGAGTAACACGGTAACAGCAACACATCCTCTGCCGCTCCGCCGCTCTGCCGCAGGGGCTCTCCGGGGGTTAATCATGGCGCAGGGCCACGCCAACAATGTGCCAGTCGATGTGGATTAGGAGTGCGGTCACGGGGCGTGTGTTGCACCGCAAGGCTGTGGCACACGCCGCGCTAAAGCCGCGCCGCGCCACGCCACGGCCACGCCCTTCAGGGCTTCCAGCGAGCCTCCAGCCGGCGACGCGCAGCGCGCAGCGTGGGGCCGCCCGGCGGGTAGGCAGCCAGCGACTGCTCGGACACGCGAGTCCGGCGGGCTTGCCTACCCGCCACGGCGCTCTCCGCGCCCAGCATTCAATCGCTGTCTCTCTCGCACCCATGTGGCGGCATCCACCGTTGGATTAAGAAGTGTTTCATCGCTTGTTTTGATGTGCTTGTTTCGATTCGTTTGTTGCAGAAGCACGCTACATGGCTGATGTGTCACAGCCCTCTACTATGACTTTGTCGTGGGCTCCCCTCGCATGGTCTACTACTACATGCTAGCGTCGGGTGAGTTATAGTAGATTAGTTGCAAGGTTTTATTTATCCTGTAAAATTTTGAGGATGGCCAAAAAAAATCTACAGGCCCATTTACCCAGGACTGCAGCCGCTCCAGCTTCATTGACATTCCTTTTGATTTGATTTCAAGATTTTATTTCTAAAAATGCTATGACCGTTCGACACCGCGGTTGCGGCGCACTGCACATTGCTACACATCGGTTACACTGCGGAAATGTGTCGCGTAAATTTTCGACATTATAAAATGGACAATATAGAGAAAACGACAAAAAAACTAGAAATGACTGGTCGTACACTGCGTGGCACTGTCTGATGTAAATAGCGACAGGACGGCACGATCCCCTTACAGTGTAGGGCTATCCTCGCTCACCCTGCCTGCTTCCTGCTTCCAGGACAGGGCCCGTTAGGCCCGAAATGCCTTAAAGGCGCCCCTCAGGGCCCTCAGGGCGTCCCCCTGGACCCTAAGGGCCTCCGTAAGGACCCTAAGGCCGGGGGCACAGTGTGCACACCGCCATGTGGCATTACTACATGCTCGCAGGTACGACAGGTAGACTGTAGCCCACTCTACTGCCTGTGCAGCCTGTATACTGCAATGCCCTTCTAGACCCACTAGAGGACTAGACCTGGCAGACTTGGCCGGCGCACTGTTTGTCAATGAACTTTGTCTTTTAAACTCGCGTAAAACAGGCAAAGCGTGAGCCTGGCCTGCTGCCTGCCGCCTCCGCGCTGCTCTCACAGACAAGGCATTGCCACGAGGCTTCGGCTGGCTGCGTTGGCTGCCTTAACCTGCGCAGTTGGTAGACGTAGGCCCGACGACCGGGGCGTGCATGAGGCTCTTAGCGAAGAACGTGCATGTCTAGAACGTGCATGATGGTGTGCTGCTCGAGAGTGTCTCGCCTCCATTCACAACGAAATCCAACAAACAAGAAAGATACAGCTTTATCTGCAAAGTGGTGACCAAGTTTGTGCGGCGCTCATCTTTCGAGTTTATTTTTTTCCGGCGAGTGAGTTGGCTGCTTGCCTCACGCTGGGGGACACAAAGCCAGCCGCGGTTTTCTACCCGAGACACAGACACAGCGCATAACACCTGAGACGGCGCCGCCGCCCGCCGCGCCACCGCACACACACCGCCGCACTGCGCGCTGTAGTGTTAGCGATTGGCTTTGGCGCGCTTCCGTCAGGCACCCTTTGTTCTCGGGCGGGGTGCTCTCCTTGCAGCCCCTCCCCGGCGCCTCCGTCCTCGTCACCCTCCTCGTCCTCCTCACCGTCCTCGCGGCGCTGGCGGTCGGTCCGAACGAGGCAGGGTAGTTCCCGCGTCCCGCGCCACGCCGCGCGGGGGGAATCCCGTCGGGACTCCCGCTGCTGGGCGGCAGCGTGGTGGAAACCCCTGTGGCAGGCAGGGGGGGGGGAGGGCTGTCGGCCCCTTCATCCGCTTCGACGAATCATTAAGCGCGCTTTCTTTTCCTCTTGGGTGCGTGCTTCGCGCTTCGCCACGGCGCGGCGCGGTGGCGGGGTCAGGCCTCCGCAAGATTGACGCCCCCTCTCCTCTCACCCGCCACGCCACGCGCCACGCCACGCGCCACGCCACGCGCCGCACGTCGCCGGGCCGTCAATCGATGTAGGGCATTCCGGAGTCACCCCGCGTCCGCCATGAATTGGCCATAAATTAACGCCGTGCCCCGCCCCGCCCCGTGACCCAGTGCCGAGACACAGGCGGGCCCAGCGCTCAGACCGGGAGACCCAGTGTGCGCGGCGCGGCGGCGTCGCAGCCTGCACGCCGCCGTAACTACCCGAATAACTCTCTGGAATCTTTCCGGCCCGCGGCCCACTGGGCTTCCCCCGCTCCACGACCTCCCCGATCCACTTAACCTTCGCGGCGCCTCCATAACGCGCCCCCGGGCGCCCCTCTGCCTTCAGAACACCTCACTCCCCGCCCCGCTCGTCCCCGCCCCGCCCTTGGCGTGTCTTTCGCCTTTTTGACTCACGGCTTTGCGTCGTCCCAGGCTGCGGTCCCCAAGCCCCTCGCCCAGGGCGGAAGCCTCCTCGGCGCCTATTCTGCCTGGCAGTGCCTGGCAGTGCGTGGCAGTGCGTGGCAGTGTGTCGGGCCGGACTCTCTGGCTGCCTGCCTGCCTGCTTGCTCTGCCGGGGCCAATAAGACGCTGCCCTGCCCCCTCCCGGTGGACCGTTCGCGGGGAAGCGGGGTGCGGGCAAGGGGCGCGGGACGGCTGGTGCGGCCCGAGCACGGAAAGAGCTGCTTTCCTTGGCGCGGGCTGGGGCTCCCAGACTGATTCCGAGTTTCGTTTTCATCGCTCCGTCTCTCTCGCACCGATAGTACGCCACCTGTAGGTGCAAGAGAGACAGAGCGAAGAAAACGACTTTCGGAATCAGTCTGCGGGGGCTCTACCCGGCTGCCAAAGCTAACCCCGGCGCTGGCTGCTCGCCGCCACACTGCCACACCCTCGCCCGCTTCGCCTCCACGCCGACCGACATTACTCATTCATAGCGCCCCAGACCCACAGCCTTTCTCACCAGTCGGCGAGGCCGCCGAGGGCGCCGAGGGCGCGGCGCGCTGTTGGGAAGAGACAGCGGCGTCTCTCCGGGGAAGGAAGGGCCTGGAAGCCTGGAAGAGCCGCCCCAGGCGTCCGCCACTCCCCTCCCCTCCCCTCCCACAGTCAAACTCTGGCCATGGGTCCCCCCCCCCCCCCGCGACGACACATGTGCACCCTGTCTAACCCAGCCCAGCCGCGTACCAGTTCTAGGGACGCGAGTGCAGGGTTCCGGGATACTCCACCCGGACTCCTCCTCGGTTTCACCCAGTCCTTCCCTGCTTCGGCAAACGGAAACATGAAAGGCAATTCATACTTCTGAAACAACACGGGGAGAAGTCGAAACAACGAACAACGGCGGACGGGCCCGGGGGCGACTTGACTTGGATCGAGATGACAGATGACGTCGGCTTGACTCGTGGCATTGCGTTTCTCCGCAGTGGGCGCTCGGGCCGGCCTCGGTGACGGCCAGCGACCACCGACCGGATCCGGCTCGTCGAGGGGCGGCCACGGCGGCCACGGCGGCGCGTCGGGCCCCAGCACCGCCCCCGCCAGCGCCACCCCCGCCCCGCTCGCCCCCATGGCGGGCGCCTCGGCCAGCGTGCTGGGCTCGCTGCCCAACCTGCACGAGCTCAAGAACGAGCGCTTCGCCGGCGACCTGGGCACTGCCGAGGAGGAGGCCCGGGCGGCCAGCAAGCTGGAGGCCGACCTGCGGGACGCCACGCCGCCGCACCGGCCCCTCGCCGCCACGCTGTCCGACGGGCCGTCCCGGAGCTACCGCGTGCGCCCCACCGTCGCCACGGCCGCCATGCTGGCCGACTACTTCCAAGACCAGGTGGGCGTCCAACCCAAAGTGGCCTTCTCAACGCCGTTTGCAGTGCTTTACTGCATGTTTGTTTCTCATTTTCGCAGTCGTCCGGCTCGGGGTTGGCGTTCTCGCCGCTGGCGGCGCGGTCCCTGCGGTGCCACCACGCCGCGCAGCAGCCGCAGACCCACCACGGCCGCCACGTCACGCACTCCGGCCACTGGGACGACGCCAACGTCGAGGTGCGCCCTCGTCCTCCTCGTGCAGGGCATCGCCATGCCTGGCGTCGCGGAGCTCCCCGCCTGACGCCCTGTTTGTTGCAGCACGCGGCCTACTCCCCGCAGCGGTTTCCCGGCCGCCGCCGGGACTCGCTCACCAGCTCCACGGGGACCTCGTCGGTGCGCAGGCTGATCGCCGTGGTGAGCATGGCGCGGCACTGTGCGTCGCCGAGTCGGGAGCGCTTCCGTCACCCTGTCTCTCTCGCACTCACAGGGCGTGCCGCATAGGTGCGAGAGAGACAGAGCGACGAAAACGACTCTCTTCTTCTGAAAGAAGGGCAGCGCCCTCCGGCCAAGAGGCTCCCAGACAAGCGGAGAGCAGACGAGCCCTCTTGCATTACTTTGGAGGGGACTTAGCGCGTTCGCCATTAGCGCTGGTCCTCCAAACTCGCTTCAACTCGCTCGGGCGCGCCGTTTGCCGTCCACAGTCCAGCGTGGCTCTGAGTGCTCGCCGCAAACATTCATAAACGAATCATCGCCGCCCGTCCCATCTTGCTTTGAGGGGCCGCGAGTGGAGGCCATCCACTCCCTCAGTGCAAAGCTGAAGCCGCCCAGGCGACACTGAAAGGCGTCGCTGTTTGAGCCCTGTGCTGCCCTGCTGCAGGTGCGGTCGACGCCGTCGCGGCTGGGCCCCGTGTACACGCGGCGCACGCTGTGCCGCAACTACGCCGCGCTGTGCATGGGCCACACCATGTTCGTGGTGGCGCTCATGCCGCTCGTGGCGCTGCAGGGCTCCGTCTCGGCCTGGTGGTGGTCCTGGTCCTACCCCAGCGACCCCAACAGCGACGCGGGCGCGTTGCTCCTCATCGCCTTCTTCGCCGCCGCCGCCCTGTCCGCCCTGGTGAGTGGCCGTGAGGTGGTCTAGCCTTTCAAGTCAAGTCAAGAGCGCCCGACAGGCAGGCAGCGCACGGGCGCGCTCGACGGCCGCGCGCTGCGGGCTTGCCTACCCCCGACTCTGCAGGGGCTTCTCCTGATTCCAGCGGCTGACACTGTACTCTGTGCTGCAGGTGGCGCCGGCGGTGGTGGCGCGCCTCGGGCCCAACTGGACCCTCATCCTCGGCTACCTGGGCATCTCCGTGTTCCTCGCCGCCCACCTCTACCCCACGCTGGAGGTGCTGCTGCCCACGTACCTGGCGGCGGGCCTGTGTCTGGGTGAGTCACCGCGTCCTGGCCACGAGTCACCGTGCCCCCGCGTTGCCGTGACGGGGTTCAAGTACTGATTTGCATGGTCGCTACCTCTCAGGCCCGCTGGCGGTGGCGCGCGTGACGGTGCTGATGGCGCTGTCCTCCAAGCTGGCCCTGCAGCTGACGGAGCAGGAGGAGCAGGACGCGGACGCCGAGGAGCTGGAGGCCGTGATGGCGGGGGCCGGCGGCGGCGGGCGCACCGAGACGGTGCTGCGCCGGCTGGCGCGCGGCCTGCAGATGGCGCACGACGTGGGGTTGGCCCTCGGCAGCGTCATCGCCTCCATCCTGCTCTGGTACACTCTGCCCGAGGCGGCAGACTCGCTGTGGGAGACGGCGTGGGCCGCACCCGACGAGGCCAACACCACCAGCCTCATGCCCATCCCGTCCACCGCCTTCCTGGAGGCCTTCTGGCAGCGCAGCGAGGACGGCGTGCGTGTCTGCGGTGCCCAGGCCTGCCCGATCGGCTACAACGACGCGGCCTGGGAGGCCGTGGCCGTGGCGGGGCCGCGCAACCTCGCACACCGTAAGTATCGCGGCACCCACCCCGCGCACTCTGCTCTCGGCGTGCTCACCTCGCGTTTCCCTGCCCCTGTCCGCAGTGCTGGCCCTCAACGTGACCGAGTGGGGAGGGAAGCTGGTGCGGCTGCCCTGCAAGGCCACGGCGGTGCTGGCGTCCGTGTTCCTGGGCTGCGCCATCATGGGGCTGGCCCTCACCGCCGTCTTCCTGGACCACCTGCGGGGCACATCACTCCACGGCGACAGCGGCGGGCTGCAGGAACGGCCCGCCAGCGTTCTCCGGTGAGGCGAGCAGCCCTAGCGGAGCGGAGGCCCCGTTTGGGACATTCCGTCGGCCGGCCTGAGTCTACCTTGCTGTTTGCCCGCAGGGTGGTGTGGGACTCGTTCAAGGACGCGCGCATGCAGCTCATCGTGCCGCTGTCCATCTTCATCGGCCTGGAGCAGGGCTTCATGTTCGCCGACTTCAGCAAGGTGAGCGGCACGACGACGCCGATGTGCAGTCGGCTGAAGACACAAGCTGCGCCGCGCTGAACATGAACATTCGGAACATTTTGGCGAGGCTTTCTAAAGGTGTTTGTTTGCAGTGGTACGTGGTGTGCTCGTTGGGCTTGCACAACGTGTGCCTCGTGTTCATGAGCATGGGGCTCATGCAGTCCGTGGCGGCCTTCACGCTCAGCATGCTGCTGCAGCACATCCGGCGCTACATCGTCATCGGCGTGGGGCTGGCCTTCCACACGTGCCTCATCATGGTGCTGCTCATGTGGCTGCCGTCCGCCGAGGACTCGGCGCTGTTCTACGTCATCTCGGCCGCCTGGGGCGTCTGCAACGCCATCTGGGAAACGCTCAGCTTTTGTGAGTTTTCTCATCCATCCTAGTTTTGAGCACGCATTCGTTCCAACGTTCGAAGACGTGAATTGTTGTCTTGCCCGCAGCGCTGCTGGTGCGCGTGTACCCGGACCAGTGGCAGGGCCCCGTGTCGCAGAGCAACCTGTGGCGCTTCTTGGGGCTGGCGCTGTCCTTCCTCATGCACGCCGCCGCCTGCAACTCGTTCAAGCTGTACGCGCTCTTCGCCGCCCTCGTCTTCGCCGTCACGCCCTACGCCTGGCTAGAGGTGCGTCCACAACAGCCAACTCCGTCCGGATTCGGAAAAAACGAACGTGAGGCCAAGTTTGTGTTCTTTCTGCCCGCAGTACCGGTTGGACGCTAGGAGGCGCTCCAAGCAGCAGGCGGTGCCTTTGTGACCCGAGCCGGGGGCGCTGTTCTGAAGGCGTCGCTCCAGGCGGCACCCAGCCACCCAGCACTCGTCCTCGCGGGCCTCGAGGCCGTCATCGAGGCCGTCGTCGAGGCCGTCGTCGAGGACGTCCAGGCCCGTGCGCCTGCAGCTTGCCACCCTGCCCGCGCTGCCCGCCCTGCCCGCGCTGCCGAGGCTGCATCGCCTGGGCAGGCCCAGGCTGGGTGCTCAGGGTGTCCGGCCGCACGGCCAGCTCGCCGGCAGAGCGTCCTGCGGGTCCGGGACTTCTGCCGGGACATCTGCCGGGTCATCTGCTGGGCCAGATGGCGCACCGGCAGGTGCGCCGGCTGCAGGCCCCTCTCCGCCCAACGGCCACGTGCTGAACGAGACCGTGCTCGTGCTCGACCCTAGCCGCCTGGAGGTCGCCCCAACGGCGCCCCACACCGCATCTCTTTCAACCACATCCGTCTTCACCGAGGCTGTGGTTACCGTTTCGTCCCTAGCAGCAGCTGTCCCGAAAGCAGCTGCCCCTTCACCATCGAAAGCTGCTCCGACACCATCACCATCGAAAGATTTTTCGACAGCAGCTGCACCATCACCATCGAAAGCTGTTCCGACAGTAGCTGCACCATCACCATCGAAAGCTGTTCCAACAGCAGCTGCACCATCACCATCGAAAGCTGTTCCGACAGCAGCTGCACCATCACCATCGAAAGATTTTTCGACATCAGCTGCACCATCACCATCGAAAGCTGTTCCAACAGCAGCTGCACCATCACCATCGAAAGCCGTTTCCACAGCGGGTGAACTGATTTCAAATGAAGCTGTTTCAGCAGCACCTGCAGATGCTGGCGTCACTGGACCTGGTGCATGCCCTTCTGTTGCTGCGCTGGCCTCTTCCGGGTTGCCTGCACTGCAAGTTCGCGAAGCGCCTCCGACCGTGCCAACCCCTCTGGATGTCGCATCGGCTTCGGCCTCAGCCACGCCCACAGATGTGGCTCCGCTCGCTCCGCTCCCAGCTGCGGCTGCGAGAGCTGCAGTCGAGACTGGTGGATCCTCCACTGTCTCCGATACAAACCCAGCGGCTGCCAGGACTGGTGGTGGGGCGAGTCCAAGGCCTGCTTCGGCCGAACAACCCGTCTGCGGGAACTCAGCGCCGCCTCCACTGGAAGCCGCCTCAGTCCAGAGGGAGGCCATCGAACAGGTGCTGCTGGCCAAAACGGAGCCCGCCGATTCGGGTGCGGGTGCTGGCACCCAGGACCCTGCTTCGGTGACGGTGGACAGTGGCCCCGAACAAGTGAGCTCGTGATGGCCGCTTCCGTAGTAGCCCACTCAGATTTTCGTGTCTGCCTTGAAATTACTTCCAGTTATTGATGTATACAAGCTTCACTTTCACGGGTTTGTTTCAAAACTTCAATCCCACTTTCTGTTTGTCCAGCTGACTTTGAGTCTGACTGTGGTGCGAATATTTTATTTTCTCTGTCTTTAATTTGACATTGTCGACATGAAGTTTCCTCTCCTTAGGGAATAGGACCGTTCGGCGTTCTGTTTACTCTCTGGGCTTTTTCGTTTTGAGTTTATGACAACGTCTGTGACTTTCTATTGCGCGAGTTCCACGTCAGAGGAGCTCCTGGTAGGGTCGCGCAAGGCTCTACCAAAACTAGATTTATTTTCGAAGAGGAAAAGATATTTTGTTGTACTGCTCCACTCTCCTTAGATAGAAAGATTGTTCTTGTGAAGAAACAACTATGATTCTAAAATGGAAGTAAGGAGTATCAGAAGCCCACCTTTGGTTTCACAGCTCAACTTTTTGCTTTCAGCATAAGTCTAGTATGCCAAAACTATGTATTTACCTTTTCAATCTCTCTGTAATTCTGGTCGATGTTGTACGATTGGTATTGGTGTTAATCAAAAAGAAGTCATTGACTTTGTTTCATGCTGTGTCTGTCTTCCCTTGTCTTCCAGCGTCAAGTAGTCAAGCCAAAGGCTGAAACCTCTTAGAAGTGCTTACGACATTCCATTTCAATTTCTTGACCGTTTTCTGCTTTTCTCGATGAGGATACTCCCCTTCCCTCCATAGCCTTAAGGCATCTTAGTTTACAGGAAAAAATATCCTCAATTTTCTTGTCCATGTAGCTTATTAAATCTATCTATCTCTGATATGCATTTTTCCGAATTGTTGTCTAATTTATACGTGTTCTCTTGTTGTTGTGATATTTTGTACTTTTTTAGGAATATTTGGTATACATTACTTAATTATTTTACTCGTTTGACCCGTTTGTTAATGTAAATTAGAATGGACCAGGATGTGCAGGATAATGAGTTTTTTCCTGCATTAGGTGGACTGCAGAACATCAGGTCGTGCGTTCTCCTTCGCGTATTCCAATTCACGGCTCTCGATGTAGTATTCTAGTGCGATTTGCGATTCAGAGTTTAGAGGACGTGATAATTGCACAAGAGAAACCCACTGAACTGATGATATAATTTTTGTCCGAATAAAATCGTTTTTGACCTTTGTTATAATCTCTGCGCATTGAGGGTAACGCAAATTGTACTATAACAAACATAACATATCAATAAAAACATATTGTGTCTAGAAACGAACAAAAACAAAACATCATGAATTTTGGAGTAAAGTTGGATGACTCGCTAGTTCTTTAATTTTCATGTCTTTATTAACGTTATCCCTGCGTCAATGTTGTTATTAATTACTTGTGTGTGAGGCATATGCGTGCGAGTGAAATAATGTCCCTAGTCAACTTCAATTCTGACATTTGAAAAAAATAAAAAACAGCGTCAATTTGAAAACCAAACAATGTTATCTCATTCACCTTCCATCATCGCTGCACCGTCACGCGTAAACACTCATTCACATTCCATCACCGCTGCACCGTCACGCGGTGTTTTAAAAACAAATTTTATTACGCTCACAACAATAATTTAACAATGACTGTAGAAAAACGTGCTTACGGACTAGGGTTGCGTTTTAGCGTCTTTGGCAATGTCTCGTTGCTCTCGCAGGCGTGTTCCACTCCTGGAGGGCGCCGACGTCGCGCAGCCTGGTCGCCGCCAGCGACCGCCGTACCTGTACATCGGCAGGGACTTCCGCGAGGTGCGCGTCGAGAACACGTTCGGCGCGCAGGACCGCATGGCCTTCTGGGACGACGTGACCGCCATGATGCTGGACCCGGGGCGCTCGTCGAGTGCGGGGGTCACGGCGACGCCGGGGCTCTGGGCTACCGTCGGGATGGTGCTGTTGGCGGCCGCGGCCACGCGGTCAGGCTGAAGGAAAGCACCAGCGCGCTTTTCTCATGAAGATGTGATCTGCAGAAACGTGTGTTTCGAAAATGCTCGAGTGTCAAAGAGTTTCATTTGGAACAGACTTTTTCACCTGATGTTTGGTTCGATCACACTTTGATGGAACTCGGTGACAGTTCGACTAATCAGGAAGGAGTGCTCCAGGTGTTGCCCCTCGTCGCCCAGGTGCGCCTGAGTCACACCTTGTTATCCTTATCGGCGAACTCGGCCGAGTGCCGCAGCATGTCGGCGACGATGCGGCTGTTCATGCGGCCGCTGACCGTCGGGGAGGCGAAGAAGTCTATGTGGTTGAAAGTGTCGTCCTCGTCCACGTGCACGCCCACCACGTTTGGCAAGCGGGACTGCACGTAGAGCATGTCCTGCCAACAAAAAACAATGTTCATTTTTTTTTTAAAGAAAATAATAAATACTAGAGGTAAATGTCCGGTACTGCCCCTTCGAATGAATATTGGGTTGGGTCTTACCTCCTTCTGACACAGGATGTCGTTCTTGGCGAGGTAGATGTACACGGGCGTCCGGATGGCGGTGAGGTTGTATTGCGGGGGCTCCGGCGTGCCGTACAGCTCGCGGTTCCTCTTGGGGCCGTGGTCGTACTGCCGGAAGCCCTGGGCTGCAAGCGCGAGGTCTCAATCAAGGTCCGCAAAACGAATGGGACGAACGGGAACGGGGAGGTGCAAACACTCACAGTCGTAGTTGGCGTTCTGCACGTAGTGGAAGACCTCGCCCCAGGAGCCGCCGCTCGGGATGGTGTCCCAGAAGTGTGGCGTCTCCTGCAACAGAAGCGGTTAGGCATGGCCCCGCGGGCAGGCAACACGCCTTGCAACACGCACCGGTCCGAGCGACTCACGTAGTAGCTCTCGTTGTGCTTGTAGCCCACGATGGCGTAGGTGAACATGTAGAGGAAGGGTCTCGCCACGGGCAGGAGCAGTTTGATGGCGCGCCGGAGCACGCGGTACGTGGGCAGCATGGTGCGGCGCAGGCCCAGGGTCTCCACCAGGGGCTGCGTCACGTTGTTGAGGGCGTACAGCAGGCCGACCACGGGGCTGGTGTGGCGGTGCAGCGGCCCGGCCGGCGCCAAGAGGAAGGCGGCGCGCACCTTGCGCTGGTACTCGGGCCGCACCGCCGCCATCACCATGAAGGACGTGGAGCCCATGGAGTGGCCCGCGTACATGACGGACGGGAAGCGGGTCCGCGCCAACACGTAGTCGATGGCGGCCGGGTTGTCGAACACGCCGTGCTCGTGCCAGCTGGAGGCCAAAGACGAGTTAGCCATCGCTGAAGCCTCGCTTCGCACAGCCATTCAAAAAGCCGGCCGCCGAAGCCAAAAGAGGCTCGTCACCGCGTCACCTCGAAACGGTCCAGAAGGGAACAATGCAGGCAGGCGTTATCGGCTGCGAGGCTGCGAGGCTGGCCAGGTTCGCTATCGCCACAGCGCCGCGCCGCGCGGACCGATAACGCGCCACGCCAAGTTCACCTGAAGTTCCAAAACTCCTCGTCCTGCGTGCTGTACTTGTTGTGCCCCTGCGAGTAGTGGGTGCCGCGGAAGTTGATCATCCACACGTCGAAGCCCGCGTCGTGGAGCATGGGCACTGGAAGCACGGCGTCCTCTGTTTACAATACGGTTCCATCATTCCGAATTGAAGTTGATGCTGTTCGGGGTGACTGACCCAGGGCCTTGCCGCGACCCAGCATCACGAAGGCGGGGGAGCCCGTCTGCATGCCGTGCGCCACGAAGACGGGCTGCCGGCCCGGGTTGGCGGCGCGCTCCAGGCACAGTCGGTAGCCGTCCTGCGTCGTCACGAAGTGCGTCTCCATGGCGTAGCCGAAGCCGCGCATGATGGAGGACTGGGGAAGAAGAGCAACATGGTATGGGACAGCACGGAGTGGAGCATTCGCTTCCCACTCGGATCTGCTTATCTTTTAGCGCTTATCCGCCGGATTTTCGCGCCACGGTACAGTCTTCGGTCTACTGAGTCACGAGAAGACCGATAAATGTTTGAAAACAAATTATTGCCTGCGTGCTAAACCGAGCCAGCGGGTCATGCCCTGCGCCGCCGTTTCGGCGCCCGCCACGCCGCGGTCACGGAGTCACGGACCAGGCGATAAAGTTCACCACGGCGGCGACGCGGCGAACGCCCCTGCACTTCCTCACCGACGTGACGGTGTCGTCGACGGCGGGCATCAGCCGCAGCAGCGTGTCCAGGATGACCATGACGGCGCGGGCGACGACGCCGGACGCCACTCTGACGGGCGTGGTGACGACGGCGGTGGTCAGCCCCGAGCGCACCCTCCGCAGCAGGCCGGACACCGCGGCGAGCGTGGCGGACGGCGTCGCCGGCGCCATCGGGGCCGTGAGGGGCGCGACGAGCAGCGCGCCGAGCAGCACCAGGGCCGCCGCCGTGCTCCGGGGCGCCCCGCCGACGCCGCCCAGCGCGCGCAGCGGGGCCAGCAGCGGCGCCGCCATGGAGAGCAACGCCCGCCCGAAGCCCTCCACCACCAGCATGTCCAACAGGGCCTTCTCTGCGTGCAATCCGAGGTGCCTTACGGCTGGGCGCTGCTGGGCGCTGCTTGGAGCGGAGCGGGATGACCCGTGCCGCGGCCGATGTGTCGTCGACTGGCACGCTGCAGTCTGCGCCTCGAACCCGCGCCCCCCCCCTCCCTCCCCGCCATCCGCGACCACGCCGATCCACTTGCGGTGGACCCGCGGCCCACGAGGCACGACGCTTCAGGCGCTTGAGGCTCTCGGTGCAGTTGGCTTCCTCGGCCGCGTCGCCCGGCTCCTGTGTCACTGTGCGACTTCACGCCGGACGGTTCCTCCACTCGGAAACCCAGAGCGTCGTGCACTTTTCTGCACGCCAAGGTGTCGCCGTGACGCAACCCACACGGTGCAAGGGTCATGGATTAATCACCCGCGGGGTAAAGGAGGAGAGGGGAGCGCTGGGGGACTACAGCGGATAAATGGAAATGACTGGACGCACAGGCAACTGCTTTGGAGCCACTGGGTACAGCGAGTGCCTGGCTGCGCCTGAAGAGACGCCGTGCCGGACGCGCAAGCAGGACTTATTCTGGAGCGCATCGAGGCTAGCGCAAGAGCAGGAGAGTCAGCGCAACGACAACGCGATCCCGGAACCGCTCGAGTTTGTTTTCCACCTAGCCAGTCTTTGGCACCGCAAGCGCGCTGTGCCTGGCTGTGCCCCGCGGCTCGCGGTGCGCTACTGGCGGATTCGAAGCATCGATACGGCGCTGGAGATTCTTCCCATGCTGGGACTGCCTCTACATCCGGAGGCCTCTCTATGAGCACCAAGACTCTGCCACCTGAGCAAACATAATCGGATTTGTTCAACGGAGATAACGCCGGGCCGGCCCGCTTCGCTCTGCGTCTCTCTCTCTCGCACTCGTGGATCGGAGTGCGAGAGAGAGAGAGAGACAGAGCAAAGCGGCCTGCTGCTGGTCTCGCCGCCGCCTGCTCCGCGGGTGGCCACGTCCAAGGCGGTGCCGGCGACCCGACGGGGGACTACTCGGCCACTCGGCTCCGCTCGCTGCGCTCAGACGTTTATCTCTAGCTGAATTTCACGCGAAGAGCAGAGCCACTGTCTCGGAAGCAGCCCCCCCCCCCTGCTTTGACAACACAAATTCGTTTCACCCAAATTTTGCCGACTTTAGGCAGCCACTGCATCTAATCTAAGGCGGCTAATCGTTCTCCCTCAACTCTTTGGGCCTTCCTTTAGAACACCTTTGTTACGGAGTGCGATTAGTCACCTTAGTTTGGGAGCGGTATTGCAGCAAAGTTCGTCGAAACGGTAACAAATGTGTAGAAATCATCGTTTGGCCTGACTTTAGGCAGCCACTGCGTCTAATCTCGGAGCTCGAAGCCAGTCCCTGCGCCGTCCAGACGGGCAGCCCTTGGCGCGCCCGCGTGCGGTGGGTGGCCGAAGCAGACGGCGCCACAGCCAACAGTGCGGCGCCATCCCGCGGCGCGCGCGCGAACTAGGCCCCAGCCGCACGAGGGAGAGGCATGGGAAGGGGAGCCCAGTTTGAGCCGCGCCCGCTAGATGGCGCTGCCGGTGGAGGGTGGTGTGTCGCTGCGCTCCGCCGCGCTGGTCGCAGGGAAGTCCCACCGGGCGGCCGGCCTTCGGGGCAGCCCTCAGCGTTTAGGGCGGCCGTGCGGTTCGAAGGCTGAGAGAGAACCCCCAGAGGATCGGTACATGGCATTGGCGTCAGAAATTACGTCACGTTGCCCATGTTCTGGGAAAAGAGTAAAGAACAACGACTCCGATTATTGTAAAGTGTTTTACGGATTAACGTGGTTTGCAGTGAATGTTTGCTCAACACCCTGGACCGGCGTGGTCGTCGGTCGCTTGCGGGTAGGGGTCAACAAGAGCGCAAAACTTGAGGTCAACAACAACTACAAGAGGGCCTCGCTCGTTTTTAATGACTCACTGACGGCACTGCCACGGCACTGCCAGCATCGCGCATTATTCCGTCATTACTGAAGGCTCTCGAGAACGGTTCGGAAAATAAGAAAATAAGAGACCGGACTCAGGGACCGTCGGGGACGCGGACTCGGCAAAAAGTCCCCGCAAAAAGTTGCCGCGGTTTAATAAGTGCAGCCGGACCAGTCACCGTCACTGGAAGCAGCTTATCTTTATGCAATTCAGTGTGCGGATCAGCGCGACCGGCGCGAGAGTGTAGTGTCCGTTTGACGAACGACAAGGAGCGTGGACTCGGAGCGGAGTGAGCGAAATGAATGAATGAATGAATGAATGAATGAATGAATGAATGAATGAATGAATGAATGAATGAATGAATGAATGAATGAATGAATGAATGAATGAATGAGGTGTTTGGCGGGGTCTCGGTTTTGGGGGACGGCAAGACTGTCTGGTGGCGTGCGGGTCGGTGCGGGCAGACACTAGGTCACCAGCACAGCTTCACTTTGGCTTGCTAGGCCCGTGGCCCGGGCCGTGGCCCGGCTGTCTGGCGTATGCAAGGTGGCGCGGTGCACCTTGGAGGGGCTTGGCCTGGGCTTGGCCTGGGCTTGGCCCGGGTTGGTGGGGGGCTGGCTTTGGGAGGGGGTGGGGGCCGCGCCGTGGGGCGGCAAGGGGCTGCTGCGGGGAGGCGGGGCGCTGGCGGGGCCCAGGTCTGGCGACCCGGCAGGAGCAGTGGACTGCAGTGGTGTGCCGCGCTGCTGAACATGAGTCGAACCTTCTCCGCCAGTCGATAACCGTGCGCGCGAGTTTCCCAAAGTGCGTGAGTGCGTTAGTGCCGCGAGTGAGTGCCGCGAGTGAGTGCCGCGAGTGAGTGCCGAGATGTCGGAGGCCCCGACGGACGCGGTGCCGCCCTCCGCGCCGCCCCCCAGGACCGGGCGGCCCTCCCTGACGCGCAGCACCGCGGGGGAGGAGCCCGACGTGGACGGGGGCGGTCCCGGGGACGGCCCCGGGGGCGGCAAGGAGTCGTGGGTGTGGGACGCCGTGTCGCCCTTCACCAAGGAGGGCCTGGAGCCCCTGCCGTGCGATGGATGCAGTGTGGATACCAGCGAGGTGGCCTTGGACGTGGACGTGGCCGTCGACGTGGACGTGCCGCCGGGGCCGCCGCCCGAAGTGCCCCGCAGAGCTTCCCGAGGCGACAAGACGGCCCTGGCGGCCGTGTCCACCACCGCCGAGGGCGCCGCCGAGGGCACCGCCACGCCCGCCATGTCGTCCAGGCCCGGCTCCTCCGCTAGCTCCGTCAAGATGTCCACCATGGAGGAGGAGTCGCTACGCGACCGCCGGCGCTCGGGGCTGCTGCGGCAGTGCGCCGACATCCTGACGGCGGACGAGACCGTGGCCAGGTTCACCCGCGAGGCGTTCCGACGCGTGTTCCAGGAGAAGGTGAGCTTCTTCTCGGCCGCCGCGGACTGCACGCAGCACGCGGCACACTGCCGGCGGCCCGCTTCCCGATTCCCAGACCCGTCCATCCCCGAGGCACCCCACCCCGGCACCCTGGCCCGCCCTGGCCGCGGCTCTGATAAGCAGCCCAATGTTGGTTTAGGAACCCGCCGGTGCAGTTCCCCGGGAAAGCGAGAGTGGAGTGGCTCCGGATTGTTTTCTCGAAACCAGTGGGAGGGAGAGAGAGAGAGAGAGAGAGAGAGAGAGAGAGAGAGAGAGAGAGAGAGAGAGAGAGAGAGAGAGAGAGAGAGAGAGAGAGAGGGAGAGAGAGAGAGAGAGAGAGAGAGAGAGGAGAGAGGGAGAGAGAGAGAGAGAAGCGCCGCAGGGCTGCATGACAAAAAGTGCGTCGTTTTATTTGGTCGCCCAGTCCATTTTGGCCGCAGACTTTCCACGCCGACATGACAGAGTCGCGACAGGGCGCGGAGCGGCGCGGAGTCGCGGGCCGCTCGTTTAAGGCCGGCATAAAGTCCGCACGGGAAATGACCCGAGTGAAATACGCGGTCGGTCCACTGCCAATGAAATGATCAGGGATTAGAGATCGAATTTACAGATGCAAGTATCACTCAGAGCGTTAGTCCGGGCCGGCATTAAGCGGGTCGGGACCATAAACTGCACGTGGATGACGTCTCGAGTCGAATGGGCTAAAGCTCCCGGCGCGCTTTACAATTCAAATACTCTGTGTCACGTCTGTGTCACGTCTGTGTTACGTCTGTGTCACGCGAGTGACGGCCGACGGACTGTTTGGTTACAGTTGGCGGAATGTCATACACGCCGTCTCTTTTCGTTAAAAACATTGAGTATTTTTGGTAGTGGCCTCAACGATTTTGTTGGATGGGCTGAGCGTTGCTTTACGTCGTCTCTGTCCATTGCGCAACACTCTCACTCGCGTGCCGACTCGTCTATCTATTTGCATTCGCACTAAGCCTTTTGCTGCCTCTTACCGGCGGCGGGTCGCGTGGCTCGATTCCCCCCGATAAATAATTTCGCGCTGCCAGGCTGTTCATCCCAGGGCGGCCTCGCCCCGCTCCCCTCCCCCGCAGGGCCCCGCAGGGCGCAGCCAGCTCGTCGACGTGGTGCTCGACTCGTTGTTCGAGCCGCACATCAAAATGATCATGTGACCATAGGTTATCGCAGGCTGCTAGGTTGGGTTAGGGAAGGTTAGGCTGAGGGATCACAGCCTTAAGGTGGGGTGGCCTCGCGGTCGGCTTGGGGCCCACCACAAGGACCCTGCCCGTTGTCCTTGCGTCCGCACTGGTCCAGACAGGAAGGAGCCGGGCGGGGCGGCCGGGTCCAGGCCAGCCCTGCACTGGCCAGCACCAGCACTGGTCTGCACTGCGCGGCACGGCGGCCCCGCGACCAACCTGGACCAGCAGACCGCGAGCTGGAGATAGACTGCCTTCCCCGAAAGCAGCAAAAGCTGCGCACACGGGCCGGCCCGCGCCACCGCGCCACCGCGCCTCCGAGGGAAGACGTGGCAGTGGCCGGCATTACGCACGGCCTCCACTTCGACGGCCTTTGCTGGGACGTCCGCGGCAGCGAGGCAGCGAGGCTCGTTGTTTCGTTCGTTAAAACGGCCGGTTGTTGCCGTTTCCAATTCATGCTCGCTGACCCGGCCGGCCCGGCAGCCCGGCCGTGCCATTGTGTGTGCCGGCCCGGCTTGGCCCGGCCGACGTGCCTAAGGGGCTTGCTCCGGCACTGCGGCAGAACGGCCGAGTGTGTGTTTCGCCTTTTTCGGCGGATAGGCACGGCGGGACAAGCATGCGCGGGAAACGAGTGTGTCAGTCTCTCGCACTGGGCGGGCGCGGCGGGCGCCTCGTAGGGGTGCGACAGAGAAACGACACTTCGGTCGGCAGGCAAGGGCGATGTCGCGCTCCCGGCGGCGACAACAAAAACACCGGCGCTTTTCTGTCGGTGCTTTTGCGTGTTTTTAAAAGACTGTAGCCGAAGCCGGCTCTTTAAACGGCTGGTTACTGCATGCTCGCCGACGTGCAACAGTGCAGCGAGATTCACACACTCGCAGCCAAGGCAGTCGCAGTCCTCGGATTTTTCTGCGTCTCTTCCCCCACCCCCGAACCCCGAACGGCCGAACGGCCAGATCAGGATCCAATCAAGACCTGATTACGCGCATAGCGCTGCGAGGCTGCGAGGCCCGGGGCGGGGCGGGGCGGGGCGGGGCGGGGCGGGGCGCCCCACGGTAGCCTTGTGTGCCCCATTGTACGGTCCGCACTGCCGCCCGGCCGCTGCTGGACCCACTTAACATTCTGAGGTAAACGATGACTTTATTACGAACCACCACTGTAAGCCAGCCCGGCCAGCATGCAGGCCCGCATGGCCAGCATTAATGCAGCCAAGGCAGAACCAAGGGCCGCAACGATGCACCCCACCTCAATGCACACGCTGCCTCAATGCACCTGCGTTGTGCCGAGCGAGAGCGGAGGGGCGCCCGGGACGTATCCGTCTCTCCGCGTGGACTGGTGAAATCCTGAAGCAGGCGAATTATGCGGGTTTGGTAATAATCTTTTCCAAAAGTGACACGAAAATACAGCCAGACGTGTGGAGTAAACTGGTCCCCGCATCCTTTTCCTAGTCCGCACGCAGTGCATCTCTCTGTGCGATCTCGGGCTGCGCACCGACACTCGTCCTGTGTGGCGTTCAGAGCGCTGCGCTCCTGGCACCAACCTGCCGTGTGCTTTTTACACCCCACGCGGTGCAGCGGGGGGTTATTAATGCAGCCAGCTCTGCCGCCTCCAATAAAGTATTTTCGAGCCTTTGCCGACCGCATTTCCACGCTCTGCCAAAACGTATTCCTCTCTCTCTCTCTCTCTCTCTCTCTCTCTCTCTTCTCTCTCTCTCTCTCTCTCTCTCTCTCTCTCTCTCTCTCTCTCTCTCCTCTCTCTCTCTCTCTCTCTCTCTCTCTCTCTCTCTCTCTCTCTCTCTCTCTCTCTCTCTCTCTCGGGGCGGCCAGCAGGGGGTGCCGTCCGGCGCCACTCCTGCTCTGCTGGCTCTGTCGCTACCGAGTCCCGCGCGGGTCGGCCAGAAAAAGAGACAGAGAGAGAGAATGGATTGAAATTAGGTGCTCGGTGCGATTGTCTGGCCGTCTCGCCGCCGCGGCCTGTGATTGGCTCGCGTGTCTCCGAGTGCGACAACAACGACACACAAAGCAGGTGTGCACGCAGCGGGCGGCCGTGCCTACACCGTCCCAAACATTCGATTCGCGCTCGCCTTTCTGACACTGATTCCGGACACTGTTTTCGTCTCTGTCGCACTCATGAGACAAGAGAGAGAGAGAGAGAGAGAGAGAGAGAGAGAGAGAGAGAGAGAGAGAGAGAGAGAGAGAGAGAGAGAGAGAGAGTTGTTGGCTTCGCAGTGCGGCAGTGCGCCACGCCAGCCAGCCTCTGTGTCCATCTGGGGGCCCGCGCTGCGGTTCAAAACGCGTCCGGGGGAATGGGAGGTCACGATGTACGCGGACGGCGGGATTGGGGGTTTCACGATGGTCTACGTCGACGACGATGATTGTGGTTACGCCACGCCACGCCACGCCACGCCACGCCAAGCCACGCACGCCGCCGAACCGCGGGCAGGCCGGGGATACGCCAAGGATGTGGACCACTCCGATGCCAGGGCCGCGCGCCGCGCCGCTCGCGCCATCGGGAGACGCGTTCGGAAAAATATGAGAAATTGACGTTGACGCAGCGCAAAAAAAATTTCCCGCGAAGAACGCCTTGTGCGATTCATGGCGAGGTTTTCGATGCCGTTTAACAAAGGAGAAGATCTCAGGCGAGTGACCACACCCAACCACACCCAACCACGCCTAAGACAGGCATTGATGAGGGAAATGACGATTGCCTTCGCCTTTTGCAGTGTAGTGTTGAAACGGGCGACAGCCACAGCACGCACGCGCGTCGGTGTCACGTGACCTCGTGCGGCACTCTGTGGTCAGTTTTCGGAGCGTGTCCGATCGGCCCAGGCGCGGTACGGAGCGCGCCCTTCACCCCTCAGGCCGTCGCAATGTCGCTCATTGATTCGTCATGTCCAAGGTTCGATCCTCACCGCACCGTCTGTTGTTTTGGTTTTACAAGATCCCAAAAAATGAAATGGGAGTGTTTGTTCGGCCTGCCGTGTTGGAATGCTCGGCGCGGGCATTCCTTCATCTCTGACGGCCCGACGGGTTTCTGGGGCCGTCTTCCGCGTGATGCCCGCACTGCGCCGCACTGGGCCAGTGTGTCCCCCGGCGGGGCCGAGCCCTCGAGGGCCCCAGCGCGGCGCGGGGCAGCCTCAGGCAGCCTCAGGCAGCCTCGGGAACCGACTGCAGCCTCTCGGTGCACGCAGGGCACGCAGGGCACGCAGGGCTCGCTGGTGCCGGGGCAGGGCAGGCAGGACGAGCCCGCCATCATTCGACTGCTTCGAGTAATCGATCGGCCCCATCGATACGCACGGCATCGTGCCCCTTCGATTGATGGAGCCAATCTGAATGTGAATAAGAAGTTAGTTGTTCGTGTCCCCGGCCGCGGTTTAACAAGCGCCGTAAATCGCGATGGGGAGTCTCGAGTCCCCGGGGGTGGCGCGCTGCAGTCACGCTGCAGAGACCGCACTACACTGCTTTCGTCGCTCCGTCTCTCTCGCACTCTCGGGGCGCCCAGTGGAGGAGCGAGAGAGACAGCGCTACGAAAGCGCCGTTCGGGATCGTGTGCTTGCGCTGTTGCTGCACATGCGCTGAGGTACATACCCGGCATAACAGGCTCGCTGAAATCGCATGCAGCGCCTTCACTCGTAAACCATAGACAGGTCCTGAACTATCAGGGGAGGGGGACCGTTTGGCTGCTTACATTTTCAGACAATTTCTCTCGTGATTGTTGGCGGCATTCTCGTTATGCGCACGGTCGTGCACGGTCGCCCGCAAGGTGCAGCGAACGGAAGACACGAGCGGCCCGGCCACACCAGTG